GCTAAAATGAATTTTTAAAGAATTTTAAAAATTATTGTAATTATTTTCAAATGCAAACAAGTCGTTTGCACATTTTTACAACCCATATAGGTAAGTTTCAAAAATTTCGCGACCCATTCTCGGGGGGGGGCGCCTCCCCCCCCCCCCCGCCCACTCCTCGGTCCGCCACTGCCTGGTAATACTCTGAGAGCTCTTGGTAAAGCTAGAAAAAGAAGACCAACTGGAGGAGGATGAAAAGCTGCATCAGATGTGCTCAAAAGCCTTTGACGATTTTTTCTGCGGGACCTTACGCGGGTTTGAGACAAACGAAATTACTTTTGGAACGACCTAACGCATTCCATCACTTCAGCACAATTTGTAGTGATTTGCAGATATGTGGAAAAAGGCTCAATCGAGCCCGGAACTATTGGTGGTAGTAAGCCCCGTGTAACTACACCCAAGGTACCGGCAACATCATTATCAGCAACTTCTTCCGATCCGAATTTCTGCGCCTTTCAGGTAGTGGAATATATTCGACTACTGAAGTGCTCCGATCCAGGTATTTACTCTTGGGAGATACGTGATCGGCTGGTTGCAGATGGTATCTGCAATAAGGACAACGTTCCTTCCGTGAGTAGCATTAGCAGAATACTGAGGAGTAAGATGCCGAAAGGTGAGGTGTATGAGGATGAGTCAACTTGTAAAGTGAGACTTTGTTTAAGGTTTTGAGCAATCTTCCCTACGATTCTTTCCATATACGAGTCACTCAAGCACAGATGCAACGATATTGGAAATGCATTACAATCAATGCACGAATTTGGGTGCGTCGCAATGAAATTCTACAAAAATAGAAATTACGAAAGCAGACACTAGGCAAGTATAATTAACGGCGATACACCGATCTCTCCAGCTACCCTCTGTTTCGCTGGAGTTGGCGGCTGGAAGGCGAGGTTTCGATCGACTAGAGAGCACATAAGCGCGGGAGGTGCAGGCTCTGCATCTCCGTCTTGTACGTACCTCTAATCGGCCGAAGCCCGCCCTCCAGCCGCCAGCTGCAGTGAAACAAAGGGTACTTCTTGAAGATGCGGTTTGCCCAAACCGATTAAACTTGAAGCGGTTTGGTTGAGGTTCTGGTCGCAGACATGAGATAGAATATGGGAAGTTTGTATCGATTTGCTTTTTTTTCAGATCAACTTCGACATTACGCCCCAGTATGAAACCATGTGTGCCAATCTCCAGGAGGTCTGCTGTGCTAGATTTATCTAGGGTTGACCTATGATCTGTGATCTCGCTCTGCTTTTGCTTATTTTATGTACCAATCGATGTACAAGGTGTCCACATGAAGTGTGACGCAAAAAAAAATTCATTACTTCGCAAGCAGTCACTAAAATTGCAAGCTTTCGTCTCCATCTGACAGAAGAGAAAAATCTATTCAAGAACGTATCCAAGACTTTCGAGATATCTTCCTCTGACTTTTGTAAAAGCATTTTTTCGCTTCCGAAAATATTTCACGATGCGATTGTTTGTGATTGTTGGTTCCAGGCTCTCACCAGGTTTCTTTGAGCAAATCAAGTGACATGGCTTTCGAAGAGCAGACTTTTTTCTCCTAGTTGAACTGAAAAGAGAATCTGTGCGGTTATGATTGGGCAAGTCAGAAAGCCAAACATCATTTTTTCCAATATCCAAAAAATGGATTTTGCACAGTTGAGTTTCTTTTCGCTGGACTGATGCCTCGCCGTCCTAAAAGTTTCAGACAATGTCCATAGTGTTTGCTTCGTCCTAAAAAGTACCACAGTCCCTCCAAATTTGCTTCCGATTTCTCAAGATTTTGAAAGCTCTCGATTTGCGGTTTTTACCATGACTACGACTTAAACTTTGAGCTAAATCACATACAGGTAAGAGCCGAAGTCACGAATGGCAACAATGGGATAAAAAATATGGAGAAGGCAACCATCGTTAACACGTCTCAGAAAAACAAAAAGTGAATTTTTCGCAGCCCGTCACACTTCATGTGGACCACCCTGTGTACTGATAGCCTTATACCATACACGACTGCCTCAAATGTACTTCACAACCGAAGCCAATCGGCAAGCAATTACGTGCGTCTCCATAACTTGTACACCATATGTACTCATTTCATATACTACATAAAGATTTTTGTTCTGGCATTGACGTTTCAACTTTGTATACCAACATATGGCATTCATTTACCTATGGGTAGTAATAAAACGGTGGAGAAACAAATACGATCAGAAAAAGACGCACTCGCAGAATATCGTTCCCGCAGACTATTGTCTGTTTTGAGGACCAGCTGTCGTGAAGAACGTTCCCCTACCGCGATCAGAGCATTCGTTAAAGGCAGTGTCCCGGCAGATTTTGTATTTCCATCTTTTTGCATGTTTTGGGCCTTTTCTACCTGTAGACCCCGAATATGAGCTTTAAAATGAATGAAAAGACCTTTTTCGTGGAGTTTACCCAATTTCCAAAAGTCAGCTTGGACGAGAATTCCAATGGAAAGTTGGGAGGCCCTGGCACGAATGCCCTGGTGCCTGTAATTTTTGCTTTGAATAGCATGCAAAATGCGAGAGAGCGGTCGTAGGGTCCCGCAAGCGAAGACGTCTGAGCGCACGCCGATTGGGGTTGCGCGCGCCAGTTCAAGGGCTACTTTCTCGGCCCATAGGGAACATCAACCAGCCGGACTGCGCCCTGGAGGTCGGTGGGATGACCAGGAACCCCACCACAGCAATTCCCCCCAGGGTGCGAATCTGCCGGGACACTGCCTTTAAAAGAGCGTCCACCCAGCATTCACGGACAGTGTATAAAGTGTATATAGTGTATACAGTGTATAAACAGGCCCTAGAAGTAGACCAATTGCGTTGGTCTAATCTTCTAATGCTGCCTCCGAAAGAATAAAATGGATATGCAAGTCGCAGAATCCTTTCGACACTCTACCCACTTTTCAGCGCTCCGCCTATCACGACTAGGGCACGGCGCGAAAACGGCAAATGTCAAGCTGAAAATCTTTCTAGGGAAAAGAAGTAAAAAGGATATCGTACATATACATTCGTACATACACTGTCTCGACAAGTTGCTACACGTCTGACATGCACAAAAACGGTCTTACCCTCGCGTCAACCTCAAAAACAAATTGCTTTTACTGAATAGCAATCAACTGCCTCGTCCACAGCACGTATACGTAACGATATGGCTGAGAATTCGGAGTATAAGCGGACAAGTGCTAGTAGGAGCATAGTGTAGAGTATTGTGGAAAAGTGATGTAACTGAGCGCGGTAATTAGTTTTTTCCGAACATTTCCCACTACCAAAAAATTGGAGAAGGGCCATTTGCAACGCACAGATAACGATATATAAAATTTGATATGTATACTTGCAGACGTGAACAAATCAGATGAAATATAGAAAACTTAAGTGAATAAAGAGTGTGCTTAGCATTCTTCCAAGTTAGGTGGGCATATGCCAACCTAAATTGGAAGAAAGTTAAGCACGCTTAGAGTGGCAAAACATTCTCAAGTAGCTTTTTCATAATTTCTGCATGAATCAGCTCTGCCACAAAGTATGCTATATTGCAACGTGCCGAGTGGAGGACTATATGTCGCCGAACGAGGGAGAATCAGGGCTCGGCAAAGGTGGCTTACGGGGCAAGCTGGATATCGTTTTGGAAAAAAAAGCAAGGGGATGTCGTTGAAGCGAATCCCCCCCCCCTCACACGCACACATAATCGCCTTCTGCCTTTATGGCACCCTCTTCTATGGAAGAAGCAAACTGTCATTTCTGCCTTATCGATCAGTAAAAACCAAAAATTTTCTGTTTCAACATGTTCGCCGGTTCAGCGCACGAATTCAAACCTGCCCCGAAATAAACAAAAGACTTGTTTACAATGAAGAGAAAATGAAATGACACCAAAATTGGTGTGTAGATAGGTAATAGTGAGCTAGAAATAGTGCAAAAAATTATGAAAAAATTATGTGAATTGAAGGCATGGCAAACTTTTTCGGAGTTAGGTGGCTTTACAGCCACCTGGACAGCCACCTGAGGTGGCTGTAAAAAGAAAAAGTCATAAATTTTCCTTCCTTCACATAATTTTTTATATGTTTGATATAAAAACATTCTACATTCTAAAACATTCAGAAACTCTACAACTGAGCTTTTGAATCACCCTAAACCCCCTCTTCCTCGCGTAGTTACAGCCCTCCAAATATTTTGTATGGCGGCGGCAAGCCTGCTCCAAGTGCGCAAGGGTGCGCGCCGGACACAGCATGCCGCCAATTCGGAGAATACGGACATCTTTAGATTTTCTCGTCTGTTTGATGTTACTTTTACGTTTTGTCCCATTATTTTATCGCTTCATAGGTGATATCGTATTTTTGTGCAGAAGTCTACAGGGACTTCGTTCTTAAAAAATTGAAAAAGCCACCTCATGCCGAGCCCTGGGGAGAGTCCCGCGCGGACTTCCTGCAAAGACGTGCATGACAAGGGTGCGTATTTGTTGCAAATGACCGACGGGCCACCCCCTTCCGGCATAAAGTCCTCTATCCTAATGTACCGGGCCCTTTCCACGACTGCTTCCGAACGCGCTTTGACAAGGCAAGCATAGCCAGAGCTCTTGCTGTGCAGCTTGACACCGTTGTATACAACGGAATCTATTGCAAACGACTGAGTTAGCCTCGGAGCACCCGTCCACATATATCGAAGTAGGGCTTCTGTAGAGTTGTTGTTATATAGGGTTTTCACGTAATTTACACCTCATATCCAAAGTCAGGACCATGGAAAACCCAACTTCCCTCACTACGACAACAGCACCAAATATAAGAAGAATGTAATCCTCTCCTTGCAATTACTGCTCACTGAAATCCTTTTTGATATCGTAGTTAATTCCGCCATTCCGCCAAATCCCTTCCTTACGGAACAAGACATGAAAATGTTAATCGTGATTATCAACCGCTTATATCACTCAGTTATAAATAGGTAATCTAAGCCGGTTTGGTCTATTTCCACACTTCACAAAGCAGAAGCTTACTTCGGCCCGCACCATCATTAATCGATGTCTATCGATGCACTACGCCTCGTTTCGGAATATTTGACGCCAACCGCCAGAGTTAATCTCGCTCGAGTGAACGCTTCCACAGGCAAGGCTCTATCAAGGTATGATGCAATGCTTTTGCGTCCCTTCTGCTATTCTACTACCTCAAGCTGTTGCAACGTTTCTTTACGACAAGTTACTAATGTTTCAGATGGGAGGATGTGCACAGCGTCTTATTCGATGACACAAAAGTCATTTTTGCGGGAGAAGTATTTCGACATCAAATTGACACGGGAATGGATTTGGTAAGGGTAGATGCTATTTTTGTGCTTTGCTAGCAGCGTCTCCATTTGAATATCAGCTGGCGTACCCGGCCAGCTCGGATCGTGGCTTGAACACCCGATGCCTCAGGGTACAAAATCGTTCCCAAAACGTCCAAGTTGCCCTTTCTAAGTTTCCAATCTTCTATTCTTCTTCACCCTTCGGCAAGTTCTTCCCCTTCTTTCTTGCACCCGCTCCATAATTGCGCCTACCGTTCCTCTGGCTCCTGCGTTGACTTCTCTTTCATCCTGGCTGCATCGTTTTGCAACACCGCATCCTCCTCACTGCGAATGAGAATGAGCTTCACCGCCCATGTTAACACGTATATCAGAGAAACCTTGGTCAAAACGTGATGTGTTCCATCTCCATATATTTGAGTAAACAGACCAATTAATTGATGGAAGGATCCAGCGAATCCCACTGAAAAGTAGCCAACCGTTTCCAGGGTCGGAAACTTCTGTGTGCAAACTTTCAGCCAGCTGAGCGACGCGCGTTTCTCTAACGCACATATCCTCCAAACAGACAATTTGAGTTTTATGTATAGAGTGATGTCGACAATACCTTTTTCTTTATCTTTATTGATACTATCAAAAACACGTAAGTAAATGAAAGAAAAGGATTAACCTGAAAGGCAAGAGACCAAAGAAAAGAGGTAGAAAATCGAAAAAACAAGAGGAAGAGTCAAATTAACAACAACAGAGAAACATCAAGAACTAAAAATGATAACCAACTGCAAAGTATTAAGGATTAGAAAGCAGGATGACTTGTAAGGGGCCAAGAAGTTTTCCGGAGCGTTTTGTGCCAGTTATTTAAGTCAGGCAGAATTCTTGAAGCGAAAACTTTGCTCTCAAAATATAGCTTTGCTCTAGTTTCAACACACCTTCTATCGTTCTAGAGGAATAAAAATCAAGAACTTTGACGAATTAGTCTTACCTCTCACAGTCAAGATTTCAACAGCCATCAAAAGGTCTAAATTCCTCCTTCGGAGTGCTAAGCTAGGAAGCGATAACAATTTAGAACGTTCTTGACTCGCTGGTATGGGAGAATAATTTGGGCCTAAAACTCTCAAAAATGATTTTCAATTTAAATTATTCTGAACACCTTCAATGGCAGCAATATGGCGGACCCTCGGTGAAGTAACGACAGCGTCAAATTTAACAATAGGACGTATATACACCTTGACCCTAAGCCCTAATCAAAACATTGGGGTCAGGGGTACGAAGCGCCTTGAGCAAATTGTATGTTCGGCGAACGGCTTTGGAAACAATAGCGTTGTAGCGACCGGAGAACTGAAGCTTATCATCGAACATGAAGCCCAAATCTTTGATTCCAGTAACTTTGCTCAGATTAATTTCGCCTATACTTTAGGATGAATCAATTGTCTTGCTTCCCAATCAAACAACTTTGGTTTTATTCGGGGCTAAATGTAGTCCAAATTCCTTAGACTAACGAGAGACCGAGTTGACGCAGGACTACATTATTCTCACGTTAGACGGACTGCGTATAACTTTGTATATTGTTTTTCATCTCCATACATCACACATTTGCAAGCCTAATTTTCGACAACTCCAGGTAAATCAAAAGTATAGATCAGGAAGAAAATAGGTGACAATACTCCACCTTGTGGGACACCCTGGAGATGGAGTAAAGCTTCAAGTAATATTACCGATACGGAATTGAAACGTCCTATCGTGCAAAAAAATTTTCAATCCATGTACAAGCCAAACTGTGTAAATCTAAAAGCTTAAGCTTGGATGCCAATTTTGAAGTCGGAACCAGGGTTGAGCAAGAGGTCAGGCACAAGTCTTCCAAAGCGACCCCCCCCCCTCCCAGTGAAAGCCCCTAAACGACCCTTCTGCTTCACCTCCAAGACCTCAGGCTGTGATAATTCGAAGAGATCAGCCGTTTTTGGGAGGTTCTTGTTTTTTGGAGGTCTGTAGGTCGACTTTCTGCGACTGCACAGCACACGCAACTTGACGGCAAGTTTTGGATTTTAGATAGCCCTACTTTTAGAGCTATAATTCCCACAGGGGTGTATTGTTTGGCTCCAAATTTGCAGTATTGCAAGAAGAGGCTTTGAGTTCAATACTCATAGCAGAATTGGAGCGATTTTTAGATTTTGAAAACAAGTTAATCGGGTCAGGCGCAACCCCTCAAAAGCTCAGGCGGCCTGACCTTTTGTGGGGTTGCGCCTGACCCGATTAACTTTATCATTGAAGAAGCTTTTTTATTCAAGTTTTATGTGAATCGCTAGCACAACCCTCGAAGATTCCATAGTAAGTGTTTGGACTTGATTCGACTTGTTTCGGCCTTGCGGTAATCCGTGGAGTTGAAGCAGTCATGGCGAAAAACGCGCCGGTCGGAATTTTGGCATTATTTCTTACTCCACTATTTGCAAGCGATACAAAGCGCGATTTTTAGCCTAGACTAGTAGGGAACAATACTTTGTTACAAGTACAAAAAAATTGACTTTTCTCACTTTTGAAAACAAGTTAATCATGTTTGAAAATCACGCTTTTTAGTCGTTGAGAAACACTAGATAATGCAGTAAATAATGGTTTGTAGGGCACATAGAGGTAATTTGACGTGCTCGGAAATGATACCCATTTCACACAGCAAGCTTCCTTGATGAATTTATAATATGTCAAGGTAGAAGATGAAGATTTGAGTTTTGGCCGAAACTTCGATTGTGGAATCAATCAGTATGCTGTTTAAGACCGTTCATTCCTTCAGTACTGGTGAGGTCGCGATATCCATTAAACTAGCGCTTTTCTTCTTCACCTTAATCGTAGCATCTCCTCAATCGAACGAATTCGATTCCTAATCACGACCCCCCCCCCCCTCTGTCTTACCCCAGTACGACCCCTCGGGTCGGGCGCGCCTGACCCCACGCTCAACCCTGGCTGCAGCTAAGCTATCGGGCTGCAATTTTGCATAACATACCGTGCCAGCGTGTAGGCTCACCATGCGCAAGGACGAGCCGGTTCGATAAGCGGGTCCCTCAAAATTTGCGCGTCGAACGGGTCCACGCGCCTTTTGGCACGCAAAACTGGGTCGCTAATTCGACTTTTTGCAAAGTTATGATTTGCTTGACAAGTAACTCTGCGCGCCATGATTTCTAGCCCAAAAAGTGATTGCCGTGTAGATAGCCGATTTGGCAAGGTTTTATTTGAAAAACTGAAAAGATTTTTGCACTGAAATGTAGCCCAAGGTGACTATTATCCTTACGACGATTATCAAACTAAAATAAATTCAGTAATCCGTTCAAATTCGCATTTGTTTCCTTGCAACAAAGTTTTTTCTCAAAAATTACCGATCTTACATGGAGATGCTTCATGAATGAACAGTTGTTTACGATTCATTTGTGATGGTCAGCATCGCGTGGTGAGTTTCAAAGCCATTCTCATGCGAACATGAGAAAGGCACACGGATAGGGAGCCAGTGCGAACCTCCGCGAAGCGGAGGTGGCGCACTGGTACATAGATAACATAAGGGCCAGGCATACTTTACGCGATTTCAGTCGCGACGCGATTTGGCAATATTCCAACTGTGCATAACTCACTGTAAGCACATTATAAATGTACAGAAGATAGGGCATTTTATCAATCCACGTAAGCTATACATACCATGCATGCGCAGTTTTCTAGTGTTGTATCTGTAGACTTCTGGCGAATTGCCAAATCGCGCCGCGACTGAAATCGCGTGAAGTATGCCCGGCCCTATACTTAAAGACATACAGTCACACATACAAACAGACATTCAACTTTATTTATGCAGATTCACCCTAAATAAGCTTTATGGACTGCATTCAATTTTCTGGGAAAATGGAGGCGTATCAGTCAATAGCTGGAAACCAGCCCCGCCCGGACGACTCGCTCCCTCCCCCTTGGGCCTTCCGCCCAAGAGGGAGGGAGCGAATCGCTATCTTATCCCTTACTGCACTAGACGTTGCTTAAGGGCAGCGTCCCACCAGACTGGGGGTACCTGGCTCTCGTAATGATGTGATAGTAGACCCCCTACCTAAGCGATGACTGAAGTTCGGAGCGAAAAAGGGGGTCTACCAAGCCTGAAATTTGCTCCGAAAGTGGGCCGAATCTTACGGTAAGCTCGGGCGAGTGCGAGGTGCATGCAAGGTAGAGACGCAGAGTTGTTGCGGGTCCCTGCGCTCATGATGTGTGCGCTATACGCACTCTGGCCCTGCAAATCGATATTGCCGTGTGGGCGGCGTTCGGCCCTACCGTAAGATTCGGCCCACTTTCGGAGCAAATTTCAGGCTTGGTAGACCCCTTTTTCGCTCCGAACTTCAGTCATCGCTTAGGTAGGGGGTCTCATCATTACGAGAGTCAGATACCCCCAGTCTGGTGGGACACCGCCTTTAAGATCAGGAGGAAGAATCTTAACCAGGGTAAAGCGGGGGGTGCGGCACGCCGCAGGGGGGGTCGTTAGGGGGGGGGGTAGGTAGGGGGGGGGTCGTATCGACCTAAGGTCAGAAGCACTTGTACAAGCTTGACTAAATTGACTTGATGAAAGCGCTGTTGAAATCCTGCAAAATTCAAGTTCAACGACACAAAATTGCAGATACCGTATGCCTACCGTAACCTACCGTACCACTAATCAAGCATAATTGTCGTAATCCGCGTGTCGAATAACCCCTATGCGCAAAGTTTCAGCGAACTCTGAGGTCTCCGAGCAGTAAACAACCTTGTATAAAGCAGTAATTTAAAACATGATTAACTTCATCTTAACGGTGAGTAATCTACCTCTTCTTGCACTCAGTACAAAGCACTACTCCTTCTTTGTCCACCTCAGGAATCCCGCTTCAGAAGACCTCCAAACTATTGAATTAGAAGCCAACCAAAATCTCGTTTTTCCCATTTTTCGCTTTTGATCGCTGTGCTTTCACCAAATATTACTCAGAGCTAAGAAGACGAATCAGGCTCAAAACATCCCTATGGAATCTACGAGGTTTAGGCTATTGATTCATATAAATATTGTCCGCTAAAAATGTTTTTTTGATATAGTTAATGGCCTGCGGCACCCCCCCCCCCCTCAAAACCTGCGGCAGCCGCAGGTTTTGAGGGGGGGGGGGTGCCGCAGGCCATTAACTATATCAAAAAAACATTTTTAGCGGACAGTATTTATATGGATCGATAGCCTAGATCACCTAGTTTTCACAGGAGTGTTTTGAGCCTGATTCGTCTTCTTAGCTCTGAGTAATATTTGGTGAAAGCACAGCGATCAAAAGCGAAAAATGGGAAAAACGAGATTTTGGTTGGCTTCTAATTCCACAGTTTGGAGGTCTTCTGAAGCGGGATTCCTGAGGTGGACAAAGAAGGAGTAGTGCTTTGTTTTGAGTGCGAAAACGGATAGCCAATTCACCTTTGAAACAAAGTTAACCATGTTGGAATTTGACCATTTCACTTAGGTAGCCTAGTATCTTGAATCTTCAGAATTCGCTCAAACTTTTTCTACAGGGGTTAATTGACATGCTCATTATGGATATGTTGCCCATTATGCTTGACAGGGCCTCCAAGTATTGCTATCTCAAGGGTATAGTCCAGGGGGGTCTTATTAAGACAGCAATCAGGGGGGGGGGTCGTAACCAGCGATCGTGTGCCACACCCCTTGCTTGACCCTGATCTTAACGACTAAATAAAACTTGGAATCCCGATTTTGCTCGCAGGCCCTGATGACCTTACTCAGCTCATCCTCAATGAAGGAAAGCCAGAATGCTATCTTGTCATCCTCATCGCCAAGTGATCTGTTAGTGTGGCTCCTCGCGCCCTCATGGATAGGTACCATTGATCTGCGCTAGTGGCGTCCTACCATTTGAAAGCGCTTTGAGATCATCGTCTGACTACAGCATTCTAACTGTGCGAGTCATATTCCCACACTATCAGTTCTACATATCTGCATTTATATAAAAGTCAAAAGAGTACAGGGTGAGGCAAAAGTTTGGGAGCCTAGTACTTCTTAGATCAAATCAGAAGGAAAGTAGCTAGAAACAAAAAGTTTGATGCACATTTATTTGAACCCTCAATACAGCGCAGCTCTCAAATCTTAATATCATCCTTTGAACTGCTTCAGCCAATCTATCTCTATATATATAAAACTCAAAAATAGTCTGTTTGGAGGATATGTGAGTTATAGAAACGCGCGCCGCTCAACCGATTGGGCTGAAAGTTTGCACACAGATGTTTTCGACTCCGGAGACGGTTTTAGGCTACTTTTTGCGGCGATTCACTGGGTCCTTCTATCGATTTATTGATTGGTTTACGTTCCTCTAGGGAATTGAAAGGTTATCATGTTTAATCAAGCATTTTGCCATAGTGTAAAGGAGAGCGGTGAAGCTCATTTTCAGTGCAGGACCAGGAGAATGCGGTTTTATAGCGGATGTTTCAGGGTAAGTTATCCATAACATATAAAAAAAAGGGGGGGTTGCTCGCAGTACAGGAGGACAATGGGCCGGTCTGGACCGGGAAAGCCAACTAGTATAAAAATAAAATTCAAACTCTGTAAATTTTATAGCTAGCATGTATGTAGCTTATAGACTTCTTTGTGCGTGAACCAATGAGAGCAAAACTCGCTCACTATGAATGAGGCACTGCGCTAAAGATAGGCTACTTTTCGTGACGATTCCTGGGCCTTCATTTGATTTATTATTTCGTTTACTCACATGTAACGAGATAAACTTATCAATCATCGCTGGATCAAAGTTAAGTAAGGCGGCGGCAAAGATAATTTACGTTTTTTTATCGCTCACTTAAAGTTCTGGGATTTATGTCCGGCAACTCAGGGTTTTCTACGCACGATGAACGATGTTTTTCGCTTATGTCCACACTCACGTAGAATTTGGATTCACACACGATTACGGTCCGAGCAAGTACAAGTTCTACAAGAACATGCAGACGTTATAGAAATCCTTAACATCTCTAGCGAGAATTTTGATACGTAAGTCTTTGTTTAAGAGATTTCATTACTGTACGGCTCACAAAGCTCACAAAAAATAAGCACGAGGATATGAGAACAAGTTCTTCTGTCGTTCGGTGTAAAAATCGGAATGCAGCACAAGTTAAAGAAAAGATAGTTCAGAAAGCTTCTGTGCAGGGTGTTCCAAAACAACGTATTAATTATCTGATCACCAACAAACTCTTGTTTGAGCAGCTTTTGCGGTATTTAGCTAGATGCCACTGATACTGTAAAGCTAGTTCAACATAGAAAAACAGATTATAAAACAGAATACGGATTACGGAATACCTGTCGCTGTTCGTTACTGTGGGATTACGTATTCACAATGCTTCACTGCCCATTTTAGTAGAAATCAGTGGTGGGATCTCTAGACCCGCGAATTCATTCACAGGTCAACAAAGCAATCTGGATGGTCATACTTCAAGGATGATATCGGAAGTACCCCTTTAGAATATATCTGGATTAGCTACTGAAGGTCGGGTTGAGTCCAATGCTTGTGTTGAGAATAAGCAAAGATTATCCACTAACACCCTTTCCTCTATTTCTTTATTATCTGTATCTTCATCTAACACACGTGAACGTGTACCAAAACCAGTGTGAGTAAGAACTTGCTTGGGTAGAATAGGCTACCCTGTCACCTTTAACCGAAGCAAATAGACAGTAATGGAACTGCTACCCTAGATGTTGAGAAATAGGAAAACTCTAGCTGGTCGAGGGGGTCAGGTGACTGTCGCTGGGGAATGCCACTGCCACTTTCTGGGATATTCAGGAACGCCTGCAACTAGCGTATCAGGTATCCACCAACCGGACATCAACGCTCGTACACCTACCCTTTCTGAGAAAGCCATGCGCTTCGAAACGGAATTGCCTAAGGTCACAAGAAGCAGTATTGTTATTCATCCCAACATGGGTGAGAGGCAGCCAGGTCAGTTAGTAGCACCATAAGATCGAGAGACACGAAAGAATTGTGAACCGAAGTAATAGCAAAGAGCTTCACTAAAGAAGAATTGTCATGCTAGGAAAAGTCAGAGATATACTCACAAGGGGACGATACTTGGTGTCCGTGGCCTTTTGAGATGAAACGTATACCATTACACTCGTTTTGGAACGCTGATTCCAAATCTGACTTCCTTTTCTGCTAATCGTTTCTTTGAAAGAAGTTATGAAAGATTTTCGCGTCAATGGTTGCCTAAGGGAAATGCGGCCGAGGATGCCTAACTTTCAAAAGAAGCTTGATTGAGGCAATGCAAAACTGAAAAATACAAAAGGACTCGAATCTAAACCTACATTAACTTGCATGGCTATCGCACTAGCCACTACACCACATCTTAGCGGCGGTTTTTGCATTCCAAACACGTCTCCTTTGACGCAAAAATCATTCATAACTTCTTCTAGAGAGACGATTAGCAGAAACGGAAGTCAGGTTAAAAATCAGCGCTCCAAGATGAGTGTAATGGTATACATCTCATCTCAAAAGGCCACGGACACCAAGTATCGTTTCCTTGTCAGCAGAGAGATAAACAAGAAGAAGACAGATCTGTAATGAGAACAGAACAGAAGCAAGTCCAATGGGATATCCAGTAATTGGCAAATGTCAACTTTCATCAGTTTCCTTTTGAAAGCTTCACAGCTGTTTGCACACAAAACTTCGCGAGGTATGCACCATATCTATCTCCAAAAAAAATGATTTAACAATAAGTTGCACGTTTCTTCTCTACCTTTTGGCTAGTGCGGACTGAAACCATTGTGTCTATCATATGCGGGCATATAGTTCCGCTAATGGGATTCCGTTTGACTTCTCTAAGATCTAAAATAAAACAAGAGATCAAATTGGCTGGAATCCCAGCTTTTTTAGGCGGTCATGATAACTAGGGCGGTACAGTTGGGTGCACATCTTCTCAGTATTGATCATCTCGGATCTAGTGAAAACGCCAAGTTTTCAATTTTTTGATTTTTTTGATTAGCTTTGCTCGGACTTCACATTTGTGAGCAGTATTCAAGCTCAGGTGATCCAAAAGTTTTTGTAATAATTTGGCAGTTCTCGCTCTCACTGATACAAATCTTTCTGAAAGTTCTTACTGTGTTCTAAAGTAATAATGAAAAAATTATACTTTGTTTGTTACTGTAAAAATGTAAGTTGAAGCCAATTCCACGGTACGTACCTGGAGATCCACGAAAGCTGTACAAACACTGACCTTTTGACATCCAAGCATTCGCACAATTTTTGGACCTGAAAAGCGTCACTATGATATTCTGCGCTTCCGAAGTTTTACTTTACAGGCGTTATCCTCTTACTTGGGATAAAGTCAAATTCAAGAGATTGCGCAGTTTAAATATTTTGCAAAGAATGGACCAGCCTCTAAATCTCAGGCAACTTATCGACAAATCAGCATGTCAAGTAAGCTGTATCCATGAATTTTCATTGTGAACGATAATGTAGCCGTTTGAATAAATCCCAGAGACACTGGTAAAATTTCTCATTTTGAAAAGGTAATCTGTCCTAGGCATTGCTCCCTTTCACATTACGCCATGTATGTCTCACCGGTATCGTTCTTTCTGCTCCTGTGATGGATGCTCTCATGACACTTACCAATCTTCGTCACCTGGAACTGATGGGCTGTGTCATCGATACACAGCTTGCAGCTAAATACATAGACAGACTTGGTTTGTTGACTTAACGATAAAAAACTAAAACCACAAATACCACTTCCAGCGGAAATGTCAAATCTGGACGAGCTTAGCGTGCCGCCATCGATGTTCTCCTTTTCAGTAAAAGATGAAACTAATCAACCACCAAATATGAGGTATTTGATTTTCAGACACCTATTTGTGCTGGAGTTAGGAGAAACTTGTTTGTTTGAGGCGAGGGGGTGGGACAAAAAAAATTCCTAATGAAGGGACGTTGAAGATTTTGGATGTTCCCAAATTTCCTCGACAAAAAAATGCTAATGAAGGAACGTAGAAGATTTTAAATGTTTCCAAATTTCCTTCGAAAAATTTTGTGGTTATTGTCTCTCAGCTTGTGGGCCCATAACTCCGAAATTCACGAAAACTTCTGAATTTTAAGAATATGAGAACTATGTCAGTTACAATAGCCCCTCCCCCCTCTCCTCCTCCATCCCACCGGCCTTCCGCTACCATCTAATCGCTGATTTTTACTATTTCCATCCAGGAAGCTGCATTTGTCGAAGATTTCCATCTATATGGATTGCTTTGAAGAAAACACGTTCTTCGATGCCCTAGAGACAATCATGCCAAAAAAGCTGGAATCTCTTACTTTGTATGGAAATTTCTACCAGCTTAAAAGATCGAAAAAGTACGCACAGTGGCGGAAGTTTGATGTAGGAATTTTTATCTTATTCTCGCAATCTATTTTAGTAATTTTTCCACTATAGATTTTATTTGGCTCCATGACTCCACAAGTACGCACTCCGTGGTGGTTGAAAGATGATAGTATACTTATGTCACATCTAGTGCGCTGCCAGCCATATAAGATTTCTGATGATTTCCGACCTGTGAGGACTACGGTAAGGTATTTTCTCTGTAGCTCAGAAAATACAAATTTGAGGAAATTTACGTAAGATTACTGCATGACGAAGACGCAATATCTTTGGACGCGAATGCGGCTTTATTAGCCGCAGAGCGCATGAGCAGGATTTAAAACGGTGAGATACCCGCGCCGCGTTCGCGCCCGCTCAACTAATATGCTTCTGCGCCTTCGTCATGCACTAGCCTTTAGATAAACAGAACAAGTCCAATTGCCTCTACAAACAATGTTTTTTTTAAATGTTGCAGGCTACGTCATGGCGTTTCGACCAAAGTACTTTGGAGAATGAGGAGACAAGAGTGGAAAGGCAACCAACTATAAATCGTTTTTTGCGCTTTGTGTGAGTTTATTTGAGATATTCGAAAATTATCGTCTACACTCATCTTTTTGTTTAGGAAAGTATAATTCTTATATTTTCAGAAGACCTGAAAATGCTCCGCTTGCAATTGCTCCAGCTCCAAGAGTCCTGCCCGAGGTAGAGTCCATTGCATTTTTGAACCTCAAGCGCGCTCGGTTCAAAATAAGATATTTGTCCAGAATCCAGGTTTTTTGTGACCTAACACAGCTTTTCAAAATTCGGAAAAATTTGATAATAAAAATGTAAAAAATTTCAGAAATCCATAGCGTTATTAGCTTTATTATGATTCCATAGAACGCTCAACTCCTTCATCACCCTAGCCTAACGTAGGGATGATAAAGCAACTCACAAATGAAAGCGTTTCGAGGGGGTTACAATTTAATTGATATGAAAACAATTTAGCCACCTCCTCCTCCAGTTCGACGAGAAAGGATACGTCGTCGGTTAGAAAATTATTTTTATGCTTTCTCTCTCACGACAAGTACAACAAGTACGTTTCCAGGCCAAGCGTTCCCACGGTTGTCGAGGAACCAAACACTGCACTTCCGGTTTTGATCTCACTTCCACCGCCTGGTGCTGTCGCAGCTCCGCTCACTGTCATGGTGCCAGCTGGACCTGCTCCTGGCCATGGTCCTTCAGCACCAGTTGCTCCTCATCATACATCACCCGCAGCGGCTCCACCTCCACATGGCGAGCTTCATCCAGCTCAACGCACAGTGGTGCCTGGACGCTCAGGTGCTCACTCTACCCCTACCAGAGTACCTCTCGTACAGGCCAGCAACCTCCCAAGTCGAAATGTCAGTTTATCAACGGCTTCATCGGCATCGCCTGTAATGAGAACTAGGGAGGAGCGTGCGGAAGATAGGGGCAGAGAGACTTTGCAGATGGCTCCATCAGGTCCCGTTATTGCACCAGCACAAGCCGTTCCTCGCCATTCGTAAGTCTGACCACCTTTCCCTAAGCTGCGTCCAAAGTTGCTCATGCTAGCGCCGTGCCAGAGCCAGCACCATATAGCTCCATTAAACAGCGTAGGATCGGCTAATCAATACGCAGCACTTCCATGCGGTCTGGCACGGCCCTGGTACGGCGCTGGCACATGGGCAACTCTGGATGTAGCCTATATAAGCATAAAAAGCAGTTCTTCAGAGTCCAATTCGAAGAAGTACCTGCGAGTACGCCATCGGCACCCGTTCAACCCCAACCCATTGTCGAGCACCCTGATGAGGCGGCGGCGCTCCACACCCGACCACAACCACCTGAACCGGAGATGAATAGAGCTCAAGTGGGACAAGAACAAGAACAGCATGCCCAACGTATCGCAGCAGGAAATGCAGCTGTTGAGCGTAGACAGCCCGAACAAGGTAACAAAGCATTTTAAAGTCTCTTTATTCACACTGTTCTGTTCTTCTTTCAGCACGAAATGCGGGTGAAGAAGCTAGAGAGCGAGAAAGACAAGCTGATGATGATAATGTTAATTTGATGTGAGCTCTTCCAGAATATATTATTTTTACGAAGTTTATTGGCTTCTATTTTTGTTTTTATTTCACGATATTTTCTTATTCTGGGAGATAGCAAATGAGAGATCTGCAGTCAGTTTTTAGGCTACAAGGAATGCTGCAAGCTCTCGTCGAAGAGATTGTATTTGACGCGATCAATGAAGAAAGTGAGCTGCTTCCTTGTAGTTTGCGAATTTCCTCCTGGTGGTAGTCATGGAGGATTTTTTGATGTTGTAGGAATGGACCACCCCACAGATCCACCTCCTGTTGTTAGCTCCGATGCTACAGCGCCAAATAGAACTAATGCCACTAATACGTCCAGTGAGATTTCTTGATTTGTTTCTCTTTCTTCAGTAGCAAAAAACTCTCAAAGCAGCAGTGAGTGTTCTCTCACCTATCTTTTCAGCAACAACAAGAACTCCAGCTACACCTCCGCCGACGGAAGCACAACCGCGTCAGATGTTAAATCAAGCGAATAATCAAGCTAACCAAGCACCTCCACGTCGCTGAAACTTTTTGAAAATCTTTGTGGACATGGCTCTCATGTATATCGGAAACTAATAAAGAAATTTTTCTTAATAATGATGGGCTGCTAGAACCCTCTTACGAGAGTTGATATATCTATATTAAGCTCGTTTCAAGTAAAACCCAAGACGTAAAATAACACGTAAAATAATTTGATGTCAGGAAAGCGCATTTACAGAGTTGCATTTTATTAGAGATCGACAACACAATCATATGTATTCTTTCCACGCAAAATGTATTGAACTGATAATACTTGAAAAGGAATACGATCTTCTAATGCTACCGATGTCATATACACGGAAAAATCGATACGGTACTGTACAACATAAGAAAATGAAACCTGCTAAGAAATTTACAAGAACGGCTGAACGAACAAGCCATGTTTTCACAAATTCAAGTTGTGGAAAAGTATGCCGGTGAGTTTAAGAAGCAACGGAAACCATCCCAAATACAGAATCACTGGTCCGCATGTATATGTCGTATATAGAAAGAAACAATAACAGGAATATTCAAGTGCAAACGCCACCATTGTGTAAGAATTTCTGATGAGCGTTGACATCGGGAAGACGATCCATTATGATTCCCTAAAAGCTTGTTTTTCAAGAGTGAAGCCGAGTATTACGGTTCGGGAAAAAATTTAAGATGACCTCAAGCTTATAAGTGCAAACACTAGCCGTATTGAGTTTTTGAATGCAAATACTAAATCGTATTATTGAACTACGGCAGAAAAAACGAATAAGAAAAATTTACAGAAATTCAACATTTCAAAAAGCATATGGATCAGTTGAGTGAAACATTCACCTGAATCAGCCACTCCGAGGAAACCACTGCCGCACCAATTTTGCGCGCTTTCTCCACCAAGCTTGGAGTTGCAGAGTGATCGGTAAGCAAGATGTCCAGTTTTCCCTCTATAACAAATACGAACAAATGTAAACCAGCAGAAAACAATCAAAAATATCTTACCTTCATCAGGCATTTCTGAAACAACTTCACCGCCCAGTTGCGGCACCATTGGGACCCAGATTTGCTCGAAGGACATGGATTTCTTGCTTGGTGGTACTACATTCGAATGTACCATAACTCGCTTATTTCGGAGGAGTACGCCTCGTTGTTTAGGCCTGAGAAAAGGAATGGCAGAGCTCACCTTTGCGATAAGACTTCACAAAACTTACAATGGATATTCACGATCATCGAGGATTGACACACCGGAGGGAAGTAAGTATGACTTATAATCCACAAGTTTCTTCTAGAAACACATCTTGTTACACCCATCTTATATATAAAGCTGAATGTCTGTTTGTCTGTATGTCTGTCTGTATGTCTGTCTGTCTGTATGTCTGTGTGTACGTATGTTCCGAATAGAAAATTCCATTTCTGAACCGATCCGGACCAAACTTGGCACACATACACTACGGGCCCCGGCGGGTGTCATAGGCTACTTTTCGTCATCGATCGATATCGATTTTATCGATTTTTATCGATTTTTTTGCTGAGTTCACCTACGGGGCTGGGAGTTGGCACAGGGGGGTAATCGAGCATGGGGATTCCGAATACAATATTGGTTTTCAGGATTATCGATTACTTTTATCGATTTTATCGATTTTTTGCAAAGTTTGAGCTACGGGGCTGGGAGTTGGCACAGGGGGGTAATCGAGCATGGGGATTCCGAATACAATATTGGTTTTCAGGATTATCGATTACTTTTATCGATTTTATCGATTTTTTTGCAAAGTTTGAGCTAGGGGGCTGGGAGTTGGCACAGGGGGGTAATCGAGCATGGGGATTCCGAATACAATATTGGTTTTCGGGATTATCGATTACTATTATCGATTTTATCGATTTTTTTGCAAAGTTTGAGCTAGGGGGCTGGGAGTTGGCACAGGGGGGTAATCGAGCATGCTGATCACCCCCAAGGGGGGTGATCAGCATGCTCGATTACACTCCTGTGCCAAATTCCAGCCCCCTAGCTCAAATTTTCAAAAAATCGATAAAATCGAAAAAGTAATGGACGATCCTGAAAACTAATATTGTGTTCGTAATCTGCATGCTCGATTACCCCCCTGTGCAAACTCCCAGCCCCGCAGGTCAAACTTTACAAAAAAAATCGATAAAATCGATAAAAGTAATGGACGATCCTGAAAACTAATTTTGTGTTCGTAATCAGCATGCTCGATTACCCCCTGTGCAAACTCCCAGCCCCGCAGGTCAAACTTTACAAAAAAAAATCGATAAAATCGATAAAAGTAATGGACGATCCTGAAGACTAATGTTGTATTCGGAATCCCCATGCTCACTTCCCCCCCTGTGCCAACTCCTAGCCCTGTAGGTGAACTCTGCAAAAAAACCGATAAAAATCGATAAAATCGACATCAATCGATAACGAAAAGTGGACTGTGACACCCGCCGGGGCCCGAAGTGTATGTGTGCCAAGTTTGGTCCGGATACGGCGGAGCCGGGTAAGCCAGCTAGTCTCCAATAATTTGATGCAAGCAGCTCACCTCGTCTAAGCACTTGTAAATCCACTCGTGCGATACACAGGGCATGGCGCGAACAAGAGCTGCAAGATACTTGTGCGTTCGGTAATGCGTATCAGAGATGAGGAATCGTTCCATCTCTGGATGCTCGTCGACCTCCTGGAACGATTTATATCTCAATAATGTCAAAGCGAATGGCTAGTGAGCGAATGTTCCACTGCTCCCAGATTCAAATCAAAGTTCCTGATAACTTGAAAATGTCGTTAACAAACCTTCATATCGTCCACAACTAATCCTCCGTGTGATGAGATGAAGTCCGTCATGAACTTCTTCTTGAATCCAGTGTCGATGTTTGGACGATTTGCCGACGTGAGTATGAACAATTTTCCCGCAAAGATTTGTTCATCACTGGTTTCCGGGGCACTCTCGCTGGCGTCTAAAATAGCACTGCCTCATGAAAACGTATATTTGAGTTCGAATTGCAACACTGACCTTCTTCGGCCTCTTCTTTAGTTGCGGACGATGTGCTTGCAGTCTTCTTTCTACCACGACCGCCTACAGCACAAATTAGAATAACAAAATCCAGCGAAAGGTCCCAAACTAACCCCTTGCGGGAGTTTTCGTCTTCGGTGTAGCTGGTGCTGCTGCTGCTTTCTTCTGTGTTTTTGGTGTCGCTTTCGAGACGCCCGGTGTAGCTTCCTGGCTTGGAGCAGTCCTAGATCGACGTAAGTGTCGGTCTTCGGTGCTTTCGATATTATCTGAAAGCAGCTCAGTAACAATGTGTGATGAATGATCTAACAGAGAGTAAGATAGACAAAGTTTCGACTACCTGTTATAACATCAGAAGCTTCACGTGACTTCTTATTTATGTAATCGCGCCAGTCTTCCTTCGATAACGCAAGGTTTGTCCAAACGCCCCTGCAACACACGCTCATAAACAAAGCGCACCAACATTTCCTTCCGCACCTTTTAAACGTACCTAATTCTGCATAGCGTAAAAAAGAAATAACTGGATCACGCATTTTGAGAAAATTTTTATGTCCGATAAACGTTAGTAAAGATATTTTCATTTTGAAATGATACAACTGTAAGTCTTCTTACTTGAGTTTCTTCCCAAGAGAGTTGCCTTCGTCATCGAGTTGCTCCAGCTCAAATTCTGCCTTCTCCCACGCTGCAGCGTGTTTACCATCGGGGGCCTTGACAACTTTCACAGCGAGACGATCTTTTTGTGATGAATCCGCATAATAACACTAAATAAATCGATCGATAAGACGCAATATGTTACATGTCCAGAGCTCACCTCTTTGTCTTGATCAAGCGCTCGCAGGGGAATCACACCAGCTAATGGAACGTCCTTTACTACACCATCTTCAACAAAACTCACCTTGTAACGACCCAAACCGTCACGGCTGAATTGGACAATTTTATAACAAAATAAAAAACGTCTAATCTATCGCACCTCACTACAATTGCTGGATAAAATATGCCGTCGAACATCGCGTACACGCGCGCTCCCGCTTCGCATGCAGCGTGTTCGTCTTGTGGGAGATCGACAGCAACAAGGTCCTCACCGCTCAATTGTGGAACTTCAATGTGAGGACGTTTCGTTACCACTGAGGCTTGTGGGGATGCACTGAAAAGGTAAATAATAACTTCTAGAACAGAGAACGAATGAAAAAATTAATGTTGCGGTAATATTGTAAACACAAAACAAAAGGAACGCCCACCGTCGTTTCCTTCCCGAACCACCGGTTTTTGGCGTTTCTGCGCCTTTTTTCACTTTTTTGCCGGTCGCCTGATTTTCATTCGTCTCATCAGTTTCCATCGCCTCTTCTTCCTTTTCTGCTTCATCCGATTCCGCTTTCGATTTACGACCACTAAAAGAACACTAGCAGATTCTGTCTCAAAATATGCCGAAAAATTACCGAGACGAATGTGGGGCGGTACGACTTCCACTAGCAGTAGGGCTGGCCTTCTTCCTTCCAGGAGTGAGATCTGCTAGTGATTTCCGCTGTTTCGTACGAGGCGCCAACTCAGCTAGATTACCAACACGTGATTCTGCAGTTTTCTCGGTATGCTCGTATTTACCCGAACCCATTTTCGCATATTTAACCTCACCGAATGATTGTACCTCCATCTGTAACAAAGAAAGACATACATGTGCATGGAGAAAGTTAAACTCGATCGATACCTGGATGTTCTTGAGGGGTTCGGGATGCCTCTCCATCTCCGTATCGATATCATACGGATCATGTTCTCCTTCAGCCTTTGCTTTCTTTGCAGAAGCAGCTTTTGCTGATTTAGGAGTTTTTGCAGCCGATGGAGGAGCAGCTGAACAGATCGACAATCATGTTAAAGTAATAGCCCTTCATATTCGCTCAAGATATTCAAAAAAAATGAAACATTTCTTTTACAAACACGCACTATTTAAATGAAGATCTATTAGGAAGTAGCTTTGTGAAATTGTCCCATAAAGGACATTAGACTCACCTTTTTTCCCTCTGCGAGGAGTTTCTGGTTCAGTACGGCTTTCCGCTTCATCCTCCTTCTTAGCAACACTCTCTTCCTCTTTCTTTGCTGCGCGACTTTTGCGACCAGTGGACTTTGGGGTTGGAGGCTCTGGCCTAGAGAAGCTTGATTAATACTTGCATTGAAACTCAATCAAAATACTTATAAGAAAACATACTCTGCATATGTGAAGCGTTAAATGCTGTACAAATTGCGTCACAGAAAATCAAAACAGTACCAACCGCATTGTGAACAAAGCTATTTTTACCAAATCCCTTTCATTGTCATAATGGAAACAAGATTTTTGAAAGAGGTGATTTCAAATTATTAATAATTCCTGCTTGCAGATTAGTAGCAAATAGTGCAGAAGGTGGAGCGATAACATACTTCGATGGAGTCTTCGACGCTCGCGACCGCAGCGACGGTCGAGAAGGTTGCTCGTCTTTGTCTTCTGCTTTGTCTTTTTCTTTAGCAGCATCTTGCTCGCTTTCGTCTTCCGCTTCAGCAGCAACATCCTTCTTGGCGCTCTTAGCTGCTTTCCCACGTCTTTTGGGCGTTTGCTCGTCAGCCTGAACACTCTGGCCATGATATGTCGCAAACACGAAGGATGCATCATAAGAACTGAAAGGAAGGAGTAAAATAACAATGAGCATGTCCAACCTTCGGTGTCTCAGCAACATTTGAACGACGGGTCCGCGACCGCAAAGACTTAGTCCCGATAACTTCCTCTTCCTTCTCTTCAGCTTCATCTGTTTTTGCTTCCGACTCTTCCATTTCTTCAGGCTTCTGCAAGAATGCAGCCATATAAAGGCAGGCACTATGATACCATAACACTAGATATCAATACTTTGGTCAAGCATACCTCTTCATCATCAGCCTTTTCTTCGTCGACGTGTTTTTTGGATGTGGCTTTCTTGGCCTGTGAACGAAAATTATGGGAAAACTATCCTGCTAATAAATGTTCACTCGACTGACTACTGCATGTAAAGAGATGTCGCAGCCGCCGATAAGTAAAACAAAGTGATGAAATGTGAAGTAGTGATGAGAATAAGAGATTTCAAAGCGAAAACTATACAAGTGAAAACAAAAAGAAAACGAAATGAAGATACCGGTGTTGCTTTCGCGCGTGCAGGAGTCTTTTTTTCAGACGAGGCTACAGCGGAGCGACGAGCTGATGTTCGTCTAGAACTGGCATACATTACGACAGAATATCATAAAGATTCCACTAATAAAAGCTACCTCTTCGGGGTTTCCTCAACTTCTTCAGCTTCTTTCTCCTCGTCTTCCTCAGCATCCTTCTTTTCTTCATCTTCATCCTTCCTGAACATCAAATAGTATGCAAGACACTATGAAAAAAAAAATCCAACAGAAAAAAAAACACAGATTAGCACTACAAGAGATGGCCCCAATAAAAGAACTGATTGGAGTTCGTTTTAATTACACAGAAACTGAAGATCGATACTTTGCTCGAAAAAGCAAAATACTGAGTTGAGGAAGAATAATCTTTCCAAATTTCTGAAGTCTTCTGCTCCGAAAAAAGAGTCGAAATAGGTTTGAGAGGTGTCTATAATAACAATTATGTGCTGTATTCGAAAAAAAAACAGCTAAACAAGAAACGAATGCGGTCAAGTAAACAAATGCAGTCAGAATGTTTCTCACAAAAAAAAGATGAACTGGCGAAGAACACGAAAAAACTGACTTTTCAACAGTAACACTCTCTTCAACCCTCTCGTGGACAACTTCCATTTCTTCTATCGCATAACTTTCGTTCTTTGACTTTTTACCATCACTGCAGAAAAGTACAAAATAAATAGAATATGCTATGCATCATACGCCACCTCAAAAGCGCCTACTCTTTCTCGCTTTCTTCGGTCCCTTCGCTTTCAGCTGCTTCCGGTTCCTCAACAAGAGGCGACTTCTGTGCTGCCAGCTCTGTATAAGCTTCTTCGGTAGTTACTTCGGTAATTTCCATATGCACTGAGGATTCGATCGTTTCCTCAGCAGACTGTGCCTTTGCAGTTCCGTCCTACAAATAACATTTGAAAAAAAGAGTTATCTCCGATAATAGCTAATAGTCACCTGCTCAGTGTCATCCGTATCCATTGAGATGATTTTCTTCACGCATATCTCCTCCTCTATTGGCTCCGGTTCTTTCACCGACTCCCCATCTTTGGTGACTGATTCAGGCTGCTTGTCTTTGGCCTGCTTCGCATTACCAGGGCTGGGTGATGGTCCGCTGTGCTTGACATCCTTATCAGTGGACCCCTTATTGGCAGCAGGTGACTCTTGGTGCCCTGTTACATTGTCCCCTGCTCCTGCCTCCTTGTCGGCGGAGTTCTCGGGTTCCTCACCAAGTGTTTTATTATCAATGTCGTTGACTTTGCCAGGTGTGGCGCTTGAAATTGCGCTTTCCCCGCCTTCGGTGGCCGTGCCAGTGGACTGGTCATTCATGTCAGCACCTTCAGCCTCTGTGATCTCGTCTACTTTACCTCCCAATTGCTGGTCCGCTGGCTCAACGGGGTCACTTTCGTCTTGAAATTCCTCACGAATTTCAACTATTGTCACTAAATGATAATATCAGTTACGGCCCAGAAAAAAAACTACTATATGTTCTTTTGTATTTTTTTTGAAACAGACACAAAACTCTCAAAGTTAAAAAAATTTCATGCTGTGAACTGAACTCTGAACAAAAACTGGAATTTACCTTCAGTTGTATTGATGTGTTCCACTTTCGCCTCAGGTTCTGCCATGTCTACATCAGCAGGCTCTGCATCCAGTTGCAACCCTGACTCTCCCTGAAAAGATTTGATTTTCACTTCGTATGTGTAAATGACCTTTGCTTCTTTGATTGATCCGAATTGATAGACAAGTCACACCTGTTCCATCTCCGCATCATTTTCCACAAGCTTAGCTGCGGTTTCTTCCCTTTCTTCCTTCTCTTGAGATGACAAATCGATACCCAGCATTTCAGCTCCAGAGCCCGAAGTGTTTGCTAAATATGTAAAGAGATACTTGGCTGCAGTGTAAGTTAAAATTTACGTGTTATTTGGTATGTCAAATGCCAATGTCATCTGTGACGCGCCCCCTTACAGCATTATATTTTAAGAACCTAGGATTTATATTTAACTAGTTGACTTACCCGGCTCCGCCCGGCCCTGTCATTATTATATTCGTAATCAGCATGCTCGATTACCCCCCTGTGCCAACTCCCAGCCCTGTAGCTCCAATTTTCCAAAAAAATCGATAAAATAGATCGATGACGAAAAGTAACCTATGACACCCGCCGGGGCCCAAAGTGTATGTGTGCCAAGTTTGGTCTCGATCGGTTCAGAAATGGAATTTTCTATTCGGTACATACATACAGACAGACATACAGACATACAAACAGACATTCAGCTTTATATATAAGATTAAAATATTTACGTAAATTCTTATGGTTTGGTTAAATGTGGACAGTTGCTGGTGCTTCGTCCATTAAGCGCACTTACTTTTTATGTAATGAAAAATAAAAACCGATACACTTATGGTTGCAAACTATGCCCCAAAGGGAACTGCCATAGGTTGTCGATGTTGTCGGTGTTGTCGGTGTTGTCGGTGTTGTCGGAGTTGCAGGGGTCAGAGACAGTTTAGAGAGCGCGCGAAACGTGGAGGCTATCATGAGGTCCTACAACGACCGGCAACCTCGGCAACTCCGACAACACCGACAACACCTACAACATCGACAACACCGACAACCTATGGCCGTTCCCAAAGGCTACAGAAAATTCTACTCGGACGGGATATCATTAAACGTTGTAAAAACGCTTAAGAATGAGAGTGCTAGACAAAGACTCCAATCACTTGAAGTTTAGGAGAAGACTAAAAACCAGAGGGCACAAAACTGAAAGGAAATAGAAATATATATACTCCATAAACTCACCTTCGTCATTCCCATCTCCGTTGGTCTTATCAGTCTCTGGCTTCAAGGCATCCTTTTCAGAAGAGATGTTTGCTTCCAGGTTCTGCACTTTTCGAAAAATTAGTTTGAGAATAAAAGTATAACTCAAGCTGAGAACACACCAGAACTCCAGATTTCCCAAAAAGACCCTTTCTGGACAAAAGCCCGGAGCCACTAGTATTCGAATCCGAAGATCTGAAACTTGTGTTTGACTCAAAATTCAAATCGCTGGAAAAAGGCATTCGAGATATCGTGGAAACAATATTTTTAGTACCTACGTAAATTAAAAGTACAAAACGCGATCAGAATAATAAACATCGAGTTAATTGTGACTAGTCGAAGATATGATGATAAGCTCAAGGTAACCACTCGAACAGCGCGCTGTGCTGGAACTGTTCCGGAAATTACGAATCAGTGTGAACCCAAGCCTATCTACTCAAAACTTGATCTAAAATGTAGTGATTCAGACTTTTTCCAAAACAGAAAGTCCCAGCTAGATTAAGTGAATCAATCAAATCAAAAATATGGATGAGAAAGGAGTGAATGTGACAGCAACAGACTCACCCATTCGTAAGTTCAGAATCGGTAAGATTCTCGGAAACGCCTGCAAAAAACACGTAATCACAACCAGAAAAAAAAGATGCACTTTGAGGTAAAAACTCACCGGTAGCAGCGTCTGCCATGAGTGACAATGACTAGTAAATGATGGTGACAAGTTATGAACTTCCGCACACCGTTCCTGTGAAAAAAAGTGTAATAGAAACAAATTGAGTATAGGTGTGGAAATCAAACGATGTGGTTCAGTATGCGACAACGACGACACTGATGGAGAAACTATTAGTGAATATCAATCGAAGAGATACGGATATACACACGCCCAATTTAAAAAATACCAGTAAAAAGTGCAAAAGTTGGCATAACAATGTTCAATGAAAAGCGCTAGGTTGCTTCTAGATCAACATAAAGGCCAAAAGCTTCATGCTCAGATAAGATCCATGCCATCCCTTCGCGTTTACCTAACTCCAATCCCTAAGGCAAGAGGCTGTTGAGAGCAAGAAGAAGCTCTGTTGCTTTTGCCTAGCCTTTGCCTACACCCTCAAAATAGTAATGAGCAGATTTAGACTCGAGCAAGAGGAAAATTCAGCAGCAAGAAAAAATAATGAAGTAAAGAAATTCCGTCCACCAAACGTTAAAAAAGAAGTGACTATGGTGCTTGGCTGGCTCCTCGCAATCTCCCAAAACAACATTTGTAATCTGACATAGCATCAAAATCCTTAGTTACGTATTGTTATGTAGTGCGGCAATATATTGATATATCAACATATGAATCGGGCGAAAATCGCATCACATGACGTGTTTGCAGCATAGAAAAGCAGATACTTTCTTTGTGGCTAAATGGTTACAAAAGGCGCTGGTTTGATTACAGGCTCCTTTCCATGTTGCCCCATCCCATACAGTAGCTTAAAAATGAAATAACGGATCCAATACAAAGAGAAAACCATTGGGAAAAGCTTACGATGCATACGAAGTGACAGTACAGTAAAGGTCCATCATACTGCTCAAAAAATGTATGATTGAACCTATTCATGCAGTGCTATCATGGACTGTGTTCGAACGTTTTCTTCCTACAGGTAAATTCCTTTTAGAAATTCCTTTCAATTCCCTTTAAATTCCTTAGTTCCTACAGGTTTACGGCGTTTGCGTTGCCTTTGGTCTGTTTGAAAACATATACAGGCAATTTACGGCAAGCAGAGACTGGACGCCAATGCGTCAAATCAAGATAGTTCTTTTGTGAAAGAGACAGCAGACAGTTAGAGGGCGAAAGCGCGCTTGATTTAAGAGGCGCCGATTACATCCGTAGTGGCGCTCTGTCTCTGCGTGCGATAGATCGGCTATACCCCATCACCTTTGTACCAAGTTATAAAAGGCAGCAGATGGTCAGTTACCTACAAAAATGTCAGGATGCAGACCTTACGTGTGACGGCGTAAGACCAAACAGACCAATTTTCCAAGTTATTGGTCTGTACATATTCAAATGAATTTGTTGCGATGGGGAGAAAACTAGTCCACATGCATTCTACTTCACGATTGAATCAGCTTCCATTTCAATGTTAAAAGTCTCAAAATTCGTTATTTCTACGCTAACTGGACAATTTGGACAAAGGGTAGAGCGCTAGCTTCAGCGCTGCAGGGGTCTTAGCACTTTTAGAGCAAAGTCTGATGCGATTTAGCTCGTATCAAAAAAAATTATGCACTCCTCTTTAGCCACATAGAGGTGAGCAAAATCTATAATGGAACGTATGAATGTCTAATTCCTTTTGTGCAAAGACTGGGAGGAACCCAAAAACATCAAAAAACCATACATCATATAGCTCAGTTGGCGGTCCCCTCTACACAAATGACTCGAGTACAAGCGCACTATAGTACAGTGGTCGTTGCAGATCTATGCCCATTCGACGAACTATGAGGTGTGATTTCGACGTCTTTATATTGTTTTAATGGCAATCGTTTTTCGTTCGCGTGCGAGCAGCGCATGGCAGGCACTCGCGAAGATTTTCACGCGCGCACCCACTGAATACACACAGCTAATAAATCGACAGTTCGCCACAGCCAATATCGCAGAACGCAGCAATTTCGCTAAAAATATAAAATTGCAGTTTTCACATATGAGTGACCGAAAAGTGCTGGATGATGCGTAGTCTTAGGTATTGTAGCAAACTCTAGTAGTGTCAAACCATGGGCGTCTAACAGTCCACACAGTGGAAAGAAGGGGATTTGCCCCACAAATCAGATAACCCTCATATGGAACATGCTCAAAAGCCTAAGCCAACCCTAACCCTAATACCAACTCCTTTGAAGAAAGTTAAAAGCTGCACTCTAGCCTAAGAGTGGCCAAAGGTAGAGACTGTGAAAGTGCAAAAATCAGCTTTTCTTCAGCACAGTACATGCTACCGCTGAACGGAAGATACGAGAAATCCAACCAGTTTTTGATTTCTTTCACTTCAAGGTCTGTATTATAACTCTAAAACTCCTACGCCTTACTAAAAGATCCTATCCTATAGCATCTCTTCCCAAGGTCGAGCAATGACACTACGCCTACGACTCCCTTAAATCCGGCTTCTCCCGCACTGTCCACTCGACAGACCCGATGCTAAAAAGTTGATGAGGCACTTTATTTGACAAAAATTTCAGATAATAGAGTGAAAGTACTAAAACCAAGACAAAAAACAAGAATGAGGCGCTGAAACTCACGCCACCGTTCAAAAAATTGCCGCCGACGTGAACGCGACGCAGCTTGAAGGACGCGCTTTTCATCTCGAGACCCGCCGCTCCGCTTGCCGGTTACGGTAGATTGGGGAAATTTGCATTTTTATCTGAAGGCCTAAATTTGTGATACTGTTTTGTAATGTTTTTACTTGTTTCTTTTCGTTTGGAATGGAGGTGGACAGGGTTGAAGTGGATATTGTTCCAAGGTCGATGTTTTGCACCTTTTAAACGGACTATAAAAGGCCGGAGTTGCTTTTTCTCTTGTTTTCATATCATCCGCGGAAGCTTATGTTCAAAAGGTGGAATGCAAAATTATTCACATGTTTTGCCGCTTCTTCTATTCGCCGTTCATTAGGAGGTCCAAGACAAAATGTCACAAATGTGCACGTTAATTAGAAGTTGCTGCAAATTATTGCATCCAACTTGTCGAGTGAAATAATGTATCGCAAATTTTCTTCTAAAGCATTGAAGTTTTACATTTGTTCCAAGAAAGGTTAGTTATTTATGATGTGTTGCAACAAATCGCTGTCTTTTTTCAACACAAATTGTCATCCGCAGTGTTTTTTGTTTCATGCTTGTTATTCAAAGACTGTGCTGATTCGTTTGAAGTTTTGCGTGTTTTTTTCTAGTAATAGTGATAAGTACTCTAAAGAATGCTATATGCAGTTTTTTCTGTTTTACAGGCTTTCCTATATTTAGTCTTCTTTGCCTGGTCCGTTCATGAGTAATGTTTCTTTCGTCAGTAGTTCTATCGGTCATTATGTTTTGAACGGTGCTTCGCGAAGCTTCTTTTTCATTTGTTTTTTGATTACTCAAACAGAATTCTAAAAGCATTCAGTCTTGAAATGCAATGTCTGATGTGTATGTTGCATCGACTGCTGGCGTTTATATCGTTTACGTTTCGCTTGTCGTCCGCGTGTCAATTTACAGCATCGCACAATGAACTCATCATTTTTTAGTTGTTGCAGGTAAAATGGTGAAGGCCACCAGCATAAAAGATGTTGATCAGCACGAGGCTGTTAAGCAGATTGCTCACTTCCTCAAAAAGAGCGGAAAGGTAAAGGTGCCTGAGTGGTCAGATATTGTAAAACTTGGCGCAAACCGTCAACTAGCCCCTGTTGATCCTGACTGGTACTACATTCGTACTGCCAGCATTGCCAGACGCCTCTACATCCGATCTCCCGTAGGTTAGATTTTATACGTCATATATTTTCCAACCCATAAGTGTTTCCCCCCCCCCCCCCCTACAATCTCGTACTATCTACTTTTGTAGGTGTTGGAGCGCTCCGAACTGTTTTCGGTGGAAAGAAAGACCGAGGATCACGACCAAACCACTTTTGCAAAGGCTCCGGATCCGTAATTCGCAAAGCTCTCCAGACCCTAGAGGCTATCAAATGGGTGGAGAAACATGCTGATGGAAAGGGCCGTGTTCTCTCTAAACAGGTAATCATAGTTTCAACTCCTTTTTCATTATATTTATTGCTTTTGTGTACCTTTTTCTTTATCATTTGTTGTCGCTCCTGGTTAGTTGACCTGAACTGACCTAGATTCACCAGCTTGGGCATATCACCTAAAATGTAATCATTCTGGCACACTCGACTTGATTCACTTAGCTAATGGTCACGATGGCGAATTTCTTATTAATCAATATACTTCCTATAGCTGGAAACAGTGGAATGACAATAGAAGTCTTAGCTTCTATTAGGTTGTCGCAAAAGTAAACTCCTTTTTTGAATAATTTAAGCTGTTTTTGCTTTACTAGTAGATTTGGAGGTATCATTCGATAAAGCAGATCAGCCCCTACAAAAACACTACCAAAAATCCGCCAAAAAAACAAGAACAGCTCAATTTATTTGAAAATGGAGTTTACTTTTGGGACCTATTATTTTTGTTGCGGCAGATATTGGTTGAACATTTTGAGCACAAGAAAGGAGCCTTTTACTTTTTGAGAAAGAATACGAAGGTTACAAGCACGATCATAAACACATAAATTGATAAAGACTCACTGTGAAGCAAAACAGGACGAAGAGCTCGGGTTAAAACAAAATGATCTCCTAGTTCGGTTAAACCACGAGTAATAGTTTGATGCGTCGCCCATGTTTTCACCCTAGATACCTAACATGGGCTGAAAACAGGATGTTTTTCGTAGTTGTTTCTTAGATGTTTGCGCCGTTATGAGCGTACTTTGCTGATAGTGCATGGGTCATGCGAGCTGGTGGCAAGTCACAGTGGAGGTCCTCGATGTTTTCACCCAAATGTTTGTTTCAGGGACGCAAGGACTTGGATCGCATTGCAACCGAGCTGCGCCAGCAAGCGAAACCAGTCGAGCTCTAAATTTGTTGTCACTGTTGTTTTGTTCATAAATGTTATTGATTTTGTTATTCTGAAATGTATTAAAATCATCATTTAATGCAGGTAATACGTTTACGATTATTCTTTTGTGGGCAACTGTCCTGGAAAAAAAGTTTAGCTAGTGGGACTCCGTTAGATTCAGCGACAATGGGCTAAATAGGTAAAATCAAAAAATCTTTATCGATAAAAGAAATAACAACTTGCAAACAGTTCAAGAAACAAATGGCAAAGACGATTATAACCCGTATGCAAAACCCCACGTAAGACAAGTTTGAACTACATGTACATAGAACCATCTGCGGGACGTATATAACCTGTGGCTATGAGTACAACATCTACTACTGTCCACACTCCAAGACCTCCAAAACTGAAGAGTTTTCCAATTGCTGACTTCCAAAGGCCAAGATAGAAACGATCTGCGCCAAACCCACCTTAAAAATAAATGATGGAAGAAGCAGTTGGCGGTCAAAATGGACTTACCCAGCGTTACCGACAAAAACATCGCTTTTGCCCAGCTGATACCTGATGACCAGCTACACCTAAAAAAGACAGAAGGAGGTAAATGTGAGTCTGCGTGAAAAGTGAGCTCAATATTATCAGTCAATAAGCTAAATTTTGCGACCAACATACGAGTTATTGCTTGGCTGATGTGTGCGCACGTCTTCGTATAACTTCGAAGTATGCGCTAGTCTCAAATGAACAAATCAACAATCACATGCGTTAACGTTACGCAAAGCTCAAAATGAAACCTTATTATAGGGTGATTTTGCAGTGATTTCTCAGATGAGCTGTCCTTTTGTTACAACACTGTTAAACTCGAAGGAAAAATCCAAACGAAGTTCTTAGATTGCAACAAATGACTCAACATTCTCCGCTGTGCTGCGCTATTGATTTGAAAATGTTCACAGCAGGGAGAATGTGCGAAGATGTGCCGAACAAAAAAAATGCGAAAGGGCAGTGCTCTCTTGTAGAACAAAAGGGATATCTGTGAAAAACAAGGATAAGTCATCCACACACAAAACTTGTGATAAGTGTAAAATTTCCATCAGAATCAAAAAAGGAACCAGATCAAACCGACCTTATTCTCTTGTTAAATGTTCGTCGACCTTTGCATATCACATTTGGATGCACCTGTAAGAATAATGAGTCCTTTCCTTGAAATTACCATTACTCGAGGAACAAACCGTGCATTCTGTCAATACGAGCTGCGTACTAGTGGTTGAACAATTGGACTGGGGCAAGCAGTCGTAGTCTGACGGATCAGACTGCCAGCAGTATCTGCAAAATCATAAAATACTTGTGATACGAATTGTGAAAAATGTGGCGTAACTAGTCAACATTATTCGAACTAATCGAACAAAAAATGGCGGAGAATGTGCGAAAATGAGAAGCAGAGAAAGAAATAGTAACTTTCTTGTCTGCTTCTGTCCCGAGAGATCCAAGAAAATAATCTGTATCTACAGTGTCGTCGCTTTGTCAGACCAGGTTTGTCCGTGGATCTTCATTAGTAGACCTGACGTTTCGGCGTGTTGGTCGCCCTTCTTCAGAGGTCTCGAGTCCATCGCATGTTAGTAAATCCGCACAAGTGACGAGTAAAGTCACTACTTATACTCACTGTAATTCATTGACTATAATCTAGTGATTACAGTGAGTATAAGTAGTTACACGTCACTACTTATACTCACTGTAATTCATTGACTATAATCTATAGTCAATGAATTACGCTACTGTTTTCCAGGCTTCATAAAATGCGAATGGTTAGATACCTAAATCGAATATTCTCGATCGGAAAGCAGCAATATCTTATTTATGCTCTAATCTGAGGATTACGTTATGGATACGGCAAGAAAGTGGAAGGAAGGTCAATGATTCTCTAAGCGCAGCTTTTTCTTCTGTACAAATAACTGCTGTTTCGAAAGGAAAAGTAGTAAGGTGTCATAGGAACGTAAAAGGGAGTTTGTCAAAAAAAAAGGAGAAAGAAAGGGAAGAAAAAGAGAAAACGTACATGGAAGTGATAGAAACATAGCTTACCTGCAAAAAGCATCTCTGTTAACGCTAATCTGGTTCGGACCACATTCTTTGACTGATGTACAGTTGACGTTAACGAGCTCATCAAGCTCGCAATCCAAAGGAAATTTACATAAAAGGCAGGAGGCATCCGTTTGGCAGTCTATTCGGGAGCAGCTAAACTTGTACATGTAATACATAATCATACATAATGATTACAGAAACCTAAAGCAAAAATTTGGTTTAAAAGAACTCACTGGGCTCGACTATTGACTCTGGAACTGCTCGTAGCTGAACCTAATCGCTTGGTAGTTTCACCTGCGAAAACTACAAAAGCAGCAACGAGCAGCAAACATCGTATCATTCTGGAAAAAAGTATTTTCAATATTCTGAGGCAAAATAACTTTCTGAACTCCATAAAGGACAGGAAAGAACAGATGTTTCATTACATTAGATTTGCCTTGATTGTTGAAAAAAAAAACTGGTTGATCAAGCAGGAAATGGAATCACTTGATGGAGACTTAGCCATTCAAATAACGATAATCAAAAGTTTTACACAAACTTGTAACAAACCACCAGTAAATTTTATCGACTAAGTAGACGGAAAAAATGCTATAATCGGACTAGAGCATGTCCGCAACTGCGGCGGCTTATTACTCCACAAAAACACGGCCTTGAAAATGAGCAAGGATTCTCGCACTTATAAATGCTGTTTTATTAGGTAAAAACTATGAAGCTGCGGCGCAATCGTGGTCGAGAGCCGTGACGCTTGCCACGTTTCCGCCCCTATGAGTCTGGTTGCGTTCCTGCTTTGATGCAAAGCATCAGACCATTTCAACATTGGAAGAAATTGACTTGACTTAAGACCATGAGGACAGAAATAATGCTGGGTTCTTCTCTACTTCAAAATTGTTTATAAGCACGCAGTCAGCAAGGAGTAAGCTTTGGTCGTGCAGTGAGATAATGATGCTTATTGCGAGGTAGCAGGAAACTGCGGATGAGAGGAAAAAGACGCTTCGATCGTAAAGTACTCGAACCAACACTTCGGCAGACTTTTGACAGGGCTAGAAGACTGATAACGAACCCAAAGACGCTTTGGAAGCATCTTAAACGACTCCGAAAAGTCATTCATGCAGTCATCACCGACCCTGCTCCTAGTTCCTCTCTCTTCAGCCGCTAATTGTTTCTGTATCTGTTTAGTTTCAGCGGTATCAAAATGCGGTGTAGTCCAAGAACAGTTTCGTCAGCCTGCTCTTGGGCTGCGTCTAGAGTGGTCGTGCCAGCGCCGTTCCAGTGCCGTGCCGGACGATCTACTTTTACGTAGCTCTCTACGCAGTCTCGGCACGGCGCTGGCATAACATGGTTATATCTGAACACTACCTTACACCTTAGTCTCCGCTCCTGTCGATAATCTAATGACTTACTGGAAGGCAAGAATATCCGCCTAGCGTATAATAACGTTCTCGAAGCCTTTTGAATTTCTAAGGAGATATGCAAGATAGTTGCCAGGGCTCTCTAATTTTTCTTGAAGTACATTTCAGACATAAATGTGGACGTAAAAAATTAAATGCAACCGTTAATATTTCGATCTCTTAACCAAAAACCACCAGACTTATTGTTAGCATATGGTAAGCACATGGTTAGATAGGCTAGCTAGAGCAATTTGCCTGGTGTTCTTGAAAGCTAGCATAGCTCCAAAGTGGGCTGGTGAATTGATGACTTTTGAAGAAATTGCCCCTTTCAACCATCTCCCAGCTTAGAGCAGGGTTGAGCAAGAGGTCAGGCACAAGTCTTTCCAAAACGACCCCCCCCCCCCCCAGTGAAAGCCCCTAAACGACCCCTCTGCTTCACCTCCAGGACCTCAGGCTGTGATAATTCGAAGAGATCAGCCGTTTTTGGGAGGTTCTCGTTTTTTGGAGGTCTGTAGGTCGACTTTCTGCGATTGCACAGCACACGCAACTTGACGGCAAGTTTTGGATTTTGGATAGCCCTACTTTTAGAGCTATAAGTCCCACAGGGGTGTATTGTTTGGCTTTAAATTTGCAGTATTGCAAGAAGAGGCTTTGAGTTCAATACTCATAGCAGAAATGGAGCGATTTTTAGATTTTGAAAACAAGTTAATCGGGTCAGGCGCAACCCCTCAAAAGCTCAGCGGCCTGACCTTTTGCGGGGTTGCGCCTGACCCGATTAACTTTATCATTGAAGAAGCTTTTTTATTCAAGTTTTATGTGAATCGCTAGCACAACCCTCGAAGATTCCACAGTAAGTGTTTGGACTTGATTCGACTTGTTTCGGCCTTGTGGTAATCCGTGGAGTTGAAGCAGTCATGGCGAAAAACGCGCCGGTCGGAATTTTGGCATTATTTCTTACTCCACTATTTGCAAGCGATACAAAGCGCGATTTTTAGCCTAGACTAATAGGGAACAATACTTTGTTGCGAGTACAAGAAAATTGACTTTTCTCACTTTTGAAAACAAGTTAATCATGTTTGAAAATCACGCTTTTTAGTCGTTGAGAAACACTAGATAATGCAGTAAATAATGGTTTGTAGGGCTCATAGAGGTAATTTGACGTGCTCGGAAATGATACCCATTTCACACAGCAAGCTTCCTTGATGAATTTATAATATGTCAAGGTAGAAGATGAAGATTTGAGTTTTGGCCGAAACTTCGATTGTGGAATTAATCAGTATGCTGTTTAAGACTGTTCATTCCTTCAGTACTGGTGAGGTCGCGGTATCCACTAAACTAGTGTTTTTCTTCTTCACCTTAATCGTAGTATCTCCTCAATCGAACGAATTCGATTCCTAATCACGACCCCCCCCCCCTCTGTCTTACCCCAGTACGACCCCCCAGGTCGGGCGCGCCTGACCCCACGCTCAACCCTGGCTTAGAGCATAGCTTATAATCCGTGGCCCACACAATTTCCTATGGGTATCTTCGAGTCGTTTACAGCTTGATGGCGAATTGCGCAAGACTCATGGTACCGACTTCTCCGGCTAAACTTCCAAATTCTCAAGATGTCCTTGTATTCTTTTGCTTTAGCTTACTGGAGAATATGATATCGTACACAACTCCACACTTTGTTTCGCTGGGAAAATTTTTTTTCCATTCACAAGTAGGTGTCGTCGGTTTTGCACATTGTGCAGGACCAGCAATTGGCCATCGGTAACGCTATGATTAGAGCGCTGAACCCAAAGATAATGAAATTGTTAAGCTAAGCGGCCCATAGATGGTTATTTGATGGCTTTCTAGTTGTTTCACGGATGTTGTGAATGGAGAAGGCAGATAAAAATTTTGTATTTCAATTCACAACAACATCAACGAATCAACAACAACAATGAAGCAGTGAACGTAAAAGGGTTCAGATGTACTCAACAAGTAATTTATGAGTTGACTTGCAACAAGATAACAAAGTGGGCAACTTCAAAGAAAATACGCTCATTTTTTGTTCCGTGTAAATATCCGCTTAGGACGCGATTTGAGACCAATTATCGAAGGTTAGCTTTCTTCTCTAAAACTTGTAGTTTCCACTTGATATCGGTATTAATCGTGGGCGGTATCATTTCAGGCTCTGCAACATCTTAATAGACTCTCACGAAACAAAGAAAAGATTCGCTGATTGTGGTGCACAAAAAATGCAATCTGAAAATCAAAGCACGGGCCAAATCGAAACTAGTTTCAATAAGGGAGATAACCCTACCCATCGTAATAATTCCAGGCATTCCACCATCATTAGGAAAGGCAAACACGTCGTCAACAGTGTACTGAAACTAAGCAAATTGATCTTTGAGAGTTAGGAAGAAGACCCAACAGACCAATGCATACAATGGCCCCGGCAAATCGCGTGGATGAAGTTTCTGTGGCCAGATGTGGTGTTTTCTTGAAGAGGCATCGCTGATAAATTTCTCCACAGACACTTGTACGGATGCAGCCAGCTCCCATTCATCAATGCTCACCAACGCTGGGAGCAACTGCACTAGCTCAGCTGAAACAAAAAAACTTACTTGCAGGGCAAGTTCGGATGACCTCACCAGTCAATTCGTTAATCCATTTGTAATGCGTGGCGATGGCTAAAAGCAAGGCAGAATCCTCGTATTCACCGCCCTCTTTTAGCGACTGCTTCTTTCTGTCAATCTGAATGGTAAAGTCTTTTAGCTCAACACCATGATATATTTCTATGCGTATAAGTCCAGCTAGGTTGTCCGGAACTTGATGCAGGTTTTCGCAAGTGCATATTCAAGTCAACCGTTCTCCTCTTAGTTTGCTTCTTGCGACCAGATCGCGTGCCAAGTGGAAGCGGTACTTCTATTTTGTTTTGCTTCGATTGTTGGCTTTATCTTTCCACCTTTTTTAGCTTTCATAAAAGGAGCCCCAAATAGGAGATTTTTCTTTACCCACTTTGAAAAATTCTTTTTCGAACTCATTCGGCAAAAAAGATATTTCCATGATAACGTAACTGCTATAAGATGCTGAATGGGTTTACGAGGTACATAAAGAGATCTTGTTTTGAGTGTCGCTAGACTGGAGATATCGAGGTCCAAACGTGATAGTGTCGGGGCCATTCAATGGACTGTAACATTCTCCCGAATGAAGAAATTGTAAATGTTTTCCTCTGTGGATTTAGAACAAGACCATAGCTGCCAGCAGCCACTTAAAGGCACCGTCCACCCAAAATTTCAACCTCCATGTTTTTGCCGTTCCGGGGCTCTCTCATACCCCTGATTTCGAGTACCAAGGCGGAAATCCCAGAAAACCACGAAAAACCCCGTTTTCAGAAGCCGCAGAGCGACTTACTCGGGAACGGTGATTGGTTGGACGTGCACGGATGGGCGGGACGAACGTCATACCCACTCAAAGGGAAGGAGCCAACGTGGCGAATCTGTCATGCGATTTTTGAAACAATTATCTCGCTTCGGCAACTTTTGTCAGCGCGAGTTGGATAAGTATACAGTTGAACCCCACTACTGTCAGGCATCAAAATCTCATCAACCCCATTTTGAGTGAACGGTGCCTTTAAGGTGGGACGTGTGAATCTTTATCATTGAGGAATAAAAAAAATCCATAACTTTGGAGTCACAGTCCTTGTCGAAAAAATGGACGCTTTTGACTTCGCAATGTTTTTGTCTCGCAAAAAATTCCCGAAAAACATTCGTACTGGCTTACGACTACAAGGGTAGAAATTTCCCGCTAGACATTTTTTTTGAAGGGAGATACAATCCGTCAAGGAGACGTTTCTCTGAAAAAAAATTTTTTTCAGTTCGCGGCGAATTGCATTTAGAGTTCCAAAAAAAGCAGATAAGCTTTAGATAGACAAAGACTTCATGATTTCAATGGCTTTGACCACATCCTTAAACATGATTTCATCAGATTTGATTCTTTAAAGTGAGTGGCTGCAAAACCTGCATTAATTCCCGGACAACTAATATTATATAGTTGCACGATCTCGACACAAAAAGATTCAACTGCTTTAACAGCAAAATGAAAATGGTCTCAAGAAATAAAGGCACGTGTTGCAGCTACGCCTCTGATCTCATACAGTTTAAGAGATTATTTTTCTATCACTAGGTAGATCAAAAGGTCTTGCGTGACTCCGAAGGTTCAATAACTCGAATCCTAAAACTGAACCCACATTTTGTAATTAGAAAATTAAAACTACTTTTTATTGCCTAGCTTCGGGGAATCTAGCTTCCAAAACGGTGCTACAAGATCTGTGATTTTTTAGTTCTATCTAAAAATACTAGAGTGTCGCTAGCTAGTCTCAAAAATTTTATAAAAGTTTTTTGCACTGTAGTCCATACGTTACCGTGGCAAGGTTAAAACCACGAAGAAAAAGCAAAAGAAAATCGAGAAAGATGCCATTAGAAAAAAAAACCTCCTTGTTATGGCACTTCTTCAGCAAAAACACATCTTAACACTTTTGTTTTGAGAGCAAAGGTCAAATTGTCCTAATGTGTGTTTCTGTGGTGAAAATGTATTGGTATGCGCAGTGACATATGGACTACCGTAATGTGAGATGAACGATAGAGAAGTTCGCGCAAATTTTTGCTAGCTAGCGGCAGTCTAGTACTTTGCGATTAAACTAAAAATCACGACTCTTGAACCGTTTCTGGAAGCTAGATTCTCCGAAAGTAGGCAGTGAGAAGTAGCGACTAAGTGACCATCGTAACCCGAAAACCTTGTTTTATTTTGCAAGTACAAAGTCTTAACGTTATTTCCAGGACATGAAGAGTTATAGGATTCCTTTGAATTACACAATAACCCACTACCTGCTTTCTTTTGCGAACAGTCGCCGTAGTGCTGGCTCGACTCATTCCTGTCTTCGTTGTTCGCCTGCTCATTACGCTCATAGTACTACCCGCATCAGAAAATATGTCAATATCCTAAAGTCGAAAACAATCATGTAAGACCTAGGTAGAAATGTTGCCGTACCTCAAGATCTCTTCCACTTTCAACTCCTTCCTTGATCTTCAAAATGCGTTCTTCTTTGATAGAACGAACTACCTCAAGACGTTTGGTGTACCTCAAAATCATAAAAAATTAGAAGAGTTTATTCACTTTACTCAGTGAGGGGAAATTTTCATCACTTAAGCCCATCCTAACAGCAATCAGACTTCTTACCTTTCAACTTCTTCTGCCTTCGTTGTTAACTCATCTAAAATGCTCTGAGCGCGTTGCTTCAAAAGCTCTCCGATAAGATTAGAATCTAAAGAGTACAATGTTCAAAAAAACCAGGAAGACATTCATGATTTCTCGGAGACGTCTGAAACATACCTTTCGCTCCTCGGGTGCAGTTGACAGCATCTAGCCATTGTCCTGCTTTGGCATAAGCTTCACCGATAGCGACTGCGGAAGCTTCCTAATGTGTAGTTCTATGAATTTGCACTTTCAGAAGAAAAAGAAAAACTACTAACTGCATGTTCTAGAGCCTTCGCGGCCTCGGCGTATCGACCTGAGCTCTTCAACACAGCGGCCATTTTGGATAAAGCTGAGTTGAATTCTTCCTTAGGAATATCGAAAGCACGTGCTCGGGAAATATACTGACTGACATCGCGGGCCATCTCCAAACACCTCAGGACCTGTGTTAATTTTTTCATGCTCTCAAAAAACAAATTCGTTTACAAGAACGCACCTTCTCAGGCCGATCCGTCTTGTCATATAACATGGCGGCTTCTTGCCATTGTGCCTTCGACTCCAATAGTTCAGCATACAGCAAGCAAACATCCTTAATCGGTCATGATTGACAAAAAACTTGATTACATGCTTGTAATCGTCGTCCAAAACAGTAGAATTCGTCATATCAACCGCTTGGGTAGGATTTATGAGAAATCAACGTAAGGTGTATTTGTTACTTAATCACATGAAGTTGTGTAACAATTAAAAAAATAAAAATGAAAAATTAAGAGTGAAAAATATATAATTTCCCAATCAACTGTTCGCTTTTGAATCACAGATGACCACATAGGCTGGAAAGCGACCGCTCGCACCCTCGACGCAGTGTGCGTCTCTCTCGCGTCCGTGCTCTCTGGCATTTCCTATTGAAGCTCCGCCTTCCAGCCGCCAATTCTGTTCAATTAAAGGATACTCGCAGCTGCTTGACTGTGATCAGAAAAGAAACTTGAAGGTGGAAAATGAGTCCTCCAGACGTGAACAACGATCATCCTAGAATTTTAAAAAGCATCTTTGAAAGAAATTCTCAGGAAACTAATCATGTCTTTTACTTCAAAAAAACTAACCTGACTGCTGTTGTTCATCAAAAATAATTTAACTGTACTGAATTGATCAAAAAACGTGTTACTCAAAAATGCCAAAAACATTCCGCGCACAGACCTTTTTGGTTTCGCCTCTCCGTAAACGTATGGGTCAATGAGCTCACTGGTCCAAAAACTCAAGAGCCAGGAAAATTATGAGCCAAAAAAGGCTTATTACCCTTGTTTTAACTTTCAAAAAGCATGGCTGCTACGATAGGCCTCGGGCAGAGTTCATGCGATTTCATCGTTGCGATTCATTGCTACAAGACAACTGTTACGAGTTCACTGCATGCCGGTCTTCTTGTAATTCGGTTGTGATAGTTTGTTACGACTAGTCGTTTGGAAAACTATCATAACCGAAACGCAAAAAGATCGGCATGCAATAATATTGTTACAGTTGTCTTGTCGCGATCAATCGCGACGATGAAATCGCGTAAGATCTGCCCGAGGCAACAAACGTCATCTTGCCTGAGTATGGATGAAACAGGGCAAAGTTTGGGCTGTATTTTCGTGGAGGGCAGATGCACACACACTGACACTAGCAGCTTACAGCTCGGATATATCGGCGAAAATATACGAAAGCTCCAATCACCTCAGTGTGCTTCTCCTAGGAGCAAATAGAACAATCAGATATGTCAAAGTTATGGAGCTATGCGTGATTTAACGAACATATTTAAGCACCGTGGTAGGCGCTTTCCATATTGAGTATCTCACACTAGGATAATTAAACCCGCTACTTCAAATATGGAATTCACACTCTAACATATTTGTTCTATAAATTATGTCAAGTCTATAATAACAATAGTTTTTTTCCAAAGCTTCTGAGAATGTAATAGCTATAAAGCACGTAAAAAGATGATAGTGATGTCAGCCTGCGTGCAAAACTTACATAATTTTTGGTTTTCATCAGAATTTTTTTTTACAAACGGACTTCTTCAAAATGGCGATGTAAGCTGGAATTTCCTATCGTAAGCATGATAACGAAAAGCGACGGGTAATATACTTCAGAAGCCAGCTCTACACATTGGTACCCAAACGTCGGAAAAGACTTTTTGGGAAAAGAGATTTTAACGCTCAAAAGTTTGATACATTAAAGACACTCTAAATTTTGAACCCGGAAAATTCTAGTAGGGCGCGCCATCTCCCCCCCCCCCCCGTTCTCCCTATTCCCCTCCGGTCCTGGAATAGTGAGCGCTATATGTCAAGGGACATACGGACAGGGACCAAGCAAAGCCTGCGCCGGCTGTTCTCATGAATCCAAAACTTTATGGGTTTACTACACATTGCTCGTCTTCAGTGGTAAATGTCTTCCTTGAAACATTAATTTTTGCATGAGTTCTAGAGCATACGATCTTTTGTTTAGAACGTGGACAACAAGCATATTAGATTGACTGCGTTTTCACAACTATTATATACGGAAGAAGAAATGACAATGAAATCAAAGAAACTAATGTATTTATGACAATTCAACGTTATCCTTCATTTTACTCACAAATGATTTGACTTCGAAGAAAAATTCCGGTGAGGAGAGAGGTGAGAGAGTATGTAGGTGACGTCGTGATAAAAAAGTGATCAAATAAACCAAAAATAAAGAACTGAATAATGACAATATTAACGAACTCCATAATAAAAATTCAACTGCGCCAAACTCCCTCCATCCACTAAAAATCCCAGAAACTGCAACACATCCCCTCCCCTCCTGAGATAACGTAGACTTTTGAAATGATCTACTACAATGATCCTACAATAGAAAAAATCTCCCACAGGAAAGTGAGGATATATCCGAACATACCTTATATCTCGGCGAATCCTTGTAGATGATCAATGCGGCCGAGTAGAGATCCTTTTCACGGATAAGTGCAACAGCCTCTTCCCACTTTTCATCCAGTTCCGAAAGATGTCTAAGTGCACCACGCCAGTCCTCTCTCACAGTGTCTATGCGATACTTACGGTAGCTTTCTGGTTCAATCTAAAATCAAGCAAAAATCATGGTTTGTTTGTAAAATACACCTGTAATATGTTTACACACTTTCCGTAGTTCGTTCAGTAAAGGTATATACTCTTTGGGATCCCGATTCGAGGCTTCAGCAACCTAAATCATTTCGTGTTCATATTCCTAGTGAACTGCCACTTCAAGCACCAGAGTTTGCATTACAAGCGCCGTGCTAGCACCGTGCCAGAACATCAATGGAACAGTACGGCCATGCGTCTCCGGGGCCGCAACTCGCTGGCACGGCGCTGGAACGGACCTGGACAACAACTCTGGAGGCTGGCTTATTGTTAGACAAACACACACACTACAAGTTCTATGATTTTGTAATGGTGTAGCTTGGACCCTAGCACAAAAAAAAAACAGAGATCTTCAGAAAATCTTTCAAACAAACTTGCCTGTGCAGTGAGTTGAAGATCGTAGGTAGACAGTGCAGCATCAAAAAGTTCAGCTTCTTTTACAAAAAATCCGACGTGATGTAGCCATTTTCGTGTGTAGATGTCCCTCTTTTCGGGTGGAACTGTAAAGTATCCTGTGAGGAAAAAAACGAAAATGCTTAGAAAATTGGAAATGTCATTTTCTTGAGCCTCAACTGGTACTGATGTCAAGAGGCTCGGAGCCACATTGGTGATTTTTTGAACAGCATGAATGTCAGATTGAGAAAAGTAAAAAAATTTCGCCACTCACGTTTGCTCGTTTCCTCCTTAATAAGACGGAGAGCTTCCTGCGCTCGCTGTGGAACTGACTTCAGCATTGCAGTCAGTGCAACAACCAGCATTTGTATTCGCCGCTCTGAAGGTAATGAGAGCACTTCCTTGGCTAGGAGGTCTGTGATGCGATTGACCTAGAAGGACAAGATAATTTCGGAATAACTAAAAAAATAGATATACCTTGTCACTCATCACTGTCCCATTGCACCATTCACTGCGGCTGTTATTCAAAGCAGCGATCAAAAGGTTGATGAGATCTGGATCTTTGGATGCTTGGATGAGGTCGCTGACATGGCTCAAGAATATCTAGAATCTTTATAGTTAAGATAAATATGTTTGGAAATGATTGCCCATCATCATAGTGGAACTTACAATCGGAGAGAGATCTTCAAGTGCTCTAGCTAATGGATACGCTGAGGTAGGATACAATTATTTGAAAAGCTTACGTCTGGCTTGTAGTCGACGAGAAGGTTCATATCGATACGATGCTTTTTCATTTCTTTCAGTGCTGCTACGTATTTGAGATCATCAATCAACTTCTTGATCTCCCGTACGACGAAGCTGAATGCAGAAATTGCAAAAAATTACAATCAAAAAATTTATATTGGTACATGATGACTGCTGACGAAACATGCTTGAACTCCTATCACCAGACAAGAGATTGAAAAATTTCATAAATTGACTAGCTGGCTTACCCGGCTCCGCCGTATCCGGACCAAACTTGGCACACATACACTTCGGGCCCCGGCGGGTGTCACAGTCCACTTTTCGTTATCGATCGATGTCGATTTTACCGATTTTTATCGATTTTTTTGCAGAATTCACCTACAGGGCTAGGAGTTGGCACAGGGGGGGGAAGTGAGCATGGGGATTCCGAATACAATATTAGTTTCCAGAATTATCGATTACTTTTATTGATCTTATCGATTTTTTGTAAATTTTGACATGCGAGGCTGGGATTTTGCACAGGGGGTAATCGAGCATGCTGATTACGAACACAATATTAGTTTTCAGGATCGTCCATTACTTTTATCGGTTTTATCGATTTTTTTGTAAAGTTTGACCTGCGGAGCTGGGATTTTGCACAGGGGGTAATCGAGCATGCTGATTACGAATACAATATTAGTTTTCAAGATCATCCATTACTTTTATCGATTTTATCGATTTTTTGAAAATTCGAGCTAGGGGGCTGGAATTTGGCACAGGGGTGTAATAGCATGCTGATCACCCCCCTTGGGGATGATCAGCATGCTCGATTACCCCCCTGTGCCAACTCCCAGCCCCCTAGCTCAAACTTTGCAAAAAATCGATAAAATCGATAAAAGTAATGTACGGTTTTGAAAACTAATATTGTATTCGTAATCAGCATGCTCGATTACCCCCCTGTGCCAACTCCCAGCCCCCTAGCTCAAACTTTGCAAAAAAATCGATAAAATCGATAAAAGTAATCGATAATCCCGAAAACCAATATTGTTTTCGGAATCCCCATGCTCGATTACCCCCCTGTGCGAACTCCCAGCCCCGTAGCTCAAACTTTGCAAAAAAATCGATAAAATCGATAAAAGTAATCGATAATCCCGAAAACCAATATTGTATTCGGAATCCCCATGCTCGAATACCCCCCTGTGCCAACTCCCAGCCCCGTAGGTGAACTCAGCAAAAAAATCGATAAAAATCGATAAAATCGATATCGATCGATGACGAAAAGTAGCCTATGACACCCGCCGGGGCCCGTAGTGTATGTGTGCCAAGTTTGGTCCGGATCGGTTCAGAAATGGAATTTTCTATTCGGAACATACGTACACACAGACAGACAGACAGACAGACATACAGACATACAGACAGACAAACAGACATTCAGCTTTATATATAAGACTAGCTGGCTTGCCCGGCTCCGCCGGGCCTGCCAGCTAGACCCGTGTACGTATGTTCCGAATAGAATTTTTTATTTCTGAACCGATTGGGACCGAACTTCGCACACATACACTTCGGGGCAGGGAGCGTGTCACAGCCCACTTTTCGTTATCGATCGATGTCGATTTTACCGATTTTTTGCAAAATTTGAGCTAGGGGGCTAGGATTTTGCACAGGGGGGTAATCGAGCATGCTGATCACCCCCTTCGGGGTGATCAGCATGCTCGATTACCCCCCTCTGTCAAATCCCAGCCCTCTAGCTCGAATTTTGCAAAAAATCAATAAAATCGATATCGATCGATAACGAAAAGTAGCCTATGACACGCTCCCTGCCCCGAAGTGTATGTGTGCCAAGTTTGGTCCCGATCGGTTCAGAAATAAAAATTTCTATTCCGCACATACGTACAGACAGACAGACAGACAGACAGACATACAGACAGACAGACATTCAGCTTTATATATAAGATAATTTGAAATTTTCGCTGGAATTTCATTTTCTCTAGCAGTAAAGGGATTTCTGTTTCTTTGCAGATGTGGCAGTTTGTGTATTGAGTAATTTAATGAATAACCAAACCAACTATAACAATTACGCTGATTCTACTTCAACTCTTTGTGTTTTATGCGCTTTAGAATGTAATGAGTCAATCAACCAAATTTTTAAATTCATCGAATATTTCCTCTAAGACTTGTTGAGGTCTCCTCTGTCTAATAAGCAGTAACCACATCCGATTTCGCACTTCAAAAGAGTAGAGTTCGAATTTGCAGATTTGCATATGAGAATTGAACTATGGCGCAATTACAACAGGTGAAATGACATTTGAGACAAGTGTACATTCTCAGCACGATGATAATCTTTTCTACGAAATCCTAGCTATGTCAGTAACGTAAAGTTTCGATAACATTACAATATCCATTCGATCACCTCATTTTTTACCTATCGGCAATATTGTTTCAGAAAGCTACGACTGGAACCAACAGGTGAGCTGCATTCTAATTTTCACGATACTGACTTCAAGTATATTCAGAAAATTCTCTTAAGCCGAAACCAACATTGGCAAACCAAAAATGAATAAAAATACTATTATCCACTACCATTGAAATTTTCTATTTGCATGTTTCTGATAATTTATGGATAGAATAAGCGCGACGCTCTTTACAAATTCAGTGTTATCACTATGGTAAAGGTCGGAGACCTAGAGACAATTTTGCACAGAAAAGCGAGAAGAAACGGAGAAAGTTCTTATCTTGTTAAGTACGAATTCGAACGATTATTTTTTTCCTACTTTAGCGACCCTACTGTAATTATAATATTCTCTGTAGCTAACTTACGGTCTTGGATGTATTGTCTCGAGATTCCCGCGAGGCATCTGCATGGTTACACTCGTGCCAGATGATGAACAAGCAATGAGACTGCTTCCAAGTTCGACTGCTCGCTCTAAAAAGACTTTTTTGGGTAACAGATATTCCCAAAAAAGGCGAAGTGCACGAAAAAGGGGTTATAGCTAAAACATGGTTACCTTTTGTCACTTGTTGCTTGTCGGTCAATGAAATCATATGCAATTTGTGATGGAGTGTGATGTAGAGACATACATCTCCAGAGACCAAGTAAGACGACACTGAGTCCGGAATCGCTTTCCCATCTATGAATAGCTCGAAATTTGGTGTTCGTACTAACATGCGTTCCTAAAGTATTCGGTCGCAAACAACTAAAACTTCTTTCTTGTGTCTAGCTCCATACCTGAGCAAATTTCACATCATAGCTGTCAGCTGAGGGCAGATTGTAGAGGAAGTGAAGCTGGCCATCTTCTCCTATTTGCGCAAATCTTCCATCCTCATTGGCCATCACTAGCAGCTTGGATGTCGGGTCCAAACCCAACCATACAGCTTTTCTAGCACATTCATGGAAGCTGAATGGATGACTGATAAAAAGAAGACACTCATAAAAATCAAAAACTTGTATGATCCTTATGATCCTTGCCCAGAGTTGCCCTTATCACCATTACAACGCCTTGTCGTCAAGTGGGTTCTGGCACGGCGCTGGAATGGTGCTGGCACAGCGCTGGGACGGCGCGGACCGGCACAAAGAAGCTCTAGACGCGCCTTTGGATGGATAATTTACAAAATTCCAAGAGCAAGCTTATGAGCTTGAGAGTGCACAAAACAAACACTACTTTCTTGTTATCCTGCCTCTGAAGTTTAGGTTGTAAAGTATATACTTGAGTAAAAATCAGATTAAATACACTCACGTCTTGATTTCTCCACTTTGAACATCAATCTTGACAATGGCATCGTGCTCAGCATGTGCAATCACCACCAGTCCTTCACCGTACCAGGTGAGGAACGAGAAGAATCTCCACTGCTTGTCGTTCTTCAATTCTGATGAAGATGCCAATGTCAGATTATCGCCAGAAGCGTCTCTCGTATCTGTAAATGATCTACTTCGGCCAAGACTGGTGAATAAAACATAACAGAATTTCGCGACAACTCAAACAGAAATGGACTCGAAATTCCAAGAAATGGAATTGAAATTCCAAGGAAGATTTAGTTCCTGATGGCAAAGAAATTGGCGAATGAAGTGTTATAAATCATCAAACAAAAAGCGAACAATACTCAAAATAGATCCCCCCCCCCCCACACACACACACACACACAGAATCTTCTACCCCTTAGAAACAGAAGATGTACAAGGAAAATTTCTCGAAGATTTTCAATCTACGTTTTCTTTTATTCTTATTGCCTCCTCCACGTAAATTTAACGGTTTATTATCATATTTCAATGCTGATAACCTCAGGTAAGGATTGCCCCGAGCCGTTATTGACCGTACTGGTGACATGCCCATAGGCAAAGAAAGGGTTGGCCCAGGTTCCACTCTGGACTGACATTAATTAGCGTTGCTTTCCAACAATGGGATAGAATCCCCGTATTGGCATCCCTATTATCGCATTTAAATTCCTCAAACAAAAACAACTTTTTTTTCAGAAAATGCGAATTCGAGCTATGTTACGTTCAATTTGGAAACATCTCCGGAAGTCTAAAAAGGTAACATTTCCCCATACCCCTCGCTCATCTCGTAAATTTCAGTGAATTTTTAGGGCAATTTCCCTGTGGCCAAAAATCATGGCAAATGTTTCAAAACAGTGGTAAGATTTTAATGTGAAGATCTAATTTAACTCCCCCCCCCCCATGACCAGACTATTTTAGCTACCAAGTTATGTTTCGTTCTCGCGACCTCTTCCGCCTTCAATTCGCATCAAAAACTATAGCGTAAAGGAAGAGTAAGTGGTTTACTTCGTAATCTAGAAATGTAGTGATGATTGACAAGAACGAAAACTCAAAATACTCATTTTTGCTAGTTGGTAGGGTAATTACCAGTGGTAACCAGGTAATTCAGTGGTGGTAAAAATACGAACAATCTCTTAAACTCGATTACTGACCACGAGGGTAAACGTTCTAGGAAATCAACTTTTCCAAATTAAAGCTATAGCCCTTTCATATTTTCTGAAAAACAAAAGTCAGTAATGTTTCCTTGATTCTTTTATAGGGAAATTTTAAAAAGCTAGGAAAGTGCAACACTAAAAATACTTTGAGTGTTGGTACGAAATTGGTTCAATGAATAGTGTTCTAATGTTTTGGCAAGACTGTCCCCAGTACTCAAAAAGAAAGTGAAATCATCGTTCTGACTAAATGAATACAAATATTAGATAGTAAGCCATTCTAGTAGGTTCATTATTAATGGCAGAATCTTTCAGGTGTCCACTCTATGCTATTAGTCCATCTTCAACAATTTACACTACATACCAAGACGAGGTAGGATGTCAAATGGCGCATCACATAGACTTCAGCAAAGCGCATATTTTCAGAGTAGTGATGAGTACGGTTACGCTACCGTCATCGCCAATGAGAGCGCATTCCATACCATTCGCAAAGATAGCCAACAAATGGGCGGTTTGAGGCGTGTCGATTGTTGCAGTAATCTTTTGGATAAATCTTTTATGTCCGAGGTAAAAAAAAGAGTCAAACAAATTTTGATATCGAAGTCTATTTTTCTACGTGAAGGAGGAACAATCTCAACTCATAAAAAAGCTAACAATGTTGAGCAAAAATCCATCAAAGAGAGCGCTCACGCCTCCACCACAATTCATAGTAAGTGCGAAGATTTTTTGTCTACAACTGAATTATCTGATCCACTTTCAATTTTTCAGCCAATCTGCACATCCACCCCAATTGTACGAAGTTGCATAGATATTCCAACAACAACGGATAGCGAAGAAAAACTACATTTCTTCAGGATGCAGGATAGACAACTGGTTGGTTTGACTTTACTTCCGAATACTAAAACTTCAGAAAGATTTAGTCGGTCCCCACTTTCAAACCACCTCCACCACCTAAAGAGAGTGTATGCAAAGATGATTTGGTTGTTCTGAATGATAGGGAAAGGGTAAGACATCCGTCGACAACGAAAATGAGCAAAAGTGAAATTCAATTTTAGTTTTGGGAGGTTGAGCTGCCAAGGGATTACTCTAAATACATTGAAGATACCGCAACATTGATAGCCAGGGACGAGACCACACTACTTCTGGAGGTAATTCTGAATTTTATCTTCAATATTTAAAAGCTTAATAACTAACTCGGCATCAGAATCAAAAAAAAATTATTTCAGAACAAACCCAACGTACTAAACGAAACCTACATTGAAGAAGTAACTATCTATGCTGATCCCGGTACAGAATCGCCAATTACTAGAAACAATACGTTTGTAAAGAAGGCTAAGGAAGCCGTAAAGATTCTTTGGAAACTACGACAAGAACTTCTCATGTCACAAAGTGTCACTGTTTAGTGATATTTGACGTACCTGTAATTTATTTCATGTTTATGTTTGTTGCACGATGTTTTTTTCTGCTTGTGAATTTGTTTTACTACTGTGCTAGTATTATAGAAGATTGCGCAAAATTATTTGCCCCTGTGAATTTCTATGAATAAAGATATATGTTTGGAGTTAGATCAGAATTTGATCTTAAGTTGTCGCCGGCTAGATACAGATTATAATTGAGTGGTACTATGATCAGGACTAGGCAAGAGCTAGCTTTTCAAAAATGCAAAAAAAAAGAGTCCCTCTGCCTTTCGCAAATTTTTAAGAAGTCCTTTTTGACCTTAGCGCGAAATATCCGAATCGACCAAAAAAAAACGGAAGATAGACTAAAGAAACGTAATTTCGGCCCCACAAAAACAATCTCCCTCTTACCTTCTGTCCCAAAAACGATGCCCAGCTTGCTTATAAGCCACCTGTGCCGAGCCTTGATTATTATAGAAAATTTGTATTCATATAACAGCAACTGCAAAGCGGATGTAACAGTGATGTACTTTTGCAAAGACAGAAGAAGAATACTACGCTGATTCTCAACGAAAACAAGGATAGGGAAACGCTGACAAATTCTATGGACCCTAAAAACCCCGAAGTTGACATCTTTGATTACTAGTTGCGCTCTTATAAGACTCGTTTTCAGCAACATTGTGTTTTGAAGCATTGATGACCTACAGCGGAGGAGCAGCTAGGTTGAATGCAAAATTCTTATCTGATAAAGTACTAAAATAGAGCCATCAACATATCACAAGCAATACAAAATGGCTATACTTCCAAATGTTTTTGATCATTGCTTTCCTATTTTTGATTTCGTGGATAAGGATCAGGGATGTCAGTGTTACCGTAATTAGAAGTGGACCGATCATCGCTTGCATTGGATGCAGGCTATGATGCTTATAGTAGGAACCTTTTACAAGGCGAATACATCATAAGTCTCACCTCCCCATTTGCATCTTCTCTTTCTAGGTAGAAAAAAAAAACAGTCTCGTGTATAATCTTTACGTTTTTTAATCCAGCGGACTCCTAAGTTGGTCAAATGCAGTCCCACGTTTGTTATTGACATTTTCAAAAGTCTGAATGGGTTCCTTATGTAGAAGATATAAACGAGTAAAAAGGTCAAACACCCCATAATCAAATTATTTTCCAACACTTCTTGACTTCATGCAAGCATGTACGGAACCAAAACCTAAGGAAGTGGAGCCCGAACTTTATATGTCTGCACAGAAATTGACTCCGCATGGTTACTATGTCATGCCCTTCCTTAATACTGAAGATTCTCCCTGAGGTGAGATGACCTCACAATAATTAGGGCATATAAGAGTCGAGGTTGCTGACAGACAAACATATTCCAAACTGCTTGTCCATCACATTCGGAAAAAGTTCCTGAACCATTTCACGGTAACTCCAAAATGTCATTTTTGACAACGATACAGTCAGTTTTACGGAAAAAGGCAGTGTCACCAAAAAAGGTAAGTGTATTCATTTTTTGGGAGAAGTTCGAGACGAAATTCATTTTAGGCTAATCGTGTCTCGCTACTTGAACCACCACTTTTGGCTCTTCCGCAAAGCCCAAAACAACAAGAGTGAGTACAGTAGACAAGCTCTGCTTGATCTACAAAATGCTTCTATTTCTTTGCAGGGAGTACTATGTTCTCGATGAATCGCTTACAAACATGTCATTAGATGACGACGAGCTCCCAGCGGACAAAACTTTTTTCGAGGCATGTTTCTGCAATTGAATTTTCAGAATTTTGCATTTCAATATAAGGGACCATTCCAGAACGAAACATTCGAAATGTTTACATCAGACACAAATTTCCGACAAGGAAAAAACGGAAGTAGCAGAAAAAGGCCACTCAGAAAGATGGAGAACAACGATGAGTGTACAAAAGCGGTAAGAGGATTTTCTTCTGCTGATGATAATGATTTTACGATTTGTGTTGGAAAACTTATGGATCATGAATTTTTTATGAGACTGAACATTACCTACACGATGTTTTTTGAATATTAATCAATAGCTAGATAGTTGATATATAGATGTGTGAGCAGAGATAGCTGATTCAGAAAACTTCTAGGTGGTGTATACAGGGTGTTTAAAGTATGTACACACTGTTTGATCATTAATATCTCTCTTCCCTAAGAGTCTTTTGCCTGTCTTCAGGTACCCTATTGTAGAGCAGCTTCAACTTAGATTTACAGTATGGAGCAAATCAACTACTTTCGTTCACTACTGGAATACGGTAGGAACTACAAGAAGGGTTTTGAGCCATTGAGAGCCCTATTTCGCCTTAGAAAGCAAACCAAACAATCTGGAAACTCTTATACTAGGCTAATTAGGGTCGCTAAAACCAAATATGAATTTTGCTTTGACCGCGATGCTTCCTTCATGACTTATGCTCCGTGAACAGTAATAACTGTTTTTACGATGCTTCCTAAGATTGCAGTCACACCCTTTCAAAAGCTTTGCAAACTCCTAGAAAGTTGAGTAATGAAATCAGCACGAGTAAAATCCCCGTAGACCATTTTCAGAATTTTGAAAACTTTTTTGGAACACTACTAATTCACAATGAGGCTGTAAGCCAAAAGTTCCTACCATAATTCCACAGTATTGAAGAGCGATCGGTGGTTCGCTGCATACTGTAAATCTAAGTTGAAGCCAGCTCTACAAAATGGTACCTTAAAGTAGGTAAAAGACTCCTTGAGAAAAGAGATTTAACGATCAAATAGTGTATACATACTTTTGGAATACCCTGTATATTTTAGGTCAACAACAAGGTCTGGCTATAATGCCATAATCAGCTACTTCCTTTTATTTCCCAAGTAAAATTAGAAGCTGTCTGTAATGACATTTGCAGCCCATTTCTTCGATTCCCGTCCGTCTCTTCCAAGACGAAGCAGAAACCATCTACTCACCTCCAGCCAAAAGAGCACCAATTCTAAGAAAAATCAGATCCAAACTGGTAACTCAAGACTTTCTACCACTTGTCAAATAATGAAGTTTGCAGTCTATGCCACATTTCCGCCCTCCAAGAATTCCGCTGCTGATGGAAGACGATGAGAATCCATATGTCACATTCAAAAGCAAAAGCGGCTGCAGTAAAACTAAGAAGCCCGTCCTTAGCGAGATGTCAAGACTTTGATCGAATAGCTTATTTTATATCAAGAGATTATTATGCAGATATTTATGAGGCTTAATTATAGTTATTTCTCCATATAAAGAGACCTAAGGACATAAATAAATATGTCACAACTGTATTCATTGGCACTGCACGAAAATTTATGAAACGAATACATTCAAGCAGAAAATAAACGAGAAAACAGTTGGTATATGAAAGGATGAAATAAAAGTCCTATGTGGAAATACTATCTGAAAGCATTTTCTCCATCGTTCTCACTACAACAAAAAAGCAAGCTTGTTCTCAAAGGGTAAGTACAAATGCTCTGCAAGTTCAAGAGCGACAATTCAATTTTCCTATTTTTTCACCGCCTCGAAATGCAAGGCCGTTCAAGTTTCATCTAATCGTGGTTGCATGGAATTTTGGTGGGTTTAATCCTAATCAGAAAAACCTTTGTACGTTGATTTTCCGTAAATGCTGTTATTAAGAGTTCTGACGCACATAGTCTAACTCAGCCTCACTTCGAAAGCCCATTTCGATAAGAACCATAAGTCTAACAGTATTACAAGACCCCTGTGGAATTTGTTCTGATAGTCTTGGACTTTCAATTTCAAAATAATGCAGTTCGAGAGCATGTAATTCACTGTACAAATGGAAAGCATCAGAAGCTCTAGGGTCCAGATTTGAACCAGTGCTTTCGCATGACTTTGAAATAAAATTTCCGCCTCAACATTTCGGCACGCTGCCAACCTGTCTTCAAGCGTTTTTGAGTAGTAAGGCTCGTAAATCGCCACTATCCAAAGTTTTCTAGAGATCATCTAAAAGAGCTCTTCAAGAACTTCCAACTGATGTATATGTACTTTTTCTTGCAGATGGAAACAATATAAATTTGAAGTTAAAAGCTAAAGGCAGACTTACCTACATGGTTTCAAGTCCACAATATTAAAGTTCAAGAAAACTAAAGGGTTCTTGTGCCTGTTTGAAGGCACCGACCCAGATTTTCGACTTCCACGTTTTTGTCGTTTCAAGGTCTTCTCATGTCCCTGATTCCGAATATAAAGTTGAGAATGCGCGAAAACCCCGACAATTCCGGAGAACCCACAGGCCGGCTTTCCGGAACGGTGATTGGATGGGCGCGCACAAATGGGCGGGCATAAATGGAGGAGGGTGGGCATGGATGGGGGTCCTCGTGGATCTTTGCTACTCCGAAGCGATTTTCTCGCTTCCGAAGCGCCATTTTGCGCCGCGACTTGGGCATTGGATTGATAGGGGGGCCCTACTATGGGAGACGGTCAAGAGGCGCGATTTCTTCGGCTGTCACCAACTCAAAACTCTAGTTTAGTGCTATGCGAATCTTCAAAAATTACCAGATAAAGTGCATTAGCTTACTATCTGTCTGAGGTCACCAATTGCTGAGTTTCATGTTTTTTGCTATGAATCGGACTGAAATATTTATGAATTTGTTCTGAAATGCATTTTCATGAGTTTTTGATCCTCAAAATTGCTGTTTTGAATTTTTTCTACAGTATCAAGATTGAACAACTCATGCAACTATCTAATATATTTTTTCCTAAATTTTATATACTTTTAGAAGTTTGCAGAACACCTATGTGCTATTTGGTGTCCAGCTGGCAATAAAAATCGCGCCTCATGACATACACCCCCCTACTATTATATGCTGCCAAAAGCTCAACACCCTCAACTTAGAGTGGACGGTGCCTTTAATATCGCAAATAGGTGTGATAAAATCTCTGTGACGGAAGAACTACAAGTTCTCGATCCTGCCCAAGATTAACTTTACTCTTCCCCGTAGAAACACGTGATAAGATATGTTTCGGTACGTGTGGGACAGCCATTCTAGTATAGAAGCAAATTTTTGATGACATTTTTTGCGCAAGTTCAACCCAGTAAAAGAGCTCTTCACTAATCAAATCTCACTATTGCATTTACAGACTCAAAATGACAGTTTAAGCTCTACTGCACTCCTGATTTAACCTCCAGCATGGCAATAACCTTTGGCACTTTCTCGCTAATTCATCATTAGAAAGCCCCAGGTCGGGGTCGTAGTTTAGTCTACACACCTTTTACCGTTCCAGGGCGTGCCTGAGGGATGAGAGGTCGTTCATCACCTCAGCTCCTCTCCGCCCTAATTAATGACTTTATCGCTCTCGGCTGCAGCTATTGTTATAACTCCTTCAATTTCATCCTCTAAAGCTTTTTTCTACCTCAGAATATGCGATTAACTTTACAGAAATGACCAAATCTCACACTTTATTTTCATTACTGAAGTCTTTATGGCTACGGAGCACTGGACAGCCGGTAAGTAAAGAGTAAAAGGTCGTTGATTTCTGAGATTTCAAGCAAAAACAATTTTAGGGATGGTGTACTTGCATGATTTGCCGAGATGAAATGCTAAATCTTCCCGTAAGTTTACTGGCTTTCAATTCAATCCTAAATTTACTTAAAACAATGAGTTGCAGGATCCACTTGGGTTTTCGGAAGATGCTCGAAAACTTCAGAAAAGATTGCGCAAGATGCCTAAGGTAAAACATAAAATTTAATTCGGTCAATCTGATCAAAAGGAATAATTCAGGGTTACAAATGCAAGTCCTGCCTACTTAAAGGAATCTTTCATAACAAGAACGATGAAACATGTAGCATAGGCACTATCGAAATCCAAAGAGAAGGCTCTATTCATATAAGGTCAGTTATCTTCAAAGTTTTTCCAAAATTAACAATTTTATTCATGGACTCAGCCCCCATGCGAACATGCCCTTACCTGAACCACCCGTACAGCCGAAGGTAACTTAGACAGAATTAAAACTTGAAGCATCGTTCCATTTATTCAGATAGTCAAAACTGTCAGTTTCTCGGATCCATTAGAACAACACTATTTTCCGGATAGGTACGGCATAGAACTTATAGAAGACGAGGGCTATCATAGGTGAGTTTTTGTTTGTAAATCAAAACATAGCCTACACATTTTGAAAGTGCACATCACAAAAACGCTTGCCGTATCCCATCCTAACGCCTCGATATAAAAGAGTAGGCTTATACTAAATGTCATAGCTGCTGGGCTACGGTATTAACTCTGAACGAATCACATGACAGCTAGGAATCAAACCATTGAGGTTATCAGACACGTTTGTTCATTATAAATCTATGACATAAGTATCTGAGTTCAGGTAATCTTGAAAAGTTCAAAAGATCGATTCTACAGTATACTTCTCACGATTTATAAAAGCTCATACTACTTTACTCTGATATCAGCGAACTTTGGCAGCCCAATAAAAAATGCCAGCTCTTCCGAACTCGAAAAAATCCATTAGATGAGAATGAGGAGGGGTGCACATTGTCGTAGTGTGGCGACAGTAATGGCATACGGTGGGAATTTGTTTCCAATATTTATGTAAAAAAGCATCACCACCAAAAATTTATAATGCGATGAAGCTGTTATCATCTAGATTTTTGGTACCATAGATGCTTTGCCAAGCTCAAAACTTTCAGGCATAAGCATTGCTTCGTTTTTATCAGCTCATTTCAGAGAGTCAACCAGCTCTTGCGAAGGTTACGCCTACATCAATCGCACGGTAGATAGAATTTGTTATAGCAACAATTCTTAAACGAAATAAAAAGTATTCTAGGACTACTCTCAAGTGGAGATGAATGAGAAGAAACATCTAAAAGTTGTAAGGATGTTAGAAATGGTAAAGAAAATTTTTTGCGAAAGAATAGGGTACGAAAGTGTTTCGTAGATAGCTGAGGCGCCAACGACATCAGCAGCCCATACACCTCAGAAGGAAGAAGAGACATCGGATGTAGATGATGGGGTAAGCAATTTTTACCTAACATATTGGAAGCAACTTAGACAGTTTTTCAGTACTCGCTTTACGAGGCTCACCCACCAACGTTGAGATTCTCAAACCCAGTGAAATTTTTTCATCCCGATGCTGACAGTATGGACAGCTATGGCACAATTACCAGTCAGGAAATTCTCGAAGCTTTCGAGAAGGCAAGCGAGGTGAGACATTATAAAAATATGCAAAACTTCTGCTCAGAATAAATAAATGTGCAAGTAGAGACATGCTTATCATCAAGATAATTAGTTGAGATAAGATGGGAGAAAGGCAGCTTTTGAATTCGTTGTTATGAAAAAAATAGTACTTTGGTAAAGCGTAGACATGATGAAGCAAGATCTAAACTACATGTTTTTTTCATTTCAGGAACTACTGCTAGATTCTTTCACAAGCAGTGTAGAATCGCCACCAAAAGCATCTCTAGACGACTGCCTTTACACGGACCTTGTACATTCCTCTTCAATGGAGTCGACATATGTATGATATTTCAATTAAATGATATTTTAATCAATAAAATTTTTACGGATTTGACATTCATCTGACTAAAAAGAAAGCTAAAAAAGATTGTTTTTCATATAGTGAAAGTCTGAAATGGTCTGAAAGAGTCTAGTAATAAGTAATAGTCTAACAGTCTGAAATGCGCGGTAGAAGCTAATAAAGACTCACAAGTATAGAGCTTGAAGTCCGAGCACAGTTCAGCCACCCGATCACCATCAAAAGCCACAACGTGGAGTGCGCCATCCACTTTTGCAGAGAATCCACACATGGGTGGTGGTACCGGACATTGATCGAAGTCGGTAAATCGAAGTCCATCTAGAATCAAACATATGTAGACGAATTACGTAGATAGCTCGTAGAGAAAGACAGCATACCAGTAGAAATGACCAAAGCAGTTGAACCACAAACTACTGGGTTGAGATCAAAGTTCAGTCGGGTGTATATACCATCGGCAGAAAGAATGCTTAGCTGTCGAGCCTGCAAAACGGGCACATAGCAGTAACCGTCCGAGTTTTTTTTTTTTGAATGAAGGAGGGGAGGGGGTTGCAAAAATCTGTGTGAGGAAAATGAATTCTCAAAATTTCATTCCGAATTCCGTCAGGATTTTTGTAGTCTCTCCCCTCTTTTTTGCCTTATAAACCTTATTCAAGAAAAGGAAGTGGCTCCACAAAGAAAAAACCCATTACAAAGCTAATTTGAATTATAACAGCTCTCTTACATCCCCCTACCCCGATGTAGCTGCTACAAAGTGGTAAAAGGAGCCAAAAAATGTCGAACTTCACAAAATAAAGAGAAATAACCTTCTCAATGTCCCAACGAACGCAAGTCAGCATCTGCTCAAAACGTGCAGACCACTGACGTTTCCAATCGTAGTTTGACACTGTCCAGATTTCGACTGAATGTGAATTATGCAACCAACAATAATAATGGTACTGGAAGTGGACAAAAAAGAACCTTCGTCAGCATTTTTACTCCGAAAATGAATGCACAGGCAAGATGACTCCACATCCCATTGCATGTCGACAAGTTGTCTCTCGCTAGCTGCACCATGCAAAATCGTCTCATGTCGCTTTTCGCCATTCCTCTCATAGAAGACCATTATCCTTTGATCATCTAAAATTTGAACAATTTGATAGGAGTCATACAGGCAGTACTTACCTGGAGTCACCTTCGTGGTCGCAATGTAATTGCCACTTGGCCGCACAGCTATCGCTTCTTCCACTGATTCCTGATTTTTCAAGCGTGACATCAGTTCGCCCTCCTTGCTGAACACCTTGAAAGCATGAAATCAAGAAAAAGACAGATTATGATGAAGTAGAGAAGATATAATTGTGAGAACTTGAAATTCTAATCTGCCGAAATAACTAAAATAATGGTAGGAAAGAAGATGGCTTTGCAAATTGCAGACATGTTGTTGATTAGAACCACTTCAGATGTGTCAAAGAACTTTTGAAAATGGTTTACGTGAGGTATAAAACTGATTAAGCAAATGATCGGTTTATACGTGTAGATCTGTATAATCTGTATATGCATAATTTATTGAATCTGTCAAAACTTCGAATAAGTTGTATAATCTGTATATGCATAATTTGTTGAATCTGTCAAAACTTCGAATAAGCTTCGTGAAAAACATTTTGAAGATTTTTGGCTACACTTCAGCAATATTTTCGAGGAGCTACCCAGGACATTCTTTGGACGGCGTGGCCAGCAGGCACTCCCTTTTTTAAAAAATTTCAGTCCTCTACACCCATACGGTTCCTTCGCACAGTCTTGTTCAAACAATGTAAACCATCCAAGAAAACTCGCAAGGCATTCTGCAAATACTGTAAGTCCACTTACTGCAATCCTTCTCTCCCCGCTCTGCGCTTCATAGAACGACACCATCACATATGCGCCATCCGCTCGCCATCTTATGTGAGGCTTTCTGGTATCATTTTCAAGGGCCTTCTTCGAAAGCACAACTTTCTTTTCGCGTGCGGCCTATGAAGCACAAATAAAAGCTGTAGTCCATTAGTCAGAACCACTAAATCCATCTTACCTTCCCTGCGCTACCCTGAAACTGCGTTTCCGCTGCTCCCCATCCAACTGTGACAAGTGCATCCTTTCCTTCTTCATTACTTGAGATTTCCCTAGAAAATATCGATGATTATGGAGGGTGTTCGTTCAGAAATATTTTACTACCATTGCGCAAAACGTTCAAAGCTACGATCGTAGAATACCACGTAGTCACCTTCCACTGCCACCAAGGAAGTCTGATCAGGACTCCATGACGCAGCAATGCACTCTTCACCCAGGAAGCATGCAGCACACATCTAAACCCAACTTCTGTTTCTAGCGGTTTGCAAAAGACTTTGTCCGCGCAGCCCGTGCCAGCGCCGTTCCAGCGCCGTGTCAGGGAATCAGACCGGGCAGTCGGGGCTCCGGCACGCTCTAGTACAGCGTGATACGGGGCACATGGATGATCTATGTGAGCTTCAGTCAAAAAACGGAAAAAGTGAGTACTTCCTCAGGATGACAATCAGAAGCAAGTCAGCTTACCGTATGGGATTCAGCATCAACAGTAAGAACCTGTCCAGAGCTCAAAATCACACAGATCTCGTTACTGTCGACCAAAACGTTTACATCAACAGGTTCGAAGGAATCACATTGATCGCTGCACGGAATTGCTGTGGCGAACTGACAAATTAAAGTCAATATGACATCAGATACCAAACCCATATACCTGCAGTTCAGCATCTAGAACAATTACTCCTTCCCTATTCACAAGGTATACGGAGCGGCTAACATTGTCCTCCACGAATAGATAACTCCCTAAATTAATGTGGATGTCATGCAACTACTCCTATCTCACATATGTTGAACATCTCCTTAAACAAAGTGTCTTTCTAGATGCGGGTCCCTTTGAAATGAAGAGCTATCTTAAAGGCACCGTCCACCCAGAATTTCGACTGCCATGTTTTTGTCGTTTCAGGGCCTTCTCAGGTCCCTGATTCCGAATATGAAGTCGAGAATGCGTGAAAACCCCGACAATACCCGTTCTGGAGAACCCACAGGCCGGCTTTCCGGAACGGTGATTGGATGGGCGCGCGCAAATGGGCGGGCATGGATGGGGGAGGGCGGGCATAGATGGGGGGTCCTCGTGCATCTTTGCTATTCCGAAGCGATTTTCTCGCTTCCGAAGCGGCATTTTGTGCCGCGAATTGGGAATTGGATTGATAGGGGGCCCTGCTATTATATGCCGCCAAAATCTCAATACCCTCAACTCAGGGTGGACGGTGCCTTTAAGGGCCGGGCATACTTCACGCGATTTCAGTCGCGACGCGATTTGGCAATTCGCCAAATGTCTTTAGATCCAACACTAGCAAACCGCACATGCATAGAGTGTATAACTTACGTGGATTGATGAAACGCGCTAAGTTCTGTACATTTAAAATTTGCCTACAATGAGTTATGCACGCTTGAAATATTGCCAATTCGCGTCGCGACTGAAATCGCGTGAAGTATGCCCGGCCCTTTATCCCAACAGGGTTGCTAGTAAAGGTGTTAAGAACGTCTTTGGTACGAAAATTTCTGACAAAATTGAGACTATAATTTCACGAGTACAGGACGCACCTGTTTTTTTTTGAATTCCAGCCAACATACCAAAACATTTCGCGGCCAAATGACCCTATATAGTGCTGCGTATTGCCTTAGAGTATCGTGCGGCATAAGCTTCGTTCTCCGAAATACAGCGAGGCGGCTGAGCGGCTCGCCTGAAGGCAGTGGATAAACGGAATGAACCTCCAAGAGAGGTCCATTTTGCCTATCTATTTGTCTTTACAAGGTCGAAAAAGATGCTTCTTGTACTCGTGAAATGAAGGTAGTTTCGATTATGAAACCGCTACTGCATCGCATTTGGTTCGTTGTACCCCAACTGCACGGCTTATCAAACGCAGTGTCGCTTGCATTAGCATCTCCACCTTCGCGTTGTATTCTACATCTCTTCCGCGAACATGCTCTCTGTTCACTTTCCCAGGGCGAGCGTGGGAAAGGCGGAGCCTCAAACGATTGGGAGTGACTAGAGAGCATGTATACGGAAGAGACGCAGAGTCCGGCGTAGGAGTGGAGATGCTGATGCAAGCGACACTGCGTTTGATAAGCCCCTGTAGTTAACTGGCTCTGTATCTAGTGGAAAGGGGAGACTCGTATGAAGTACCTTCGAGAAATCCGGCATCGCTCGAAGAGCTGGACGAAACTTTCGTCAAAACAACATTCCGCATCACGTTCTTTCGGAAATATTATTGGCAATATCCAGTCTGTCAAATAGTTTCACTAGCTTCAAACATCAAGCTCTAGACTCTTGTGCCCTCTCGACTAAAAGCTTCTTCAAATCATTGTCAGTACAACATTGTACCGGGTGTATTGCAATTTAGTAAGCAGAACAGCTATTACAATTACTACGCGATATGGAAGAATTTCCCGAGCGCTGAATAATATTGTAGATTCGAGATAATATGGAATTCCAAGACACATGGATCAATAAATAATTAACAACCTTTTATTGAAAATACCCGTACAAGATATCGTAAGATGTTGAATTCACCGTAAAGAAAGAGTGAGAGATAAGTAAATGCCATTAGTGAGCTATAAGAAGTGAGCAACGTAATACAAGCGAATTTATGGTAAGCAGCACTAAAAATCGGGATGTGAAACTGAATCGGGATTAGATCTGACGTATTTACAAATCAAGATTTGAAGTCGATAATAAATCTACTTATCACTTCACGATCGATTGGCCAGCCTTCCATTATGTACAAAGATGCTGCCAGATCATTCAACTTCCACCGTTGGAGAACATTCCTTCGTAAACTGAAGCATTCCAAGGAACAGCGATGTGAAATTTTTATAGGCGCTTTTGTTAATCAGCCTACTGCGCTTCTGCTAGGGGAAAATGGTTCGGCCTACCGACTCTAAACTCTTCTAGAGAACTATAAGTCTCTAAAAGAGTGAGATCGGACTGCTTTGGCTTATTTGTTGTTGAAATACCACTGTTAAATTTCATGGCGATAAACCTGCCCAAAAATTCTGCAGGAATATCGTTAGTTCTTCAAGTCTTCACCTTCAAGACGGTAAGACTATGAAACCCAGTTGATAGCGTGATGAATCTCTTTACAAACTTGCAGTCATTCTAGAGCGTTACAAGTTTTCAGTATTTAAGACGTTGACGACCTTGTGCATCCGCACGTATGCACGCCCTGACTCCCGTTTAGCATTTTCGTGCATCCGCGCATATGCACGCTAGTTTTTTAGGTGCAAACGAAAAGTTTTAAGGCAACTTCTATGCAGTAATACTATTAGTGACCTGATTGTCTTACAGAACACAGGGCATCGCGGCAGCTGTTCAGAAGTTTTGGACGCAAAATTGGGTAATCAGTACGTTTTTGATGTAATCAATACATGCTACCCTATTTTCAGGTGTATAAGCCGCACCCTTTTTGCTCTAAACGCGAGCAGACCCAGGCGTGCCGCCGCGCATATGTCTCGCGAAGCGGTCGCCTTATCGCATACTGCTCTCACTTAACGCGCTCCATGATGACAGTCAGTCCTTGAAGCTCTGTATAGCTGTTTTGAAATCAAACAAAGATGTATCAGGCAAAAAACATCTGGTTTTACAACGCTTTTCTCGAAGAGCGATTCCTCAGATATAGCCATTACATGGATTATTGGAGGGAAAATCGATGCAAAAACATTGATTTGTGTAAGTCCTGGTAAGGCTCTGTGATATACCTGTATGTCTGAATAAAGTTCGCATGTTTTACTAATAAGTGACAAAAAGACTCCCACATAATGTTTTCGTGCATCCACGCGTATGCACGGGCCAAATGCGCTAAGGACGTTAGTGGGAGTTTCGCCCAAAATGGCGCGGTCGTCAACGTGTTAATTACCAACTATCACTGCCAAAAAACGCGCATCTTTTCACACAGTCAATGTAACCATTTATTCCAACCCACCATCCTCTGATTAGTTCACTGAAGCTCCAAGGGTTATTCTCAATTCGCTGCATCTTGACATGGAAGCTGGGCACACTGTTAACAGTCAATGTGTCACTAGACTGCTGTAGTGGAAAATATCCCAGAGCCAGCTCCCACAATAAAAGGCCAAAACTCCAAACATCAGATTCAAGCCTGAAGAAGTTGTGAATGTAGGTGGGTAAGACAGTGAACAAGAATACATACCGGTAAACACCGCCTTGGATGCGTTCAGGCGCCATATACATGGTGGTTCCGACATAAGTTCGCGTGACAGAGTCTGTCATGATTTTGGAGATTCCAAGGTCTGTTATCTTCACATATCCAGACGTATTCACCAGGACGTTATTCGGTTTAAGGTCTGCAAGAAGCGAGTGAACTGTCAAAAATTGCTTGTAATGGAAAACATCAATTTTTGCAGTGATTTCGCATTATGAGGAATTGGAGAGTAGATTCATCCAACTATCTCTGTATCGAGCGCAGTGATCTGCTGGTATCTCTGATCCATCTGTTCCCACAAAGAAGGCCCGTTTATACGAAGCGGCTTTTCAAATGGATCCTATATCACTTTGAAGAGCATAAAACGCTGATGCCAAATCTGATTTCATTATCTGCCAGGCACCTCTGCATGCCGAGTCATGAATGTATTTTGACGATAAAAGTGAACACATAGTAAGATAAAACCAAATTTTACGGTCTTTTTAGCGTTCAAATAGAGCAGTATTGAGTATGTGGTTTTGAACAGAAGGTCTTCTTAAATGAAGTGCTCTTATGAACACTGGACCATTTGGGCAATTCTGACGAATTTTATTCAATTACGCATTCAATAATTTTTCAACCCAAAACCCTCATGACTCGGCGTCCAGAGCTTGGCAAATAACGAAGAAAGATTCAAAATCAGCGTTCCAAGCTCTTCGAAGGCGTAATAAACATATGGAAAGTCCACTTCGACCAGATTCCCCTTGTCAGTGCCATAAGCGCCTGATTCGACGGTGCTGTTGTGAAAGCAAAATGAAGGGGCTGTCTTTCATGATATTTCCTACTATGCAAGCACAGCAGATCAACGTGTATATAAATACAAAGAAGTGGTTGAACGACTGCTGGAAAATCATATCAAAACCATACCTCTATGCATGATGTTGTTAGTCCATAGAAACTTTAGCCCCTCAAAGATGCTGCGCGTTGTAAATAATAAAACACGGAGAGGAAGCTTTCCTATAATCACATTAACGCCCTTGTTTGTCCATAACTGTAAATGACTGACCATAATCGCCTATGGAGCCACCATTCATGTATTCCAGGCATATGTAGAAGGACTGCGAATCCACCGAGGCTCCAACCAAACTCACCACGTACTCGCAAGACGAACACTATATTCGATTAAATTAGCAAGTATAAAACGAAAAGAAATAAGTTCACCTTTTTCATGAGCGTCAACTCTCTGAAAACATCATCCTTTCGCTCATCGTCCTTCCCTATGGCTATACACTTGACAGCGAGAACGTGATCAGTGGGCATGTGGATACTTCTATAAATTACTCCACTTTTACTGAAATCAGTCGCACCCACAATGATCACCTGTAAACGGTGCCAAACTGTCCATGTGACAACATATCCAAGCGACAAAGATCCCACGGAAGTATTTCAGGTATATCGCTTATATCATCCGAAGGGTTGCGCACTAGATATTTAGTAAAGTGATGGTGGGGACAAAGCAACTGCTTTGAATTGTTCATAACAGTAAGTCTCACCCAGCCAAATGTCAGCTTCCCCTTCATGCTCTAGATATGAAACGAAAGCAGGCAAGTCTTCATCACTACGTACTGCAATACGATCGAAGTCATCATCCTCGTCTGGAAAACGCCAAATCCCGCCCACTCAACAAGTTATTCGAAGTCTCAAGCGATGAAACTTACACTTGAAGTTATAACAGCTACCAAATTCACGCCCTAGCTCAGCTACAATCGTGTCGAAAAACATCAGTGTGACATACGAGATCTCCAATTTAGCGACTACGTCATCATCCAAGTGAACATTCAGCGTGTACGATGCCATCAAAAAACAACGTTGAAATATCGCTAAGTAATTGATTTTGCTAGTGCCACCATGCACGGATCTGAGATAGCGACTCTCTGAAAATCAAAGAAATACATGCTTGAAGGAAATAAAGAACAGCGGTATTTTATTGGACCATCTTGCTCCCCCCCCCTTCGTCATACTATCTGCGATATATGCTTCGTTTTCGGTTTCGCGTTATTTCAGCTACCCACGCGTGATAAGGAACGATACTGCCCTCACATACACTAGACTATTCGCCCATGGACTCTCAGTAAGATGTTTCTATTGTTCGTTAACTAATAACGTCTATTTGGCTCACTCCTCATCAAACGAAAAAACTTATTGAGATAGTGCATTACCTGTGAAAAAAAAAAAACAAGAAGAAGCATCTTTAATAACGAGAGCGATTATTTCTACACAAGCAATAAAGTAATCAAGAAGAGTAGTAAACTACTGGATTGAAATTAGCCAAAACTAAACACAGGATCACCATTTACATTTACAAATGGGCAGAAGATGACTATTGTTATATAGTATGGTTCCCAGTAAGGACGCATGCGGAACCAACAATCTGATAAAATAGCTTGATAAACTAGTAAAAGGTGTTCATAAACTCGCTATCGCTAGAGCGTTACGTTGTCACTTCTGTTTCTATGTCTATCAGTAAAGCAGCGATGACGGCAACGCATTTCAGCGACAACATCTGAGAAACAAAAAACAAAAACTTCGCGCCAAAACTATCTTATAGAGCACTACATAGAGAATTTCTGAACAAGATATAGAAATAGTTTCTTCATGAACAAGCACATGCCATGTAGAACTTTAAAACCACAACCGCGTTATATTTATGAAAAAGATGGAAGTTCACCACAAAATCACGAGCGCGACGTTCCAACAATAAAATTCAACAGTCACCGCGCTGATAAGAACAAGCTGGGAAAAAGAACCCTCGTAACAAACAAAAAAGATTGCAAAAGATAACAGTTGTCCACACTCTGACATTACATCATCGGAAAATAATCAGATATGTTAACAATTAGTAATCATATTTGAACTCAAGGTAATCATCATCAAACTCTTGCACACGAACGTAGCCATCCTCTCCACCGGTTGCAATGATGTTGCCAGAAGGATGCCAAGCCATTGTGTTGATGGGACCGAAATGACCCTTTAAAAGTCGAGGTTTGGAGAAGTTGCCAGTGAGAAGATTCATTCTTTTGAAAAGCACCACTTCCACACTCTAGACTCACCTTGAACCTTGCAAATTCTTCTTCGAAGACCATATGGTAGAGCTTTGCCTCAAAGTGTCCAGCGGAAACTGCCGTTTGTGTTACTTGCATCGCATCTTCTCCTCCTCCAAGGCAGATATGATCACGGATGGGCGATATGCAAGCAGAATTCACTGGTCGTTCAGATCTAGAAACCATTTTCAACGAACCAGAAACTTATCATTTATAAATTTTACAATTTACCGATATTGTTTAAGATGTTCCAGAGTGTAGACATCAAGTAGCGCAGCTGTCTTGTCTTTTGATGACGATATCACAAAGGCTCCATCAGGTGATAGTTGAAGATCAGTGATTGCATACTACAAAAAGCTACTGCGTTCCAAAAAAGTTTTAAATTAGCCATATTTGACTCACTCGATGAACTTTATCGTTGGAGTTGACAGGTTCCTCATTGCCTTTTAGGTCGTATTGAAGTATATGACCATTTTCAAAGCCAACAGTCACCTGTATAGAATCATATATCTGGAAGAATACGCAGCGGGAAAAAGTATGGCAAAAGGTTGCCCGCAAGATAATCATTGAAAACCAATTTACATAGGTTATCTCGATGCAATGTTACAGTTCCACTCCGACTTTCGTTGCGTACCAGCGGCGTTCGACTGACTGTCCTCTGAGCGCAGCACGGAAACGCCGCTGGTAGGGCAGTCGCACGCCGCTGGTACGCTGTGGAACTCCGCTGGCAGGAGAATGGTACGCCGCTGGTACGCCAAGAGGGTACGCCTTCGGACCGCATGTTCACCCGATTTTTGATTACGTACTAATTGCAGCATTAATTGGTTTGAAAATTGCTATATCGTCATATTTTATGAAGCCGAAATCAGCGCAAAATTTCCTGCTATTTCGATCGATGGACTTCATTGAATCGAAATCAGGGGATTGTGGGCCACCCCTACAACACCCAGCTGGGGTGTTATCGGGTCACTCAATGAGAACAACAACTCAACCTTTTTCCTTTGTCAAGTGCCGAGAAGAGTTAGCTAACCACTAAAATGCTGAGGCGGCCCAACCACTGCGTCGTATCCCATACGGGTACGGCTTACGCTTACAGCGTGGGGTAATGTGATGGGACGCCGCTCGCTTGCTTGGGTTGATGGAACGCCGCTCGCCAAAAGACATACGCCGCTGGTAGGGCGCATTAAGGTAGGCGCCCAGAGTAAGCAAATATATTGTTCAGGTTGGGGTCCCGCGCAGAATGACGTTTCTCACCATGCTGGCGCTAATCCAAGTGACGTCAATTCTGCGCAGGACCCCAACCTGAACAAAATATTCGCTTACAGTAAGTTTCGACCCGCTTTAGGCGGAAATTGGACTGGTGGGAGTCCGCCTCGCAACAGCTCGCGCCGTTTCGCAGCTGCAGTAAATCCTATCGTGCTGAGAACCCATGTCTGTGTCTCTTCAATCTCCTTAGTCTTTGCTTGGCAAAATGCCAGCGCTATGCGCTCGCGAAGCCTCCAGCGATGCGCATGCGCTGCTCCACATAAAATGTCTCGCCTAATCCGGGATGAAACCGACTGTACCTGGCACCTACCTAAGGAACGCCGTTGGTACGTTAAGCGCACTCCGCTGGTACGCAAAGCCATTTAGGTACGCCGCTGGTACGCAACGAAAGTCTGAGCAGCGGCTCGCATCCTCGCGAGTGATCCCCCCCCCCCCCTCCTCCCGTTTTCAACGCTGTAGACCCCGAAAGTGGAGCACTTGCGGGAGTCAAGAGAATTAGTTTGTGCTCGGGCACTAATCTTCTACCACTGCTCACTTGCGAAAATGAGAAGCATACCGCAAACGCGGCGTAAGCTCCAGCGACGTACCCGCGAGATCGCGAATCGCTAATGAGACATTGTCATTGAGACAGCATATAGGTTCATCCGATTGATATATAGCATTAAAGGACAGTGCAAGAGTTCAAAACTCACAATGTCGGAAGCTCCACTAAAAACACAAGTAGTCGCGGAATTGTCAAATTCAAAATGAGTTCGGAACAACGGATCATCAGCCGTCATTTGTTGATCATCTCTAGTATCCACAACGCAAAGCACGGAAGGATTCTTCGTCATTTTCTGTGTAGTATACGCAAGAAGATGCCCTAGGAAACAAATCACAGTAGTTTGTCATTCTGTAAATGATATGTTGCACACTAACTTACCTGAGAAGGAGATATTCACTGACTTTGCTGGAGTGGGAGTGTTGATCGTGTGCAATACGACACCAGTTTCACAGTCCCAGAACTACATAAAACATTATAAACTCTCTAGTTATGACTATGGAAGAAAAATTACCTTTATAGAGTTATCACCAGACGCGGTTCCCAATCTTGTTGTGTCCCAAGACACATCCACATCCCAAACTACACCATTATGGCCATCGTAAGTGCCTAAAATGAGTGCATTTGACAATTTGAAGGTTCAACCAGCTCTCAAACAACCGAAAAAACTACTCACCTATTCGCTCGCCATTCTCCGTGTACCACAAACATGGCTGTTTGTTCTTTGCTGCGGAGATTAGCAAGTCTCCTTCCCGATTAAATCTAACTCGAGTCAGTGCACGATCGTGGCCCTTCAGAGACAACGGTCTCATGTTGTCTTCAAAAGAGAAAAATGGAGTTATTTCTCAAATAAGGAACTTTTCCCATTGAACAACTTTGAGCACAAACGATTCAGAACAGGAATGAAATTTGCATTAAGCAACAACGCCACAGCGATACAGATTGATTCAACGAGTGAATCTGTGAAGGGAACAAGCCCAGAAAAAAGTTGACGCAAAATTACCCCGCATACGCAGTTGCAGAACTCATATTTAGTCTCACGACAAGAAGGGAACAAACCTTTTGCCTTTTGAATCGCGACAAAGTTGTTCTGATCAGGTAAATTCTATCTAGCGTGATTGCAGGAGTGTTACCAAATTTGAATTTTTTAATAAAAATTTTCAGGCGCAAAATGCTCGCCAGAAGGTCCCGTCTGCAGATAAAGCCAAACATCTCCAAATCTGTCAAAACTGCACCGAAACGTATTGAAAATGAAGAGTCCACTGCTTCGACTTCCAGTGAGGTTGCGCCAGTAGAAGCAACTGTGGCCTTGGAGGAATCCGCTAATGTTGGTAATGCACCGGCTGCTGAAGAAACCGTAGCTGTACCGAGATCATTAGGTGATCAAATTTTCCCTTTCCAGTAATACACTGATAATCTAGCAGCAGTAGGTGACATGATCGTTTACATGTCTATTCCTTTTCACTTTTTGGAGTTTTTGTTTTAGCCGATTTCGTCCAAGACCTTGACGGTCCTTCTGAACCTGCTCCACCTGAGCCTAGAAAAGAGCCTGTTAAAGAACCTGAAGTCAACTACGTAGACCTGCTTGCTCCAGAAAGGAGGATTGCTCAGTAAGTTTTTTTTTAAAATGTATGACCTTCCTTCTTATAATTTTTTCTTGCTGTTTCATTCTCAGCTGTCAGTGCCGTATCTGCTGCAGGAGTAGTACCGTTAAAGGCACTGTTGTTTTCCAGACTTTAGCTTGTAATCTGATTCTGAACGAAGACGTTTGCCTAGATAATCTAAGCATCGCTAAAGCAGCGTGCTGCCAAAGATTGCAAAGACATGTTCGCTTCTCTTCGCTTGTCAGCCAAACCTCTTCATTTAACCTGTTCTAAAAACCTTTCAAAATGCTGAGGGTAAATATATAAGACTAGTTGGCAAACCCGGCTCCGCCCGGGCCTGTCATTATTATATTCGTAATCAGCATGCTCGATTACCCCCCTGTGCCAACTCCCAGCCCTGTAGCTCAAATTTTGCAAAAAATCGATATCGATCGATAACGAAAAGTAGCCTATGACACGCTCCCTGCCCCAAAGTATATGTGTGCCAAGTTTGGTCCAAATCGGTTCAGAAATAAAAATTTCTATTCCGCACATACGTACAGACAGGCATACAGACAGACAGACATACAGACAGACATTCAGCTTTATATATAAGATTGTTGCATGGGCTGTTCAACATTATCATCTTAGAATAGATCCACCTAGACTTTGGAGGTGAAAAACCCGTGAATATGCATCTAATAGCAGTCTCGTTAGCATTTCGATGGATTTTACCAAAAGCCGTCGAATGCAAATGGTAACTTCGGAAGGCTTGTAAGCTCATGAAGCGTTGCCAGGTTTTTTACACTTGCATGGCTCTGGATTCGGGTATTAAGTGGGTAACCCCTGGAGAAAGCGCACATTTTGACCGTCTCTCTACTGAAATGCGCTTTTGAGTTGGTGACAGCCGGAAAAAATCGCCTCTCTGGTACACCTTCCGAATTAATGTATGCGTGTGAGGAAATTGTCCCCTGGGGATGCAGCGTGTAATATGTGTCGATCAAACGAGGTTGTGTAAACCTTTGGGGAGAGACTATGATCTTCTCAAACTATAAAATTGCTTAAAGGCAGCGTACACCCAAAATTTCACCTTCAACGTTTTTGTCATTCTGGGCCTTTCCTTGCCCTGATTACAGTTATGACATTAAAATTCTCCAAAACCCCCAAAAAAATCCCGATTCCGGGGGACCCTCTTTTCAGAAGGCGGACGAGTTTTGAACTACTTGTCCCTGTCGGCATGCCAGCAGCTGCAACAGCATGACAGCCTGTAGTTGCAACTGCAAGTGCTGCGTATGCTGTCGTGGTTCGTCGTCCGAAGGAGGCGGACTGCAAAAAGCAACTACACTGTCGCAACCGGAGTTGCAAGCAACAGCAGTTGCAAACAACTGCAACTGCAACTGCAGCTTACGCTGTCATGGATTCGTCCGGAGGAGGCGGAGTGAAAGAAAAGGGGCGGAGTGAAAGAAAATTGAGGGGGGTTTTCTCCGCCCAGAAGCAACACTGGGAAACCGGACCAACGCAGTTCGTCTTTTTCTGGGCCCAGTATATACACGGTGTAGAAAGATCTAGGAAATTCGGTAACTTAGATTTTGGGTGTACGCTGCCTTTAAATGCCTTTGCAATCGCCCGAAGCATGGAAATAATGGTGACTCTTAAAATAGCTTTGTTTCAGCACGGCAAAAGATGTGAGGCCGCGCTTTTCATCTACGAATGACTATTTGGACACATCACCTGCGAAGAATAGTCGGTACGTTTGTCATCGCTATTAAGTCCGCTTTTCTTATTCAATCTAGAATGCGTTGGACCTTGTTCTTGTATAGTAATACCAATCATGGAAGCACAGATACACTCATATCTTTTGATCACATTACTTTTGATCCCTTTCTTGCAATGAATTTTGTAGTCCCCGCTGATTGTGTTTTTTTTTGTTGAATTATTTTGCTATTGGCCCTTCGAGTGGTATGTTATTTTTGTGCATACAATGCAAAAACCTGTAAAGTGTCTCCGATAAGTTTCTGGAAAATAATAATTTGGGTTTCAAATTATGAGATTTTCAGCAAATTTTTGAAGTAATCTTGCTCCACACTTCAGAAATAAAAGAAAATTTACTGGAGATGAGGAGTTGGATCCAAAGAAGATGCGCATGATGGATATGATTTTCTACAACCCGAAAAAGGGTAAAAGCATGACTCGAAAGCATGACACTGCCGAATCTGTGATTGGTGAAAATCCTACACCATCTCCGGAAAAGCAGCCTACAGTTACTAGTACACCGAAAGTTGCTGCACCACAAGTAAGTCTAGAAATCATGTTAAAGAACAAATCTTAGAAATTATTTTAGGTGAAAATTGGTGCTGATGGACGCTTAGTCATTGACGAGGAGAGTTTGGTTGTTGAAAACGAAAGCACTAATGACAGTAGCATATGGGAGACTGTCGACGAGGCATGTGACATCAATTAACCAGATATTTTCTTCATCTTTTTCTCTTTTTATTCCTATTTCGCAGTTATGTTGTTTCCCTATCATGTTTATTCAGGATAGAATGACGCGTAAAGTCTCTTCTCTGTCATTTCGGAATCGAATGTGGAGGAAGGGAACATCGTGGACTGAAAAAGAAAACGAGTTATTTTATGGTAAGCCTATATTTCTGCATCTTTTCTATTTATATTCTTTTGTCGATACGATATGGTTTTTATTATCTGCATTCGTTTTTATACTATGTAGTGCCAGTGTACTTTCATGGTATAGTGTATGGTCACATCTTACTCCCCCTAATGAATGTATATCGTTTTTACCCATTTTCAGAAATTCTGCGTTGCACGGGGCCGGATTTTGGACTTATGCATGAATTTTTCCCGACACGCGCTCGTAATGAACTCAAGAGCAAATTCAATCGAGAGGAAAGAACGAATTGGGCGAAATTGAAGGAGGTAAGGTGCAAAATTATCTCAGCCAAACCTAGATTGGTGTCTTCAAAGGTTATGAGCAGACCAGCCCTCTTGGATGAGGATCTTTATGAGCGAGCTGCAGATCTTCAGAGAGAAATTGAAGAAGAAGCATTAGCTAAAAAGTTGAAAAAAGAGAAGGCAACAGATAATGGCACCGGAATGACAACCCGGCGAAGACGAAAAAAGGTTGGTCGTACATCTTGTGTTCGGAATAGCAATTTTGTGCGACTTGTGGTTCTCCTCATTAGAAAACCTGCAACTATTTCATCTTCCACGGCAATCCGAAGTTATAGAAAATTGATGAAGAAGAAGCAGCGGACAACTCAGAGGATCTCATTGAGGAGGCTACTCAGATCATCAATAGCTTAGAGAAGGAGAGATCAAAAAAGTAAATTTTATTACGAAATATCTGCGCAAAACGACGTTTTTTTTAGAACAAAAAAGAAGCAGAGGCGACGCCATTCCTGGTCTGATAGCAGTGACTCGTCTGATACCGGGATTAGCGAAGAATCAGGTATTGATGTAAGTGGGAATATCTATGTTTTTACGTTTACCACTCTGGTATCGTTTTAGGAAGACGATGATGAGAACGAGACTGAACAGGAAGAGGAAGATGTTGCCGGAACTTCGGGAGACATTGCCGCCACCGAAAAGAAGAAAGGAAGGTTTGGAATCTTATCTCACACTAGCTGGCTTACCCGGCTCCGCCGTATCCGGACCAAACTTGGCACACATACACTTCGGGCCCCGGCGGGTGTCACAGTCCACCTTTCGTTATCGATCGATGTCGATTTTACCGATTTTTATCGATTTTTTTGCAGAGTTCACCTACAGGGCTAGGAATTGGCACAGGGGGGAAGTGAGCATGGGGATTCCGAATACAATATTAGTTTTCAGAATTATCGATTACTTTTATTGTTTTTATCGATTTTTTGTAAATTTTGACATGCGAAGCTGGGATTTTGCACAGGGGGGTAATCGAGCATGCTGATTACGAACACAATATTAGTTTTCAGGATCGTCCATTACTTTTATTCGATTTTATCGATTTTTTTTGTAAAGTTTGACCTGCGGGGCTGGGAGTTTGCACAGGGGGTAATCGAGCATGCAGATTACGAATACAATATTAGTTTTCAAGATCGTCCATTACTTTTATCGATTCTATCGATTTTTTGAAAATTTGAGCTAGGGGGCTGGAATTTGGCACAGGGGTGTAATCGAGCATGCTGATCACCCCCCTTGGGGATGATCAGCATGCTCGATTACCCCCCTGTGCCAACTTCCAGCCCCCTAGCTCAAACTTTGAAAAAAAAATCGATAAAATCGATAAAGGTAATCGATAATCCTGAAAACCAATATTGTATTCGGAATCCCCATGCTCGATTACCCCCCTGTGCGAACTCCCAGCCCCGTAGCTCAAACTTTGCAAAAAAATCGATAAAATCGATAAAAGTAATCGATAATCCTGAAAACCAATATTGTATTCGGAATCCCCATGCTCGATTACCCCCCTGTGCCAACTCCCGGCCCCGTAGCTCAAACTTTGCAAAAAAATCGATAAAATCGATAAATGTAATCGATAATCCTGAAAACCAATATTGTATTCGGAATCCCCATGCTCGATTACCCCCCTGTGCCAACTCCCAGCCCCGTAGGTGAACTCAGCAAAAAAATCGATAAAAATCGATAAAATCGATATCGATCGATGACGAAAAGTAGCCTATGACACCCGCCGGGGCCCGAAGTGTATGTGTGCCAAGTTTGGTCCGGATCGGTTCAGAAATGGAATTTTCTATTCGGAACATACGTACAGACAGACATACAGACAGACAGACAGACAGACAGACAGACAAACAGACATTCAGCTTTATATATAAGATTTGAAGCACATGTAAGTGTTCATTCAGCATGAGTGGAAAGAAGAAACGGCTTCAATCAAATTCCTTTAGCGAAAGTGCCATATCGGAGTCTAACATAGTGGATGAGCCTCGTAAAATTGTAAAACTAACAAGGAAGAATGAGAAAAAGGTTTGCTTTTTGAGAAAAGTTGGATTATTTGTCAGGCTTCTGAGTACTACATTTCATGTTGAACATCATTATATGTATTGCATTTTCTTCTCCCCTCCCCTTCTAAGTATGGATGCCGAAATTTTGAAAGGGTCTATAGGGGTCGCTGTGCAAATGACTAGTTTTTATCTTGCTGGTCGTATATCAAGTAATTCTGTAAAGAAAATAGGGCTGAGTGCACCTGTTTTGTTTGCAGAATTTCAGCCATAAGTTGCTGAAGTCATTTTCATGCTTCTTTCTTGAGACGCCACTGATATGATACTTCTGATATAATAAGTACTGCAGCTTTCTGCCACGGCGGAGGCACTTCTCAAGGAAACTCTCGAGCTAATACCTGACAGGGGTCAACAAAGTGGGGCACCAGATGAAGTTGCTGAGAGTGCCGCTGCACAAGCTTACGAAGGATACGACGGTTGGTTGATTCGTTATTCTATCCACAATGAATAGTATTGAAATTTAGAAGGGGGTGCTGATATTGGCAGTGCTGATATTAGCAGCATCCAGACAATTGATAGTGACGTTGTGGAAGATTCTCGCCGTCCAAACTTATTAGTCAGAACCCGGCGTACTGCACAGATAACCAGAAGCTCGGAGTTCATCGACAGAAATCGGCCTATGCCAACGTCTTCTAATCATCCAACGTAGGCTAATTATATATCATTCATTCTCTAATTGTGAGAGGCGAGCAGCTTTGCGTACGTTTGATTAACATATATAAAATGCGTTCAAACGCGTTTTTGCAAATTACTATTAGAATTCAAGAAAACAAATGATCAAACCCGCGTTGTTCAACGAACGCAAACGTTTTTTCAAACGTGTCTCGATGATAATCTAAAAGCGTAAAAGCAATCATAAACTTGTCAATCAGACGTACACAAAGCTGCACGTGTCTCTTAGAGAATAAATGATAGTAAAATCATATGGCTTCATTGTTTTCAGTGAAGAAGAAGCGGTCTCTCCTCAAGCTGCAAGCGAGAATACTGTGGAAAATGCTGGTGGAAATGAAGTGGAAGAAGAATGTCGGGACGGACCATCAACAGCGACTTCACCAGGTCTGTGCTTTTGGATCCTTTGATTTCTGGCAACGTTTTGGTTTTATCTTCCTCCAGGTTTTGACTTACATCTGTCTAGAAGAAGCGTTACACTCTTTTACTCTTGCTATTTTAGAGAATTAGAGTTTGATAATATCTTTCTTGACGCCTCTCATCCCTCAGTAAATTCCCTCATTTTTTTAACCTTGCAGCCTTTTCAGAGCCACCCGCGGTAACTTCGACGTCGCACGATACGGAACGACACCGAACGAAGCCCAAAATTGCACCAAATCGTAAATTATCGACCAAAAAACAACCAAATAAACCAAGGTATGGTAGCTCATCTCTGATTAGGAAACTTTTTTGTCAAAGAGTATTTTCAGATCAAGAGAAGCTGACGGCTCAGGTGAAGCTTCTGATCCAGTCCCACAAAAGCATACTGCTTCTGTCACGGAAACAGAGGACACACCGGTTACGCCAGGAAACAGAAATGATGTTAAAAGGTAACAACAATATTATTTTTGCGAATTTGAATTTTAGCTTATCTCGTTGTAATTACAATGGCTTCTAGTTTTCTTACATCTATTCTACAGTGACTCTCAAAAATAACATTCGGTTGATGCACGAATAACAGCCGTTTTTGTTTTTTTTTTTACTGCAAAACAGCGAGATTGCTTCCAAAGATCTCCTAAACCATATCTCTGACTTTAATTTTTCTTATGAAAGTAATACTGCTAGTTTTATAATGGACTGTACCCTGAAATTTTTATTTCATCATTTTTGCTCCTACCCAGTGTATAACTTGCAATACATGATATTTTAGAACAGCGGACAAAACCTTAAACCCGACTTTTTCAAAGGTCACCAATGTTGAACACAATAACCATAGCGTAGGATCGCTGGAGAGTCAGTCTACCTCTTTGAAAGGTGATTCAGTTCTCAGTCCGATGTAAAAATTCTTTAACTATCCAAGTTTTTTTCTCATTACATGTAGTATGTCGAGGTCCCATAACTTTAAGTTTTTTGTTTTCCAAAAGTGATCTCCGCACATGAAGTAGTAGTACAGTGCTGGACATAGTTATAAAGCCACTCTAGAAATCGTCGTAATTTGCGTTCTTGTCAATGAACCTGTCTGAAACTTTGCTTATTGTGCGCATATCAAGCTGCCATGACCCCCTCAAAACGGCTTCCAGTCTTGTTGAGTTTGGACGGAGAAAAACGAAAAAATTTGAAAAATCCCCTAATGAAAGCTGGACAAAATTATAAAGCCACCTAGTTTTTCTAATCACTATCGCATTCGTTGACTCTCAAATTTTTTTGTACAATTACATCCTAAAATATGGAACATTTGCAACACCTACGTTCTGTCATCCTACTCAAATAGAAGCGATCACTGCATTTTTTGCTTTCAAAAGCATCAGAAGTCAATCTGCTTTAAAAAGAAGCTGGTTTGAGTAGTTTTCAAGCCCTTGTTTGTTTGTGTGCATGACTAGGAAAAAATTTCGGGGTTGAGCACTGTGGTTCAGCCGCAGTTGACATCCATTGAATGTTGAGTGGAGCACCCTGCACAATTAAAGCCAACTCAGATCACGAGATAAAACAGGAGACGCTTAAAACTTCAAAATCTCAACTAATCACATTTATCGGGTGAAATATGACATGAAACACAGAGGAAATTAAGGAGATCTAGAGTTATATCGAATCTTCTGCTCGCGGGGAATTTTCGTGAAAAGTTTTCAGATCTAAATCGCAACTGCATCACTAGGGAAAACCAGAAGTTGTTGCAAAAGCTGCATCAATGTGATAAATCAAATCAGCGCTTTATGAACATTGCAAACAGAGTTTTGTGGGGTAAAAACGTGACAACCCTATGGTGAGAATTGGAGTCTCTCCGCCAATATCAGCGATTACGCAGAGTATGGAAGCGCTCCTCACCTTATCTATCGCAAATGCTTAGTAGATTTTATGACTATCATTTGAATAAACAAGGGCTTGAAAACTCCTCAAACCAGCTTCTTGTTAAAACAGATTGACTTTGATGCTTTTGAAAGCAAAAAATGCAGTGATCGCTTCTATTTGAGTAGGATGACAGACCGTAGGTGTTGCAAATGTTTCATATTTTAGGATGTAATTGTACAAAAAAAATGTGAGTCGACGAATGCAATAGTGATTAGAAAAACTAGGTGACTTTATAATTTTGTCCAGCTTTCATTAAGGGGTTTTTCAAATTTTTTCGTTTTTCTCCGTTCAAATTCAACAAGACTGGAAGCCGTTTTGAGGAGTCATGGTAGGTTGACATGCGCACAATACAGCAAAGTTTCAGACAGATTCATTGACAAGAACGCAAAGTACGACGATTCCTAGAGTGGCTTTATAATTACGTCCAGCATGTATCTATTATCATGTACTTGTGGCATCTCATATCGATGATGAGCATTACTTTTCTAGATCAATCTGTGGTAGCACCGACATCTAAAGAGACACGATTATCCCGCCCGCGTCGTCATGTCAAAGTCAATGTTGTCGCGAGACGTGCACCTCCAAAACGTCAACCTAATAGAGCAACGTGCGTTTGTAAAAGTCCAATTTTTCCCCCTTTTGAATCGCTGGCATCTTTTTAGCCCAAAGAAAAATGACAAGAAAGGCGATGATGAGCTTTGTAATCGTGATTCCACATCAGACAAGCCAGGTATATCAAATGTTATGGCCTCCATTTTACAGTCTCATGAATACTAATTGAAATTTATTTGTAGCAGAACAACCTTCCACGTCAGTCGAAGGCGAAGATTGCACGAGAGTCAGAAGGTGGGCTTTTGAAATGTAGAGGTTGAACCCTTTAACATTCGTGATCATGTGATTTCATTCATGAGCTCCGAAGTAAGCATTTAGACGACGCCATCCTTGATCAGCTCTGCTTTTCAGATCTGTCCCAAAGGAAAGAGAGGAAGCTACAGCGAACGATACCGGAGATAAGAGCTGCGAGAATAGTGCGTGATTAGTTTGTGATTGTTTCTGACTTCCACACAACAATAGATTCTGTAGACGCAGCGGATGACTCCAGTGACATTGTTGCTCTAGAGGGCAGCGCTCCTTCCAAACCAGCTCACTCGTCTAAAGGAAGTACGATATACAGACATATGAAATAATTATATTGAATTTTTCTCTATAGGTACTCCAATACTTGTAGAGGTTGAACTGAAAAGACCATCTCGAGCAAAACGAGGAATTTCTCGCAAATCTCGTGGGCGCCGATGAGTCTTCTTTTTCGACATATTAGACATATTAAATCGTAGCTCTAATGATGTCATATGTTTTGTGATTGTAATATACTGATCGTCAAAGGTAGGTTGTTTGAGAATTTCCACCTGTTAGGTAGTACTATATTTTTTGCGGTGTGAGTGCTGCAGACTCTTGTGCAAGATGTCAGCTTGTCGTCCTTGTTGTGATTTTTTGTTTTTTGTTGGAATGTAGTTGTTCGCTTGTTGATCATAAATTATAGTTTTCACTATAAGGCAATCATAGGGAAACATTGATTGAGAGCACAATTTCTCGAAAAACATAACTGACGGAATGCATTCAGCAAATAAAGCAGACAGAACCAGCATTAAAGGCAGTGTCCAGGCTAAATCTAACCCCCTCCGATTAGTGTCGCTCCTGAATGTAGGCCCCAGAAAAGGGGCATCTGCGTTGGTCCGGTCTTCTAACATTGTCTCTGAATGGAAATAAGGGGCCTGAAAGTCCCCGGCTGGGCGGAGTCTGATATCAGACTCCGCCCACCAGGGGACTGCCTCCCGACACGTATTGACAAGGTAGTGAGCAGAAGCTGCACACTGCACACTGCAATGCAACTGCACCCATGCAGTTGCAGCTCCTTCCCGCTGGCCTGCCGACGGGGACGAGCAATTCGAAACTCGTCCGCGCCCTCAAGACTGGGTCCCCAAGAATCGGGTTTTTTGTGAATTTTAGAGAGTTTGAAGTTCGGAACTGTGATCAGGGCCACGGAAAGGCCCCAGAATGACGAAAACATGGGGGACCAAATTCTGGGTGGACGCTGCCTTTAACAATTCGCCGCTGCTTGCACAGGTCTCACTCCCCTTAGGCTGCTTTCAAAACATCTTCCTTTTGTTTTGCATATTTCAGCTGTAAATAACAACAGTTTTCTAACCTTTCTATATCAAAATAACACAGCGAAAACATTCTTCTAGTGACAGATTGGGTAGTTTGAGCCTGAATTCACTTTAAACTTTCGGACGGCTTTCAGAGTTGTCCGTACCAGCGCCGTGTTAACTCCTGGTTAACCCCTGTATATTGAAGTATATTCAAGCACTAGTAAAATTCGTTGAAAATCACTGTCTTATTTTTCAGAAAAATCATTAGTCAAGTAATATTGCAAACTTTTTGCAACCATAGTATCGTCCGTAAGTGTACCGTAGGCAGAATCCTGCGATGGAATTATTGTGATGTCATCCAACAGGAGAGCTTCCAAGAGTTCACCCATTACTTCCCTTTTCTCAGATCCGATTACTTCACGGCTCCCAAAAAATGGTCCTCCATGAAACTGGCAGTTGGCGTAATCCGAGGAAAGAAGCATGGAGTACTCAATTTAACTCGCTCTTTATTCCACATCTACTAGAAAGATTGTGAATTAGTGTGATAGGTAGTTGGTATAAGCACCGTAAGTTCTAATATAATATGCTTTGATGAAAATTCTACTTTGGATATGCATTAAATTTCTAAATATTCACTTATTTGGTATGACTAGAGAAAGATATTTGGTAAAGATTCGATTTTGGAGCAACCTCACTTCTACCTGTTAATGTGTTGTTAGAAGCTTTCGTTACAGCATTTCAGCGTCGAAATCTCTCAAAGAAAATGGGAAAGATGCGAACAATCTCGAACGATAGATCCTTCTTCTTTTGAAGGCGGCGTTGAGAAATGGATTTGATGAGAGTTTGATGCCTAGCAATAGCGCGTCCTCCAACTGCATACTTGGCCATTTGTGCTGCCAAAAGTTGCCTCCGAAGCGATAATTGCTTGGGATGAATTCGCCATATCGGCTCCTCCCCTTCGAGTGGGCGTGACGCTTGTCCCGCCCATCCTTTCGCACACAAAGTCACCGTTCCAAAGAACTCGTCCTGCCGGTACTGGGGGACGGGGATGTCGCGATTTTCCGGATTCTCGACTTATTATTCGAAATCAGGGACATGAGGAAGCCCCGGAACGACAAAAACATGAAAACTAGTTTGGGTGGACCGTGCCTTCAATAACCATTTGCAATGTTCCGTCTACGGTTTTGCAATGTCGATGAAGTATTTTTTGAAAGATGCAGAAAGAGCATTTTCTTACAATACTGCATCTTAACGACTTTTTCATAGCTTCTGGAGAATATTTGAACTGACGGACAAGACAACTGCAAAGAATGTCGCCTGAACTATTTCCAACGCGGGAAAGAGAATATAGCTTTCTTGGGAACCACTGATGAGTGCCGCCAAGAAAGCTACACTACCGGTCTAGTTCTTATCCCCAACCCGGTTGTGAGAAAAAAAACAGTTACTTTTTAGCAATTTTGAAATATCTTGGAATATTCTTTCTTATTGTGGACTTATCTCTTTGTTCATTTATAAACATATGAAGACTGCAAATCAATTTTCTTTTGGCGCGCTCTTTGGCTTAGAAAAAGAGATTTCGGGAAAAAGATTTTTCCTTATCGCAACCGTTTTTTAAGAATTTTCCGTTACAATGTCTACTGGAAGCACATCTGGAATTAGCGTTCATGGCTCCGAATGGCATATGATACTGTTCACGCATATAACATGCTGGACAGTTTGGCACTTGCATTCAGAAAATCTTCATTGTAAACTGTATTCCACAGTAGATCAGAGCAATAGAAAAGGTAGTGATAAAAATGTATAGATCAACAATGGGGTTAAATAACATTGAAAACAAAGCAACGAAATACGATTCAAGTGGCAATAAGGTCTCAGAACGAATAACCTTTCCAAATTTTCTCAAACTAATTCGTCCTAGATTTTTCCTATTCTTTCACAAAGCTTGAAGTCGAAAATAGCTGGACGCTGAATAAATATTTCTCCTTCTGCTGTGACTTGTTTTTTGTTGCCTCCTTATTTTCCTTTTCTCTTCCTAAATTCTAAAAATTGTGACGATTTCCCGAATACAACCCGTTCGTTCCATGCAGCCAAAAATTTCGAAGAAACGGCTATAAAATGCATGACACTCAGCCAACAATAGCTTCGCCAAATTTGATTGAGAAAAAAATGGAATAAAAGATAGAGATAGCAAGAAATTTGTTCTATTGTGAACCTGAATTGTCAACAATAACGCAAATAAACACAAAACTATATCAAAGGAATGCTGCCGTAGATTTGAGGTCCGGTGGCAGTGCCGAGTAGGGAGCGAGATTCCAACATTGCAATGTCTGCTGTTGCTGAGGATCGCGATTTGACGGCTTTTCCTCTGTCGAAACTTCGAAGCGTTTAAGAACGGAGGTGTAAAATTCCTGCTGCTTTCTTAAAACATCCACGTAGATGTCGAGGGCAAGAGATTTCTTTGCAATGAGCTCTTCTTCCTCCTGGAGACTATCTATTATCAGAGATCGCTTTGAAAAACGCGCTTACCCTCAGCACTTTCATCTGCAGCTCGATGATTGCCTTATCAGATACACTTTCAGCGCTAGATGAGCAGTCGGTGTCAAACTAAAGTCTGAGATGACAACGATGCATTATTAAGGGAAGCGTCATAGTAGCCCGTATTCAAGATTGAATCTAGGTTCAATCCGGATTCACTCCGGAATACAAGTGATCGTGACGCCCCTTTAAGGCTGCATTCAGAATCCCCCATGTGCCCATTCTGCCCTGGAACACGTCGCATGCGGGAACATCCGCTTTGTCATATCACCGCATGCGGCTTTCCGTGCCCGTTTTCGGCCCAGCACTGAACCTGCACACGGGTGATTCCGTACGCCACCTGCAGGTTGGTTGCATACATCTTCGAGTTGCTGCAGCACCCGTTTACGACGGATACGTCGTAGTTCATGCCTATCAATCAGCTCCCGAGAATCGGCTTCCTCCCTCCTTTCGTCTCCACGCCTTCGACGTTTTCGTGCCCACCCATCATCCTTGTGACCTCTTTTCGTGCTTTTCATGACCGATTCCGATGAATCGCTATCCCATACGCTCCGCTTTCTTCCCTGAAATATACAAAGTTAGTCGGAGAGATGACACTCATAATCTTACCGAAGAACCCTTCTTCTTCTTTCTACCGTCCTCTTCCCTCGCACTTCTTTCCGCTCTCAGGTCACCCCTCCACCCTCTTGTGCCCTCCGACGCTGACTCCGAGAAATCGCTGGAGTCCTCCCTCCGCCTTTTTCTCTTCAAAGTACAAACCTTGTGGAGAGTTTAGCATATCATGAAAACTCTCACCTTACTAACGAAAGAATGTCCTTTCATCACAGTCGGATCCTTTCTCCCTCTCCCTCCGTCTTCTTCCATTCTACTACCTCCATGCCCATCATCTTTCCAGCCTTTTCTCGTGTCTTCCAAAGTTGACTCAGAAGAATCACTAACGCCTCCCTGAATGTTCTCCAACGTATGGTGACACTATCAATGTGTCCCCACTTTGTCATATATTGCTGTATTATTTTGGCCACGCATAACATCTTCTTGCACCAAACGACGGGCTAACTGGATCTCAGCTTCCGTAAGAGCAGGTGAGACCTCAACTATGGAATTCTCCAAGCTAAGATCGCAGCCACCGTCCAGTAATTGCCTTAACCTGAAGGATCAAAATTAAAGGATAATTGTCTGCAAATTATTATATTTAGATAGCTTTATTACTTTTGTCTCCTCAGCACATCTCGCATTGAAGCTTTCTTGCTTCTCCATACCCTTTTGATCTGAGCAATAGTCATCGTTTTATCACACTGCACCAGTACGATTTCTTGTATTTCTTTCCATGCTTTGAACTTCTTACGATTCGCCTCCGGGTTCCTCGTTGCGCTGAGATCCAAAAGGATTTCCTTTCGTTTCATAGTCTCCGTTAGAATAACATCATGATAAGATTTGGATCCTTCGATTTCTTCCACCATGCTGATTGGTCTGCAGACGTTACTGAAAGAACAACAAAATTGAATCCATCCAACACAGTTATGCCGCTACTTCGGCGAATCAGAAACAGCTTCTGAAGTATTTACACAACAAGGACACAGACGAGAGCTGTGACAAGGCAGTCATGAAAAACCCATTAACCCTGTTCTGCGGGTCTCTCAAATTTGTACGATGGCTCAATTTAGACAAGATTTACGATGGAGGAGTGACTTACGCACTTAATACAGCAAGAAAACATATTTGTGGTGGAAAACAAGAGATGAGCTCCGCAGTGGAAAATTCGCTTCACAGGGTCGATGCAGAAGACGCAGCACCCATCAACGCGGGTGCTTGATATGCTGAGTAAAACGGGAGAGAATACCTGGAGGCATAGGCAACAAAGGGGTACTGCTTCTGCTTATGGTAGGAGCTCTAAACTTCCGCTCGCCTTTGATTCATTTTGATTACTGCCATACATACCCTGCTCTACTGTACGTAAACTTTCGAAGCCTGGTCGCGATATATGTTTGTTCTCCTCAAATTCCTAATAATATTTCCAAAAGATCATCGAATGAATCATGGAGAATAGCTTCATTCAACATCAAGGGGTGTCCAAAAATATCAGATTTTTGGGGTGAGTCGAAAATCACTCAGTCTGATTTCAAAGTCTCAGGTCTTGTAACATCTTCACCTCCAAGATAAAGATTCACGTTCGGAGAGATACGAACTCCGCCATCAAATGTTCACTACCGGTCCTCATGCAATATGCTATAGCAAGTGCAAAGGATCAATAGTTCGCCGTGGAGGCGCATGTTGATGTAGTTCGTTTCCCCCTCACATTCCAACAACTTAGTCCACTGTACATGTAAGCAGTGGCGTTACCAAAATTCCTGACCGGGGGGAGGGAGACGAAAAAAATTTTTGAGTGAAGATGCGTGCCTAACGCCACGCAACTCCGAAATTTGCGGGCCCATGACCCCAAAACTTTAGAAAAAGCTTCAAGGGGCACGAAGAAGTCTAAGGCGCCCCAGATGCTTTAGGGATCGTTCAGACCGCGCACAAAGGCGGGCGAAGGCGCACGAAGGCGGACGAAGCCGCACAAAGGCGGACGAAGGCGGACGAAGCCGCACAAAGGCGGACGAAGGCGCACGAAGGCGCGTCTTATCTCGTCTCGTTTCTCTCGACCCACACACACACATACTCACACATGCCTCGTCTCGTTTCTCTCGACACACACACACACTCACACATGCCTTCGTGCGCCTTCGTCCGCCTTTGTGCGGCTTCGTCCGCCTTTGTGCGCCTTTGTGCGCGGTATGAACGATCCCTTAATAAGACGGAGCGGTAAGCCCTTTCTGCCTTTAGCCTGTACTACATGTGGAGAAGTGGAAAATCTGTTTTCCATGATTTAAATTCGTTTCGAGCTCATAACATTCAGTCTATCGTTGAAACAAGCGGCGACCACTAATTCATCTACTTTTCAATGCTTTTCCTCGGGTGGGGGAACGAAAGCCGCCAGGTCCATCCGCCTTTCGCGGCCAGCTGGTCCTTTCGCAGCGTTGTTGCATGTCGTTCCAGGACCAGCAGTCCGCGGAGGCCGCTGGACCTGGCGGCTTTCGTTCCCCCACCCCTTTTCCTCGCTTCGGAGACTTCACCCTTCGCAGCTTCACTTGGAAATGACATGTAAATAATAAATAATAAAAATATGCGTAAAATGGAGGCAAAAATATAACCAGAAAGAGGAAGACAAATTTGAACAGCAAATCGCTTACAAAGGAACGATCTTAACTTAAAGGCAGTGTCCAGGTAAACTGGTCGCATGGCTCTTTCGCCTGGAAATTGATGAGGGGGTCCTAACTAAGGCACTGCCCAAGGAATCCGTCCCCGATAACCCCGCGCCTGCACCGTGACCGTAAATCAAAAACGACTTCGCTCACTTTAACATTCTACGTTCGGGTTGGGACCAATCCTAAGTGTTACGGTCAGGCGCAACAATGGAATGGGTGGAGGACTATATGTCGCCGAAAAAGGGCGGTCCCCGCGGTCATTTGCGACAAATACGCACTCTTGTACATGCGCGGACATGCGTTCCTGCAGGGAATCCGTGCGGACTCTCCAATTTCGGCGACATATAGTCCCCCACTCCAATGGAATGTTTGGTGGATTTCTCAGACGTGAATGAATGGATGATTATTTGCGCTGCGGTTTGGTCAGTGCCTTAGCTAGAGCCTCCTCGACAGTTTCCATACAAAAAAAACACATGCGCCCAGATTTGCCTGCGCACTGCCTTTGAGGCGGCGAACTGGAGTGAGCCACATATCATTTGAGCTGATTCCAAATCTGTCTTCCATATCTGCGATGCGGAAAAAAGTCTGAGCGATCAAAATTGTGAAGTCGCTGGGGTTTCGATCCATAATGTGCTTTGAAACCCAGCCTGGGATTGCATCACTAGCGTGATATTGAGTGTACTGATTTCAAAATGTTCACATTTGCAGGAAGCATAAACAAGTGTTTTGATCAACTAATTCTTGAGGTGTAGCCCCGTATATCTGCCAAATTAAGACTTTTAGATGCTCACATTTCTTCCAAAAAAAACTTTAGTTGCTTTTTACTTGTTCGAAATACTTATGTATTTCTAAATAAGAGCACCTTGAAAACAGTATACTCAATATTATGTTAGTCATGCACTCCAGGTTGGACTCTAAAACATATTATGCATTGAAACCATGACGATATTACACTTATGACCGCTCACGATTTTTCCACAAAACGGCATGGCAGATACAAAAGGTAGATTTGGAATCAGCTCATTTTAAGATATGCGGTTCGTTCCATTGCCATCCTTATGTTGGGATCCGTCTTGTGTTAGAGAAAACATGCTTACCTTGAGAAGTTGAGATTGGGATAACTCGTTGATCCTGCTCCCTACTGAGCAAAACGGGTAGAAATACGTGAACCGAGGATTATTGCGCAGCCAAGTTCCGTAAATTTCGATTTGAAGGAGCTTCACTTGAACAAAATCGCTTTGCTCACAGACCTGACAAAAGTTATTCACAACCAAGATGAAAAAGTAAATACAGCTTGAATGTAATCATAAAAATATCCTAACGAAAGCATTCCTCAACATAGAACAAGGTAGTAAGCTTATTCACTACGTATGTTCGGATAGTAGACAATGATCTTTCAAAGGAATCGGAGCACGAAACGATGGCAATATTAGCTCGCAAATTTTGAACAGAAACCAAAGTATGAAACAACTATATGCATATCTGAGAAAAGTCAAATAATAAAGCGTGCGTACTTGCTATCTGTATGTTCCTACGGTTCGCAAAGCGTCCGTGACGTAGTCGAGCTGTGCTCTCATGCCAATTGCTGCGTCTCCTTACCCGCCATACTATTTTTGCCTCGATCGAGGTGGCACGCAAAGTTCGAGCCGACCTTTAATCAATGGTGGTGCCCCTGGGGATCGGCCATACTATTCCTGCATTCCTACGATCCTGCGATTCCTGCGGTTCCCGTGAGTCCCGCACAGTTTAGACGCCGCTTAAATGAGCGCTTGTTGCGTGTTACGTGTTGTTTTACGCAACACGCGCTCATTTAAGCGGCGTCTAAACTGTGCGGGACTCACGGGAATCGCAGGATTCGCAGGAGTCGTAGGGATAGCAGGAATAGTATGGCCGATCCCCTGCACGAGCGCTGTTCCCACCCGCATTCTCACAGAATGCATGTTTAGTCGATGTGGCCTCTAGATGTGATGTATACCATACTCGGGGGACGGTCAGAAAGTACGATCGGCGCGAATTTTTCGCGAAGCGATGCTGCAACGTACTTCAGTCCTTACAACAGCAGCATTTGCGTAGTCTTGCTTATAGCATCAAGTCATGTACCGTCTGCGCCCCGGAGAGGTTCCCATGCAGGGTAAAGCGGGGGGTGCGGCACGCGACCGCCGGATACGACCCCCCCCCCCCCCCTTGGGCCGGACCTCGGCACGACCCCCCCCCCCCCCCTCCCTCCACCCCATAACCAACGCCCAGGTTTAATTTACAATTATTTTTTTTATAATTACAGTTTTGTTTACAATTTTTATTAAATAAATAAATAAGCGATGAAACACTTGATGCACAAACACAATAGTATGAACAACCTTCAAAATTAGTCAACTTCCATGTTGTCTGCAGCTTGCTGCGGTGGTGCAGCATTATCTCCGGGGGTTCTATTCGGTGAAGGTGATGCCTCGTTCTTTGTTTCCTTGTTCTGTGGTGGTGGAGCTGGTTTCTTCTTGTTGAGAATTGGCATTACAATGGCTTCAAAAGCCTACAAAATAAATAATTACAGCTCAAACAAGACCTTCGAATTGTTTGTATGGGAAGAGTGGTGATATAAGGCGCCGCTATGACTGGTCGGATCTCTTCAGCTAATCATCAGCCTATTCATCAAGAACCCTGAGGCAAAATAAACCTTGAGAGCGCATACCCGTATGCTCAAACAATTGCCTATATCTCAAAGCATAAGAGACACACACCTTGAGCCATTAATCTGTATCTACAGACACAGGATAAAATTAAGCTTGAGCTAATGCAAATGCATGGCTCATGTCTCAGTTCGAGGTAAAGAGTTCTTGCCCCATGCTAGGGTAATATTTGTCTTGAACCTCAAGATATATTAGATAGAGGTAGATTCTAACTTGAATTATGTTCGTGAACACGGGGCAGTGGCACACGGTATGTTTCACATACTTTGAGATATAGGCAATTGAGTGAGCATGCGGATATGCGCTCCCAAGGTTCTAAGGTTGGTGAGTACGCGGCTACAGATCCTCCACCCTCCGAGAATGGTAAATTGAGACCAAATCGGAAGGACTGAAGCGTGTGTTGATACAATGTTTGTAAGGTTTGCACCCTAGTTGACTCCTCGTCTATGACATATGCGCTAGCATGCCGATAAAGGGTATTTGAGACTCCGGGTACTCTGTCAATATCCCACAACGGAAAGCACTGTGGTCGTTGCAGATTAACAAACTCAAATGGAAGGGGAAAGTATAGTACAAACAACCATCATTCCACCCCAACAATAATTCTTGAATACCCTCTCCTCTCTTAAGAGCAAATTATAAAGGTTTACAATACTTCTATAACGAAAGGAATCATTTGACTTACTTGTTGTTTCTGGGCGATCTCGTTTGCAAACACGATTGGCGGCTCAGTTTTAGCCCTTCTTTCCTGCCTATGGCGAGCATCATCAATCCATCGCTTATTCTCTTCGATTGCGTTGATCACCTACACACTTCATATTGAACGGTGTGCTGAATCATCAATTGCAAGAAAAACTGTTTCAGAAATCAAATGTTCAAGTGGCGACAATCAATTAACACTTCTCAAACCTTCTCCATATCAGCACTGTCAATGTGAGCGTGTGCTTCACCACCAGCCACATAGTCTTCGTACGCTTTACGCACACGAATGATTGACCTATCAAAAGCTTCGAATGCTGGCTGAAATGAAACAATATGGTTGACCATCACTTCTGCTATCTATCTAAGCTTACCTTCCTTGCTTCAAACTCTCTATAGCGTTCAATTATAGGATCACCAAGTTTTCGGAGCTCGGCAAGTCGCTGCTCATAAACCTACAAAGAGAACAATAACAAAATATGCGATCTGCTAGAGTTCTGATGCAAGAAGCTTACCGGCTTCTCAGCGTCTTCGCCTTCATCATATAACCAATCCTCGACTGCAGTCAGTTGTGAACGAAGTGCATCTGCATCCTAAGAATTGGGACGATAGGAGCGTCATCTTGGCACCAACAAAGCGAAAACGGCCATAATATAACCGACCTTCTCGGTGACAAATGAATCTGATAGTTTGTCTCGCATATCATACTCCTATATATATATAGGAGAGCATATCATACTCCTATATATACTCCTATATATATCTCCTATATCATACTCCTACTCCAAAACGGTTCCTCAAAAGGCAGTGGTGAGCATGTATACAATTTCCACTCTCCAGCTGCGCATGATTTGATTGGGTGATTGAGGCTTGCAAAGGCTCATGACCGTATGTGCACTTCACAAACCACGCAAACCAAAAATCAAATGGTATGTTTCGCACTTCATAATGCACTCTCAATGATAATTAAGGAAATATGCAAAAGTAGGGAGAATGTATACTACTTACAAGGAAAGGATACTTGGTGACCGTGGCCTTTTGTAATGAGACGTACACCATTGAATGCGTTTTAAAGCGCTAATTCCAAATCTGTTTTCATTATCTGCTGTGCGCTCTTCCGAAAGAAGATATGAACATTTCTTGCCACCAAAATTGCACTGTTTTTGATTTTTTGTTTTTGATTCACCAATATCGTTAAATGTTCGCTTACGCACTACAAAAGAGCGTACAGATAAAGTAAAGCTTCACGTCAAGCTCAGGAAAATTGTTGTCGATACATCAGAGTCTAAAAAGGCTGGATACTGACGATTTTGAGGGACCGTAGATTCGCCCGCAGGAACGATTACTTTTGGATTGGAGCAGGAATCCTCCGTAGAGCACCTTATCCTTCCAAAGCTGATTTTGAGGATGCGCTTGCCAAATAACTCAATGTTGCGTCTTGCAACTCTACTACTGCAACTCTAATCTCCGTATCAAGTTTGCCGAGCCACTTTCTTTAAAAGCGGCGTCCAGGCAAATCTGGACAAATGGGTATCGCCAGCGGAAACTGATTTTGGGAAACTGCGCAGAGTTACACCATAAGATGAGTTACTCAAGCTCTAGGTCTCCATTACTATCAGCATCAAGTACAAAATTCCTTACTAATGCGGTTTGAATTTGTACATAAAAGTTTGATTTGCTTTTTCCTTTCTTTCTGTAGTAGATAGTACTTTTTCGATCTGGACAACCGTCTCCTTTCGCTTCATTGAATGCCTTGACTATTGGGGAGTCTGCCTATAAGGCTTTGGCCATACTTTGCCCGTGTTGCCGATGTTTCCAGTGTTACTCAAGTTACCGGTGTTGCCGATGTTACCAGTGTTACTTGTGTTGCCGATGTTTCCAGTGTTACTAGTGTTTCTAGTGTTACCGCCTTTACTGCTGTTGATTCTCAAGATGATCGCCAGTACAGTTTCATTTTCTCGGTAACATTGGTAATATCGGCAACATGAGTAACACTGGTAACATCGGCAACACCGGTAACACGAGTAACATTGGAAACATTGGCAAAGTATGGCCAAAGCCTAACGGCTGTAAGCGAAATTCTTGCAAAAAAGGTGGCACTGGGAAACTAGATACGTTTGTACCAGCTTCTTAACATCGTAGTTTGTCTATAATTGTGAATGTTGCGCCCTGATCAGCGGTTGTTCATCGTCTTCTTGCTGTGACTTCTCGAGAGCGGGCAAGATTTGTTCTTTTGTGCTTTTGTCAAAGTCTTTCAGCTCTGTAAAATTTGTACAGCCCTCTTCAAGAAGACATGAAGGCAAGAGAGTTATTAACGATCATACAGTGTGCACATTATTTTAGGATGCGCTGTGGATTTTTGTCACCATACATCATGCTGCTTGGACCTGAAAGGCTAATTCAAGTATCAGATGCACAGAACTTTCTCCTTTTCACTGAAAAATTTTTACTTTTTGCATCATCCAGACGAATTTGCCGTATACAAATATACATACAAATATACTTGGGGAAAAGCAGACTTATGGTAATCTTGGAGAGTTTCTACTACGGTACGGTCACAGAAATGTAAGCGGGGAAAAAGACCACTGAACTTCATTTTTCAAAGCTCGCCAACAATATAAGTTTGCAAAAGAATTTGAAATGCCGATGCTTAGGTTTTACGACTTAGTTTGTCGAAAATGTACTCACCATTAACCGAAACTGTTCGCAATAAGAATTGCAAATGGCACGTTCAACATCAGCCCTTGCAGTGTTTCAGATTTACAAGAACATGATAAAACGTCAATACTCAATCATACCTAACTTATGGTTGACACAAAATTGTTTCCTGAATCAATGCTCTCCTCAAATCTGAAAATCTGCATTGTAAATTATTGGGTGACTTGAAATATGAGGATTGGGGCCATAATGCAAGTTTGTTGTATCAAATGTGCCTTACACCAAAAGGAGAAAAGTTGATTCTACAACAGGCCTGAATGATTCAAGTAAATCTAAAATACTACAAAGCAAATCATGGCAGAGCTTGACTGTGAAATGTCCTCCTTTTCGGAGCAATAAAGCGCTGCGATGTATTTTTTATTCCTCATGCTTTAGTGTTTATGCATTGAATTGCGATGCCCTCATGAAATCAACCTCTGTTCCACGTTTATCTGGCAGAGAGTTGATAATGCACACAACTTGCACAAATTTGTTGCCAATTCAAATATCCTCGGATAGATTTCCGTTGCCAAGCATGGCATTTGAAGAAGTGCGCTCAAATGACAGACGCGGCAAGAGCGTCTGTAAAATAAGTGTTAGCCGTAAAGTAGCAAAGATTTCGATGGCTTTGTTTGTGTAGAACTTACAAGCGCAAAAACTTTACTGATATAAGTCAGCGCCTATCACGACCAAAGAAAGTGGCTCGGCAAGCTTGATACGGAGATTAGAGTTGCAGTAGTAGAGTTGCAAGACGCAACATTGAGTTCTTTGGTAAGCGCATCCTCAAAATCAGCGTTGGAAGGATAAGGTGCTCTACCTAGGATTCCTGCTCCAAGCCAAAAGTAATCGTTGCTGCGGGCGAATCTACGGTCCCTCGACGATTTTGATGGCCTAGATCTCGCAAAACCGATACGGAAAAAAGTCCATAACTTCGTTCAGGGAGTCGCACAGCAGATAATAGACATAGATTCAGAATCAGCGTTCCAAGATGCATCTAATGGTATACAAATTTTTGCAAAAGGCCATGGTCACCAAGTATCCTTCCCTCGTTAGATACTTAGATGGCCCGTCCCCACGTGACGTGCGGGCCCCAGTACAGAAGTCTCCATTGATCCCTGTCTCTCGCTTCAGACATCCACGATATTCTTGGTCGTCGTCGATGGTTGCGTCCACGAGTTCCGGGGGCGAAAATCGTATCCAGTTGATTTCTTAGCTGGTCCATTCGTTCCACGAACACGTCTGCCCAATTCTTTGGAGGTCTTCCTCGGGAACAAATAGAAATATCATCGTCTACTGAGATAAATTTATTGAAGTTGAGCGAATGACAATTTACGGGTCATAAACAGCCAAGACCCCTTTCCTTCAAAGGATACCCGACTCCCTAATGCACCACACAATCGGCGAAAAGTGTGCTCATTTATCTCAGATTTGAGTACATGTATGGAGAGTGCATTTGTGCAAACAGGCTCAAATGTTTCGAGTTAATCAAAGCTGCTACACCTTTGAGCCATCAGTCTCAATGAGACCTCCATTACTCAGTTGGAATGACGATATTTCTATATAAGTAAATGTCAAGTGCATCACATGCCGCTTCATCGTTTTAGATAATCAAAATGTTATCAATAGACCATTTTGTTGTCAGATTAGGAAGTCTATATAAAGTTGAGCTGGTGAGCATCACTCAGTTTTCTCTAGTATGTCTATCAAAGAAGAAGATACTCAACCAGAAGATGCAGGGACAGCGGATGCACAGACCAAGCTGGATGGATCAAAAACGCAGACTAGCGCTGTAAAGCAAGAAACATCGGACGCTCATGTAGAACCCAAAACGGTTCCTCAAAAGGCAGTGGTGAGCATGTATACAATTTCCACTCTCCAGCTGCGCATGATTTGATTGGGTGATTGAGGCTTGCAAAGGCTCATGACCGTATGTGCACTTCACAAACCACGCAAACCACACCTCCACACAGGCTGAGTTAATTGCCGTTGATATTTGTTTCGATACTTAAATAAACTGTCTTCACGGCGTGCGGACCCCAGCACAGGTCCCTCGTTTCACATATCCACAATCTTTTTTGCGTATGTGAATGCATCCACGAGTTCCAGGTGCGCAAATCATATCCAGCTGACTTCTCACTGGTCCATTCATTCCACGAACAGACCTGCCCAACTTGTTAGTGGTCTTCCTCGAGAACGTATAGGTTTGCGAGGAATCTACTCTGATGATCTTACTGTCCATCTGTTGTCTGTTTTCCTCCTAATGTGTGACCGGCCCATCAATGATTTTACGCAACGTATTCCGCTGGGTCACAAAGACGGGACATTCTTCCCGTATCCGTACTAAAGTCCGACAAGAAGTTGCTAGAGTCAGGTCATCTTTAGAAGGCTGCGCTCAAGCGGTCTGTGAATGGTCCGTAGAGCTAACGTGGCTACAGTGTCGGCTCAAGTCTCGCTGCCAACAGGCTTTATCCAGGTCTCAGATCTGAGAACGATCTTGATGAGAATTTGTACAGCAAACTCAGCAGGCACATTGGACTGTAGTTCCGATCAGGGCTGCATGAGCTGGCACCAGGGAAATTTCAAAACGAAGTCCCGTTGATATTGAAAATTTTGTACTAAGCCCCATTTGACCTGTTTTGAAAACCCGTCATCATTTTTATATTATGTAAAAAATGTAGTAGTGTTTTCATGCATTTCTGATTTCATGAAAGAACTTTTCACAGCTTTCTGAGCTTTTTAAGTGGTCGAATCACATCTTGAGAAGCAGAAAAAGCCGATTTTTTGACGGCGGAGCGGACGGAGTGGTTTTCAAATTGCCATAAAACGCTGAAAAGAGAACATTATGAAAGTGTTTCTTCTCCATATGTATTCTTTTACAGTGTATTTAGATACATTTTATGTAGAAAAGTATGAAAACTTATGTGAGCAAAGTGTCGGTGCCAGCTCAGCTGGCACCCAGCTGGCACGGTGCCAGCTAATTCGGAAAGAAGTTCGGCACAGTTTTCATCCACATAAGTTTTCATAAATTTTTGGCCCGTAGTTCCGGTCCACCAACGCGCATGCACACACCAGATTTGGTGTCATACTATTGCGTTTTGACTGAAAACAACGCCTTTGTTTGTTGATGGACAGCTTGCCAATGGCATGCCGGTGGCATGCCGGCGGCATTTTTGCGGCAGTTCTCCGCCTCGGTCCCTGTAGAACGATATCCCCTTTGCTTTCCGCCCTAAAAACGATATCCAGCTTGACCCGGTGCCAGCTGTGCTGAGCCCTGGTTCCGATGATCCTCCTGTTCGCCCTTCTCGAAGAGTTGGTCGAACGGGAGGAAGGTCCCTTGCGATCGAACTTTTCTTTTGAATGTAAGATAGTAGATGCCACGCTAAATCTCGTGCAGACGTTGTTCTGCGCCTCGCAAAAGTTCGGAAAGATGATCTGGTCCTGGAGCCGTGGACTTCATGGTTTGGATTGCAGTACGCACTTCAGCAGGTAGAATCCTTGGTTGTTTCCAGTGGGAAACAGGCATAGGCACGGGTGTTGATGAGCAAAGAAGCTGGTGTAGAAGTTCTCTGCGATAGATTCCATCTTAAATTGGGAGAAGTCGGATTACCGTCGTCGCTAAGTTGCAGCCAGCGCACGTTGGCTTGCCTGTACTTCCTGAGATCCTCCTGTGAAGCTTTCTGCAGCTGGCATTGGCTAAAGTCGCTCGAGATAGGTTGGACTCCGCCTCAAAGATCTTTTTTCGAGCAATTCCTTGGTGGTCTTCGTTCCAAGTTCTTCTCAAAGTCACTGAGGCGCGCTCTCCGCAGACTCGCAATCCTTTCAGAGGCCGCTCGTAGTTGTACGTTGTGTCCTCCATGGGTCACTCACGACTTGATATGAGCTCTTCCAGCCCGTTGCTGTCATAAACGACTTCCTTCCCGCTCGCGGAATTGTGGCAGACCTTCTTTTCCAACTTTCGACTGAATTTTACCTTCGCTCAAAGGAGGCGGTGATCGGAGCCCATGCAAAAGGATGGAACTACTATATCGAGCAAGCTCAACTTCGGTTGGTGAGAATACGGTCGATCTCCGCGCGAGTCGTTCCGTTGGGTGATTCCCATGTCCATTAGCGATGTGCTTTCTTCATGAAGGTGGAATTCCATGTAATAGTCGTGCGGCGAAGAGAAACCCAACAAGACGGTTGCCATTAGCTTCGGAGCCCATGTCCAATTCACGATCTTATATTCCTTTTCTAGTGGCATCCCGATTTTCGCGTTGAGGAGGTCGCCTACAACAAGGTTGTAGAAGGACTTTCTGGTTGCGGACCTTCTCCGCGTTTTCACAGAAAGCATTTAGTTCCGTTCCACCAGCTGTTGATGTTGGGGAGTAGCAGTTGATGATGCTGATGGTCTTCTGACGTGGAGGACGTAGTCGTAGAATGGCTAGGCGAAGTGATAGGATCTCATGCGAATCAACAAGATGGGCGATAGTTGGATGGACGACGTATATGCCGGAGAGCAACGCTGTTGCGTACAATGAAGGTAGTTCACAACTGGAAGAAGCGCAGAAAAAACGTGCGGCGAGAGTGCACGAGGAAAGGAGAGCGACGCGCAATACACACCTTGCGCACTCTCCGCGCCCTGCGCGGACAGCCTATAGCCAACGTTTCATGATAGACTTTTTCACCACAAATGATGAGAGTCCCATCACTCATCTGTCGAACGTCCTTCTTAATGACTTCGTTTCCTGCAGAGCCATGACGTGATACTGATGTGATGTGCAGCGCTGAGAAGAGTTGACATCTACGATTGCGGAGACGGCCCTGGCATTGTAGGCGCAGAGCACGAGGAAGTCTACATGGTGTGTCCTTTAAGCACTGTCGATTTCATGCAATAAAAAGCTCCCTGAGGGCCGTGATATCGTTCTTGCTACCTCCCGGCGCCATAGATGGGATCCAATGTGCAAGGTTTATTTCTCTTCTATTTGCTGAAAAACTAAGAATGTTATTTTCCTTCGAGAGCAGACTTACGAGACCGTACTCTTGATTTCTAGGGGCAATCGGGCAATCGCTAACCCCGCCTGCGATCAGAAAGCTAGACGGCGTGTAATCTGGCCTACTCCGCTCTCAACTAGGCATCAAACTGGTCGAAATTCTTCAGCTTGGGAGGTTCTACAAGAGTATACACTCGGCTGTATACTGCCGTTCAACACCCAGGGCTACCCCATGCCACGTTGAGGGGGCGGATCATAGTGGGAGAATTGCCACTGAAGGGAAAAAATCTTCGCTGTTTCTAAGGTTCGGTAGTACCAGAATGACTCAAAAGTAATGAGAACTTCGCATCTCCTGTTAGACCTATTCTCAAAATAGGTGCGTAGACAAGCAAATACTCTAAACGTTATCCAATTGTAAGAGATCCCTCGCATGATATGCATAGCTATGACTCATCTGTTCAGGGCGTGGCCAGACTGCTGGTATATAGTCGACCACCGCGAGCACGCGCCGACTAGTCCACCATGGAGTCTTCCCCCCGAGAGCCTGCTGGACGGCCGAGCCTCACCGTCTCCCGCTGATGCGGACCCTTCATCGTATCCTCCACCGACCCACGCCATGGACCACCGTTGCACTCAACCTCGTTATATCGCTTATTGTCCTTCTATGTGAGATCTAAGCAGATGTGTGTTTCGAAATCAGCAGGTCGCATAACCTCTGCGAGCAAGTTTTCCGATATGTTCGGGTTATTTCATTTTTTCTCGTTTCGCGCTCCGGAAGCGCGCCGATGGATTTTGGTCAAAATGTTGATGCTCTTGAATTGTAAGGAAACTTCGCTTATAGAGGTTTTCGAACACGCTCTTTACGAAAATCGTGGTCTTTGAGGATTACAGGGTCTTTTTGGAGAGATACGGTGAGGTGACTGTAACTTCATCACGAAAGTACGTAACTTTGGCCGCACTTCTCGCGTATCTGTCAGAAACCTTGCCTGCTTGCTTTTCTCATTCAAAGTTACTAGGAACCGTGCTATCGAATGGTGCATGAGTCAGGGTCCAGTCTGTAAAGTTCGCCGAGTTACGAGCCTACGAAAACACGTTCTCATGAATTTTGCCCAAAATGTAAAGATCGCATATTTCGTTGAAATTCCTCCGTGAGCGCTTGTACAACACGCTGATCAAATATTTCACATTTCCAATGGATCTTATTGTGTTATATTTAGTGCTTTGAGCTCTAGCCACGAGATAGCTTTGATACTTAATTGAGCAGCTGAAGCACACGCAAGCACCATATTCCATACAGTGGGAGTCGCTGGACGAAGCGAACATAATATCTGCAACGAGCATATCATACAAGCGCTCACGGAAGAATTTCGACGAAATATGCGATCTTTACATTTTGGGCAAAATTCACGACGACGTGATTTCGTAGGCTCGTCACTCGGCGAATTTTACAGACTGGACCCTGAGTCATGCGCCATTCGATAGCACGGTTCCTAGTAACTTTGAATGAGAAAAGCAAGCAGGTAAATTTTCTGACAGATACGCGAGAAGCACGGGCAAATTTACGCACTTTCGTGATGCAGTTACAGTCACCTCGCCGTATCTCTCCAAAAGACCCTGTAATCCTCAAAGACCACGATTTTCGTAAAGAGCGTGCTCGAAAACCTCCATAAGCGAAGTTTCCTTACAATTCAAGAGCATCAACATTTTGGCCAAAATCCATCGGCGAGCTTCCGGAGCGTAAAACGAGAAAAAATGAAATAACCCGAACATATCGGAAAACTTGCTCGCAGAGGTTATGCGACCTGCTGATTTCGAAACTCACTTCTGCTTAGCAAGATAGCTTCGTATCCTGGGGCTATGGCGAGTAGAATTTGGGACGACAAGATTTTTCCACAATTCACCAGCCGTTCTATTTCCTCTGAAAAGAAATCTGCGGCTACTATTTAGCACATCATAATCTACAGAAAAGTACCAGCGAAAGGTCTTTGCTGGAATGTACTAGGGACAATGCTCGCTGCTTTACACCTTCGCGGAAAGACGTCCTCAGAAAGATTCAAGAATACTGAAATCGAAATATCAAGGACACGATGTATATAAAAAGATTCGTCTTGATGAGCTGAGCAAGGCGATGCTTTCGGATTTGAAATATACTTATTCCGAAGGAAGTTATGGCGAGTAGAATTTACAAACGCGTGTTTTTTCCAAAATTCACCAACGCTTCTATCTCCTTTGGAAAGGAGTCTGAGCCTATTTTCTAGCGCACAATAATTTACAAAAACAGTATTATCGAATAGTACTTAGTAAAGTCTTCTATGTTGGGTAGGCGTTGCTTCACATATTCGCGAATGGACGTCCGCAGAACAATTTGAAAAAACTGGAAACGGAATATCGAAGACATCGTACCCCCACTTCCAATATATCTGAAGATTCTCCGCGCCGAGCTGAATCGAATGGTGGCTTTGGATTCAGAATTCGTCCACTCCGAAGCGAGATATGGCCACGCGACGCTGATGTATGGACATGTCCATACATGTCCATACATTCGCGTCTATTTTTCAAAAAATGTGAGCGGTATTGTATATAGTCGACAACCACGAACACCCGCCAACTAGTCCACCATGGAGTCTTCCCCCCCCCCCCAAGAGCCTGCTGGACGGCCTAGCCTCACCGTCTCCCGCTGATGCGGACCCCTCAATTGTATCCTCCACCGATGCATACCATGGACCACCGTTGCACTCAACCTCGTTATATCGATTATTGCCCTTCTATGTGCTTTACCGATAGACCTGATAATCGCTTCTGTATTTATTGCTAGTTGGATAGCCGCTTCCACGGCGCTACGTCTACTCAATACGATTTTTCTTCCTCTTTCCAGCAACCGTATTTTCGAATCAAATCACTTCGTATGTGATGAAATATTTGCAAAAATTTTGAACCCAAAGCGTTTGCCGTTCAAATTCTATGGTTTTTTCAGATGTGGCAAAAAATTCTAGATTATGGTAATTTGAAAAAGTAAGCGTTTGAACACTTTGCAAAATCAAAGTCTGATAATGATTTTCGAAGCTCCCATCGAAAGATTTTGTAGAGTTTGATGCATTTTTGTTATGAGCAATTTTTGGGAATTTTAGGGCTTTTGGGAAAATGATTTTAAAAAATCTCAAAATGCTAGTTTCGAAAGACCTAAGAAGTGGTTTGCATTAGGCAGGACATACTCTGTCTATAGATAATCGAATTTGTTTGAAACCCTCAAACTAAAAATTCTGAAAACTAGCTAAACTCACTCAAAGCAAAATGACGGGTTCAAAATTTAGGAACTTTTTTCGACAGGTAAGAAGTCAACTGGGCCTGAAAAGAGGCTGCTGAAAAGAGGAAGAAAAGCTACGTTCAGTACATTTAGGGTACTCTTTCACCACTATTCTACACAATTTGCTAAAAGTTCGAAGAAAAGAGCGAAAAGTTCCCATTACTTTTAACTCAACCTAATACTTTACAAAGTCACCGGCGTTACCGTCGTTATGGCGTTGCATGCAGTGAATGACGAACAATCCTTCTTGCAACTTTATCCTGACTACGTTCTGTTGTTGATGGGGCGTAGTTAAAAAAAATCAACCTGAATATGGCCATCGAGCCAGATTGCGTTAGCTTCATCACACTATCCCAGGCCCCATTGAATAGCCTCTTTTAGACTTTGTCGCCCTATTGGACTTTTCTTTCTGTTGGGATGGACTGAAAGCGATGAAATAGCTGTATTGTTATTGTACAGTCCTTGTAGAGAGCACAGCATGCGGCAGTCTATATGGCAGGTCTTCTTCTCGAATGTGTTCACTTTGTCCGATCCAAAGCGCCCTGAGCAAGCTGACATCGGACTTGTTACTTCCCGCGCCTTAGATGGTATCACATGTGCAGGACTTTCTTCCGTTTTTTGCGGAGCAAATCTTCAAAATTGCTTCCAGCAGCAAGTTTGTGCTGTTGTTCTCCAGCTCTATCGACGACATTGAATGTGGAAGGGAGATCCAGCGATATTTACCTTCAGCTGAATGGCGGTGATTTAGGCCGTCTTATCTAAGGTTCCGATGAAGTCAAAGGCCGGAAACATCGAACTCTTTGACAGCACGGAAGCCCTGCTAAAATATCATCGATTCGTTGGCCGTACGGACTGCTCAACCGCTGCGGACCACGCGCGGGGCGGTCAAAATGTTGCGAGAGCACGATTTTAACAATGGCGAGTTTGTATTGGAGCAAGCGCTTTACCTCGCGGTGCGTGTCCGCGGTTATGTCCAGTCCGTACAGTCAACGAATCGACGATACACATTCGGTTGTACCTCGCTGTTGGACGGGCCACATATTTTGTTAGAAATCCCTGTACAGCCTGTAATCGCCCCAAGTCCGATTCGATCCGGGCCCTTCTTCAGCGAGAAATTTGCCCAAGGGGCCCGCAAAGCACGATTTGGCCCGCACAGCCGACTCTCCCGGTTTTCTACGCGTTTCAACATGTCCTTCCACTTGGCGTCCACCTCCATGGTGTTGCTGCCACTATGATGAAGGCTAGGTTGAGAAGGCACAACTCCCACGTTGCTTCCAAGGGGCTTTCAGAAAAAGGGGTATGCGTGTATTTTATGCAATTTTAGATCCGCACTGAGTCAGAGACGAAATTGCAATATGCAAAAGTCGCGACAACCAAATTTTGGTGAGACACTGCCTTCAATGTTACTCTTATACCGCGTTTAGGAGGCAAATCATAAATAGTGAGAACAGTAACAGCGGTGTCAGCGGTATCACCAAGATTGGCGTAACAGTAGAGACAATGGTAACTGACAAAGTGTCAAAAACTTGGGATTTCACCGCATACTGTGTTGGTGCTGTTACTGCTCCAACTGTTGTCAGTTACATCTTTCAATTAACTGCAACCATTTTTACAATAATGGTGCTCTGTCTTTGGTAAATGATTGGCAGGTCTCATTTTTCCGCTCGCATTTCCGCCAGACCGCTCTATTTGACTCACTTTCATCATGGACTTTACGAGCACTAGCTAACAATCTAATTTTAGGAAATGGATGTTGAAAGAACTCAATCATCTCACAAGATTGCCAAGGCAACGGGTCAACTTCTTAGCAAACCGAAAATTATCATATTACCGACAATCAAATTGTTGGTCGAAAAACTAAAACCAGACGCGAAAACACCAAAGACGGAAAAGAAAGCCACCGTTAAAAGCACCAACAAAACTGCTGTAGAGAAACCAAGCATAAAAACTTGTGTGCCCCACCAAGTCAAAGCTACTCCTGCAAAAGAAAAGAAGAAGTCAAGTAAAGCAGAAGCTGTGTCTCAGGCGGAGAAAAAAACGAATATAGAGATAATAAACATGCTGAGACGACGAAGGTCTAGAATTCGTAAAGCGAAATCTATGGCAACAACAACTACAACCACGACTGAAGGAACGACTGTGCAGGATAGTACGGAAGAACACAGTAGAGAAAGCACTGAGAGTACAATAGAACCGATTGCGCACAGTGTGGGCTCAAAAAAAGACGGAGAGGAGATAAAGGTAAGGCTCTGTTGTTTTATTTTGCTTGTGCATTCAGTGCCTACACTCATAGCTTCGTCGATGTGATTCTGTGAGAGGAATATGTCGAAGTCGAACATTCGCTAAAGTTGCTGTCTCAAAGGTGAGCAAAACATCAGCACCATAAAATCCAAAATTAATACCAACTGAAGTCGGATTACCCTAATTTGTCATAACTCGCGAGGTGTTGAATGGACACTATCAGCCCAGGAGTTTTGTTGCATGAGCTCTATCTCTCATCATCAACAATTCTTCTCGAACTTCTATATTACAAATCTTAGAGTGCTTCCGTATTAATACATAACCCTTGAAGGACTAGGTAGGAAAGTTGTCAACATTCTCAATAATCCCATCGCAACGGCCTAGAACCTCAAAAGGGGATTTTTAGGCTCTTTCAAATTACGTGGACTATCTAGTGTGTATGAAAACCCTAGAAAGGTCTGAGATACGCAAGCTGGAAAAAAGGCTTTGTAGAAATTTCGCTGGGATGCTTTCCGTAAAAATGTATAGGAACTTTACATTTTCGGACGAAACGAAGAACTTATCTTGGGCAGGTACCAGACCCGTGAGCCGGCAAGGTGCCAGTGCTGTTCCGGCGCCGTACCAATCCCTTGGACGCCGATCGAATAACGCGGAGAGCATAGCGCTGACTTTGGACGCAGTCTTTTCAACGACGACACCTGTGGTGTTGACATTGATCTTAGTCTCGCAATGTTTCAGCAATGTGAAGGAGATCTCGAAGATCAGGTGTATTACCATGGTTTTCGGCCCCGAAAGGACGTCGCGTATGTCGAGCGGAGTATGTACTTCACGCGCATAAATTCCCCTCATTTTAGTGGTTTACTCAAAGAGCCTGGTGATTTCATTGTACGTGCCACAGATTCTCGGCATAAACCAGAAATCGTAATATCGGTGCTCAGTGATAAGGGAAGAATGTTTAATCTTACTGTAAAGTGAGTTTCCAGATCAACCTACCATAGATAAGCAAGAATGTTTGTTCCTAGAAACGAAGGCGATAAATGGCAGCTAGGGGTGCTTCGAAAAAGAGGTAGAGCGGTCCCACGATTTTCAAAAATTGCTGAACTCGTAGATTATTACTCAGTAAGTTTATACGTAAAATTGAAGCTATTTTCAAAGATTTTACTTCAAACTGGCAGGTACACCGTTTGCCAGGACGTGCGAAACTGAGGCGCGGTATTCCAAGACCATCCTGGTTGATAAAACATGAAAATGTAAATTTCGATCGTACAAAGGCATGTCTTCATGAACAAAACTTGAATCCAAAGCTGATACAATTCTACAGGATCTCATTGGTACAGGAAACTTTTGTCACGTTTATAAAGGGACTTATATGAGAACCGCGGAAGAAAAATATGTCGTTGCGATTAAAGTAGGCTCACTCTCTCAGCATGAAACCATAAGTTAGAATTTTTCATTTAAGATGAGCCACGAAGGCCATGGATCGGAGAAAGAGTTCGAGGAAACGAAAACGGCAAGAGATTCAATGCTTGCTGAAGCGCATATGATGAGCTATTACGTGCACACTAATATCGTTGAGGTATCAAACAGTATGCCATATCGTAGGCTGCGTTCTAAGTTGCCCGTGCCAGCACCGTTCAAGCGCATCCTAGGTCCGTGCTAACATCGTGCCGGAAGTGTGCAAGGACTTCGATTGATATGCTTCGTCCACGTGGGTTCCTCGCGCAGGCACGGCGTTGACACGGCGTCGCACGAGGGGCAGCGAACGGGCTACGGTCTTGGATGTATTGTCCTACGATCTCTTCAATAGCACTCATCAAAATCCTTTCTTTCAGCTTTATGGAGTGGCATGCGATCATCCTCCGGTACTAATCGTGATGGAATTTTGTCCAGGTGGTAATCTTGAACAACACCTCCTAACACAAAAAGATCGCATAGAAGTAGGAGAGCGGGTTGTATACGCCCTTGAGGTAAAATTCAAATGGCATTGTCTTGATATTAATTCTGACAGCGTCTTCAGGCTTGCCGTGGCATGGTGTTTCTCCATAAAAAGTCTTGCATTCACCGTGATCTAGCTGCAAGAAATTGTCTAATATCATCAAAAGGTTAATTCTTGCTCAAATGCCGTAATATCGAAACTGAGGCAAATGTTCCTTTGCTTTTGACACGACATAGTCTAAAACATTGAAAGCATAAATTTTGTTTCGAAGAGTGAAACGAAATATTTGTTTCAAAATTATTCTCAACTTACACTTGAGTTTGACTTATCGATGAATTCCAAACTCTCCGGAAAATGAGTCTTTCTCTAGGGCAAATCAAAATCTCTGATTTTGGTCTTTCAAAATTAGCTGATGAGTTGGAGAAGATGGACGATGCAGTGAATGAGCCAGCTCCACAAATACCTTTGCGGTTTGTAATGATATTTCCTAATCCTTTGCAAAACACGTTTTTTACAGCCATCTCAGGGATTTCATTCTTATGAAATCGTACTTATTACAGGTGGATGGCGCCTGAGTCGCTAAGACGGCCAATGAAATTTAGCAAAAAATCGGACGTATGGTCGTTTGCCGTTCTCTTGTACGAGGTATTGCTCCCAATCACTTTGTTGCACTTGAACTGACATAACCCAGAAATATCATTTAGTTCTATGACCCTGATTAGCCTTCAGTTTCTAGATTTTCAATCAAGGAGAGAAACCATGGAAAACTGAGCCAGCGAAGAAGATTGCCACTATGATTCGACGGTGTCAGATGCCTACGTTTCCTAAGCAAGCTCCAGAAGACATAGCCAAGATTGCAACTCAGATTTGGTAAATTTCCAATTGCACTGAACGGGCAAACAGTCGTTGTTTTAGGGTAGCTGATCCTGTTGCTAGACCAGCAATGAAAGAAGTTTGCCGTTCTTTAGCACAAGTGTGCAAAAAGTGCAAACCACCACCGCCCGAAAAGTTTACTTTGAACAGTCTTGAAGGAGTAGAACGCCCACGGAAGGTCGTTGGTCAAGCTTCGATGGTAAGCTTTGTTTGAATCAAATCGGAGATTTAGAAATATTATCAATAGAAGATGAACGAACCTTTCGCATTTACGCTAAGCAGCACACTTAGGCGGCCAGCATCCAGGGCCCGTGCGCGAGTGCCGTGCCAAAGCCCATCTGGCTACGCCCCGTATCGATCGCAGTTCCGGCACTAGTATGGCACTGGACCAGGCAATTCTGAATACAGCTTAAAGGCAGCGTCCGGGCAAAAACAAAAATTTTAAGTATACAGGGGCGCCCGTCCTGGTAAGGCTCTTGCCCAACTGGCAATGCACCAATTTGCTTGAAGCGAGAAAACCGCTTCAGAAGTGGCGGAACGCCCTGGCGACCGGGAACGAGTTAGTTCGATAAGCCAGAGTACGCATACCGCACACAGTTAAGACGTAGGGTCCTATAAAGACTCTGCGTCTTTAACGTTGGCGGCAGGCGACAAAATTCAAAGAGCTTCTGGAAAAGCCCGTTTTCGACGTTTTCGTGCTGTCCGAGCTGCATTTTCGGAATCAGCAGGAAGGATAAGCCCAGGTAAGCGAAAAAAATTCTTTCCGAAATCTTGCCCGGACGCTGCCTTTAACGAGTAACTAGCTCCATTTGGCTGATATACGAATCTTTAAAGCGCCTGCTAAGCGCAACAACAAAATTATAGTATACAACACAAAGATGCAAAAGAAATACACCTGGAATCTATATTCCTCACTTAATTGAATCCTTTAGGAGGAAAGTGGCGATATCGACACTGAAGCCGATACGCGGTTGGTGTTTTTTGTAAACCACATTGCCTTGCAAGTGGAAGTCCTTTTTGGTTTCCATAAATCTACATTGCAGGAGCGGAGATGAATCCCTTTGCACTCGCACCTCACGACCTGTACGGCGTCAACGTTCTAACCCTTCTCGGCTCGTATCAAGTCAAAGATGAATTTCGCACAGAACCTTCTTTTCGCTATCATAAGGATAAACGAACAATTAATTAAATTTATATCCAATAAAATATTGCAGTTTGCTCGTTCTCACGACAGTGTAAATTTTTGTTTCTTCGTACTACCAACAAGCAACAGATTTATTCCTAGAATGGCAGGTGCCCGCTGCAAAATAGACATTCACGTATAACTCTAGTACTTTTGAAAGAAGTGTAGTTATATTACAGATGTAAAAAATACAGCAAGTGTTCAAGCAAGCCAGGATGTGCTGTGAACATTGCTTGAACGACGCTTCACACTATGACGACGAGATAGCGAAGAAGTAGAGCTTGTTGAGGTCTGAATCAATATTTGTTAGGTCGCGATAGAAAGGATCCATCCTGTCTGATCGAAAATAACACAATTTTTTTGAACTGGGATCTGACTGTCTCTCCAGAAAGAAGTTGAGCTAGGATTTTTCACTTGCAAGGGAAGGATACTTGGTGACCATGGCCTTTTGCACTGAGACGTATACCACTGGATGCGCCTTGAAACGCTGATTTGAAATCTATGTATATACTGTGCGGCTCTCTGAACGAAGTTATAGACTTTTTTCTGTATTAACTTCACGAGATGTAAGCAGTCAGAGTCGTCAGTGTCCAAGCTTTTTAGACTCTGCTATATCGGAGCAATTTTCTTCAAGCTTAACCTAAAGCTTTATTTTAGTTGGACGCCCTTTTGTAAAGCGTAAGTGCCCAACTTCGGCGACATATGGTCCTCCGCCCTCATCAAAGCAGTGCAAATTTAGGTAGCAAGAAATATTCATAACTTCTTTCGGAAGAGCGCATAGCAATACCGAGAACAGATTTGGAATCAGTACTTCAAGCATTCAATGATATACGTTTCATCTCAAAAGGCCACGTAAATCATTGAAAACCGTTGAACTGAAATAGAAATAAAATCTGAAGAGTAAACAGCTCATACTGGGGTTTATGAGCGAAACTAGAAACAAGTCAGTGCACTTTCTCACACTGTGATCAATTTCATTTCTCGTCGCGCAATTTTGAAAGCAAATCGGAAATTTTCCTTTATTTCCTCACTCTTTACATTCCCTCCTTGCCGACGTAGCCTACCGCGGGATGTTACTTAGTTGACATTATAGCAGATCTTATCTAATACTGTGTTTAGTCGCTGACGACGATGTGCGTAAAAAAGGGGTGCTGTCTGGGTGCCTTGAACTATTTTTCTTCATAGAAAGGTGAATTTTCAGAACTTTTCGACGCGGGGTTACAATATGGATTGACCGTCAGTTTCTGTAGTACTGCTCACCCCGTAGTGTGTGAATGCTAAATCCGCCAAACTGGTATTGCCAGTGTTCGCAGTACCTAAAGCAAATAACGTGAGGCCCAAATGATGCAATTTAGCTATCAAATGCAGCTAACACACCTGCTAGAGCTTGCTGTAGATGGCTGAGAGATTGATCCACTAAACAGACCCCTGGTTCGTGGTTTTTTGATGCAAACAAAATGAGCTTACGCAGTGAGCTGTTCCGAATTATGTTCACGAGAGCTTCACGTTGTTCTGGTGTCAAAGTCTTGAGCGTTTCGATGTCGGTCATCTCAAAATTGCAGTTTGATATAAGTACGTGTCACCAGTTTAGGCCAACAGAATGATGTGAGTCCGTTTTGAAAGCCGTTCGCACCGTATCGCAGTTGGGGTCAAACTGGACTTCGTTTCTGGAGTTAGAAGCAACGGGGACATCGTTTTTATAGGGTCCTGGAGGAAGCGCCGACAGAAAAATGACGAACATGTCGGTCTAGACGAGTTGAACGTGTTCTTTAGCACGCGCGCGAGTTTCAAATGCAAGACTCAAACAAACAAATGGCTTGTTTACAGCGCATAAACAATCACATGGCTCCGAATTTGGGCTATGAGTATACAATATTCCTGCAAACTATGTTATGTAAAAAGTTCCTAAAACTTATGTGTCCTAATATCCGTTCTCGAATTTGTTGCTTTCTAAACCAACTACCAAACTGGTTTGGTTCGGAGCATAAATATCGAAAAGCTCACATAAGTTTTGGACCTTTTTGATTTGGATGATTAGAACGGTCAAAAATCTATCATAGAGTGAAGAGAGCGGATCAAACCGTTGCCTCTCCCGTTTTCTTGAGTCAAAAGTAGTATAATTCTACGCGTTGATAGATATCGTGCTCCAATCACTTGCGGTGTCCTTTGAAATATGTGGCGAAAAATGCATCGCAGGATTGTTGAGGCTACAGATTTGGTTGGCCTAGGAGATTCTCGACATTCCCAGCATCAAAATGGTATTATACCCAATGGCAGAGCCGTTAATCAACTCGAAATGTTTTCTTTTTGCTTTCCTGTTATATTACATACCTCAAAATGCGCCTTTTTCGATTTTTGTTGCTATTGTTGAATAAAGGTTTCCCTACTGATTTTCACGTCAAGAGGGACTTCGTAAATTTTTCGCGAAGTCGTGAGGGACTTCGTTTCCTAAAAACCTACAAACCAACGCGTACCGGGCCCTGGCGCCGCTCCATAGAAAATGCGGCCATCATTTTAAAACAGACTGTGCGGAACTATGTCAACCCGATGCAGGCAAAACATTTTATGGTTCATTCTTAAAATCGTGACGATGAGTTGACTGCAGACTTTGCGCACACAGGAGCATAAACACCCATATAAACAGACGTAAACTTAGGGTGCATTCATAACTCGCCGGCAGCCGCCGCTAGCCGCCCGTAGCCGCTTTTGCGCACTATCCCAGTATTCTAAGGACTTCCCAAAAAGTTAAAAGATTATGCTATTTGTAATAAACATGCCGAACAACCCCATTAAAGCAAGTCTGAGCAAGATCTGTGGTTTCAGTATTGAGATCTGGATAATGGGATTGTGCTCGAAGGCGGCTAGTGGCGGCTGCCGGCGCGGTATGAAGGCACCCTTAAAGGCAGTGTCTCACCAAAGTTGAATCGCGGGGATCTTTACATATTCTATTATAGGCACCTCTAGATAGGCCATTGCAACAAGTCTCACTCAATTTGACCCCCTCTACGCTGAGAAAAATCGCTCAAAGTGGTACGCGGAGAGCCAGTTGGTACGCGCGGACGACTCCTTCGGTCTCCCCCCCCCCTTACGCGTTTGAACATGTCCCTCCACTTGGCATCCACCTCCCCTCTGTTGCTGCCACTGTGGCTGGGGCTGAAGTTGGAAGGTACAACTCGTCCACCTTGCTTCCGCGGGGCCTCCAGAAAACGGGGTTTTTGGGAAATTCGTGCGATTTTAAGCCCATACAGTGCTAGACAGGCTCCGACAGGCTTGCAAAATGCAAAAATTTCGGCAACCAAATTTTGGTGAGACACTGCCTTTAACGTTCAGCAGGGTGTAGGGCGTTAGGCGATAAACCTAATTTCTTGGACCCTACAAATTCTCCGTGCAAAACGTCTCCATCCCAAAAACAGAGGGTGGGGAGTCGGGGCGCGCCGATACATTACCCGACGCCATTGAAAAAATGGCGCATAGTTTTGAGTTACGGGCTCTGCGTTACTTGCGTTCTGCACGTTTTGTCGCCTAACGCTTGCCCTCCCGTTCAGCACAGTGACTTCTAGTGTCTAAGCATTAGCACATGTAGGCAGAAAACCACCCTAGTGGGGATAGAAACCAAGAAATGGAAGTGCGTGCGTGTCGCGCGCGGTCGCGCTATCGTCACGATTTTTTGAATGCCCTATATGTGGTGCGACGCGTCCGTTTCGTGGTAGATTTGCAAGCCCACAGAATTGGCAAGTCGACAGTCAGGGTTCGGAGAATGAGATGCACACCTGGGTCCTGTACGATACTGTGCAACTAGCGTCGCATGCGGCGCAAACTGTACGCGTACGCGCGTCAAGACGGCGTCCGGGCAGATTACCAACCTTTTTTTTTGCTCTATCTAGGCCTCGTGACGCTAATTCCAAATTTGGAATACGAGAAGGATGTACCTCTTACAAGGGAACGATCCCAACTTAAGGTGGCGAATCGGAATGAATTGCATACCATTAGATGCGGCTTGATGAGCTGATTCCAAATCTACCTTCCATATCTGCGACAACGTTATCTGCAAGAAGTTATGAAAAGTTAAAAATGTGAGGTAACGGGGGTTTTGATGCATAATTTGCTTTAAAATCCAACTTGAAAGTGCACGACTAGCATCATATCGAGTGTACTGATTTCGCGGAATGCTCACATTCAAAAGAAACGCAAATAAATGTTTTTGAACAGCTAAAAAGCAACTAAAGTTCTTTGGTAAAAGCTATGAGCAATGGAAAGTCCAAACTTGGCAAATATACCGCGCAATACCTCGAAAATTAGATGTCCAAAAACACTTATTTGTGTTTCTTCAGAGTGTGAGCATTCCTTGAAATCAGTACACTCAATATCATGCTAGTCATACACTCCCAAGTTGGATTTTGAAGCGAATTATGCACTAAAATCCCTGTTACTTCACGTTTTTAACCTTTCAACTTCTTGCAGATAACGTTGTCGCAGATAAGGAAGGTATAGTCGTCCTCACCCCACTAGTCGGTCGGTGGTCGAATTTGAATTTGAACTGGAGCAAACCGACCGCGGCAGAGCGCGGCAGACTGCCCCTCGGCCAACCGCTTGCATGAGCTTTTTTCTTATATTCTTCGCGTTTCTTTGCTTCTCTCGTATTACGGCAATGTTCTTAATCAGATTTCAGATTTCGTACCGCTAACTCTTTGAAACAAACACTTTTTGAGAGGATCTTTGTATATTAGATTTCACCGCTGTCGCAAAAAATAGTCTAGAATTCTAACGAAAAACTTCAACACAATCATCACAAACTTATCAAATCACATTTGTGTCTATTTCACTTACCGGAAAAGATATTTCTCATCCAAATTCTCTATTCTTCCCGGTTTACCTGGAAAAAATGTAAAACAAACGAGTACAATTGCACAAAACAATAGTTAGCTGTACGAAAACTAAAAACCTGATTAAGAACATTGCCGCAATACGAGAGACAGCAAAGAAACACGAAGAAATAAAGAGGAAAGCTCATGTGCAAGCGGTTGGCTGAGGAGCGGTCTGCAGCGCTCTGCCGCAGGTGGCCTGCTATAATTCGAATTTGAATTTGATCACCGACGGACTAGTGGGGTGAGGACGACTATAGATTTGGAATCAGCTCGTCAAGACGCATCTAATGATATGCGGTTCATTCCGATTCACCACCTTAAGTTGGGATCGTTCCCTTGTTAGAAACCCCTTTTTAGAACTATAGTCTGTGAGAGCCGTGGACAAGTGCACCTGGCGTTGTTCTTGTCGCAGGAAGCGCTAATAAGTCAAACAGCATGCTTTCAGTTGTTCTCGCCGTATGAAGTACCAAGGTGTAGGGAGATTTTGTTCAAAGAGGTTGGCCTCGCGAGAAAGTCGGCGGGATTCGCGAGGCTCTGGTCAGTCAGTGCGGCAATTTTCTCCCATTTCAATGGGGCTGTTTGGAAGTCGGGTTTGCGCCATAGTTTAGATCGGTTCCCTGATATCGATTATGATAGTAGCCGAGAATGTCCGAATCTGCCCGCTCTGCAACCCTTCCATTTACTAACTCTCTCGAGATACAAAAACTACCGTTGTGTCCGTGGGACCAGGCGGTGATTTGGGAAACATAGGTCTCGACGAAATTGCGCCTTTGACTTCCGGTCCATCACCAGCACCCAGCAAGCAGGGACGCGCCTTTTGTGAATTCGCACCTGAAATCAAACTAAACATAATGAGCAAATCTTTGCTTTTTGCACAATCACCTGACAGTTCCACTCCACGGTTAGCTGCCTGCCTCTGAATGCGTCTCATCACATCGTGGTCAGGTCTCTGACGGTGACTGCCAAAACGAGTGGCCGAGAATTCCTTTATAGTGTAAGAAACGTGATTCTTTGGGGTATAAGAGAACATCATCAAGTTCTGAAGCATACAACAGGTGCATTTTTCTTTTGGGGACTAACTTCTTTAGGGTCTTACCGACTGTGGAAGCAGAACATTGTCATCTGCATTAGATGACTGCACAGGCTCAAGTTTCAGCTGCACATATGCGTCTTCAATTTCGTAAGCTACAACGTAAGAAAATTAGAACTATCGATGAAGTTGACCAGGTTTCAAACCTGCATCAACTTTGCGTGATCTGCCGACGTAGAAGGTTTTTCCAGCTGCACCCATGTTGGTTGTTGTATTTGTAGCAGTGCATGCCGGGTTAGTGACAAAAGCAGGCAGGGAACAGTAGCTAAAGGAAAAAACATCGAAGCATGGAATTTTTCGAGTAATCTCTGTTATATCAGGTTTGAGTCACTGATTCACTGAGTTAACAAATGAAGTAACATCGATCCCACGATTCGTGTAGAGGTGGGGTTTTGCCAACTCAATGCGCGGCGGCTTTGGTAGCGAGAGAGTACGAAAAACAATGCTATGACGTGGAGGTTTAGCAAGTTCATCCTTAAAATCAGGGAAAGTCCGCAACCCGCCTCTACACGAATCGTGGAGACGATCATATAAGAAGACAAATGGCCCGTTCAATCTAGAGAGTTCCATGACCGTCAGCCAACTAACAAGGGAAGGGTACTAGATGACCGTGGCTTTTTGAAATAAAACGTATACCATTTGATGCATCTTGACGCGCTAATTCCAGATCTATCTACATCTGCTGCGCGTTTTTTGAAAGAAGTTATGAGCTTTTTTACCACAAAAATTTGCACTGTTTCAATGACGGAATTCACCGATATCCTTGGAATGGTCATTTACGCGATAAAAAATAGCAACTAAATAATATAGAGATTTAGTTTAGGCTCAGAAAAATTTATTTTTTGATATATCCAGAGTCCGAAAAGCTTGAATACTGACGATCCTGACTGCCTAAATCTCTTGAGATTCATATGGAAAAACGTCCGTAACTTCGTTTAAAGAGTCGCACAGCAGATGTATAATGAACGTAGGTTTGAAACCAGTATTTCAAGCCACATCTATTGGTATACATAACATTGTAGAAGGCCACGATCACCTAGTATCCCTCCTTTGTAAGAAGAACTTATACCGGGGCACCGAGGAAGTCACATATCCGGTCTAGTTCTTAGCCCCGAAACGGTTATATGTATACAAAAATTATTTTCAGTAAGTCAGATTTATATCATGCTTAGGAACTAATGATGACTTTCTCTTCATGTATCGGTTTCCTTCTCTATAAAAATGTTGTTGTTCGCCTTTTTAATACAAAATACCAAGTCCTGACTGAGTCACTTCCTCAGTGCTATAAGCTCGTGGCTGCTAGAAACTCTTGAACTCTTGAAATTCCTTTTAAAATACTGCGCTGGTTTTTCTCATTATTTTCAAGCTACAGAGCACCATGTGCTGCTGACTTGATGACCCTCACGCTGAGAGGTCTTATCAAAACAATTTACTTGAGATCTGGATCGACTCCTTTCTCTCCTGTCCAGATTGGTATAGCAGCTGCATTCTCTCCTGCTCGATAGAATACTTCTCCAGGATTTGCGAACAGTAGAATATTGTCTGAAGGAATTACTGTATCGTATTCATGTCATGTTTTGTTTGTACTTTGCTACTACTTGAAAAGGGTAATCTTCTTTGCTAACTAAATTTCTGTGTATTTATGATAGTGAACGTTTTGACATAGAAACATCACACTTAGTTCGATCAGAGTTTGACGTTAAAGCCTCATCGTGACGAGTAGAAACTAATAACTAGCAGATATCTGATATTAATTCAAACCGTATAATTTTTCTACAAGCGGCTCTTTGTAAGTTTTCTTTACTTTCTTTTATACTCTACAATAATTTATCTGCTGCTTTCAACAAAGACTAAAAAAGAGGGCCTCTTCTTCTACACCTCTGTAAAAATGATGCAGAACCATGCATCCCGTATTGAAACGTCCAACGATGTGAAAATCTGATAAGCCTACCATCAGAGGGGAGAGGCAGGGAGGGTTGAGGGGGGGAGGGGGGGGGGGTTAAGCTAATGAAAAAGATCAAAAAAGTTTTGGCTCGTTAATACTTCGAACAACTTCGAATTTCTGTAAATATTAATTAACTTTGTAGCAATTTTCGGGGCTAGCAGCGCGGGAAAACTGAAAAAGTCTTATAAGATTGGAGAAATAAGTCAAGCCTTTTCATTTGGAAAATCCTTCCGAAGTGTCCCTCCATGAGAAATGTAAGACTGCAACTGCGCACATCAGTGGCGCCCCCCCCCCCCCAGAGAAGAGGTCGCAAAATTTTGTGAAATTTACTTATATGGGTTATAAAAATATGCAAAAGACTTGTTCATTCTTGCAAATAAATATAATGTTTAAAATTTTCAATGATTCAAACTAGCCCCGCAAAAAAAATTTTTTTCGGGGGGCATGGCTGCCGCCACGCTCCCATTTGCTAGATTTTAGGGCTTATGGGCCCGCAAAGATTTTGAGAACACCCCAAAGGTGCGTGGCTAACGCTACGCACCTTCTTCACTTGAAAAAGAATATTTGCCGCCCCTCCCCCCCCCCCCCCACTAGCGCACACATATATATCACTATTCCAACTAGTTGTATCTGTAGTTCAGTTAGAAAATCTGCATCCACCTGGAAGGCACTCTAAAACCTCGTCCGAGCTAAGTCCCATCTCCGTAGCCGCGGATATGATCAACTGGTCCGTAAATCCGTTCACTTTAGAGCGTACAACGCGATGCTGTTCATCTGAAATTCGATAGATTCAATAGTAGTGCTTAGTCAACTTCCTCTTAACTGTAATAAAAAATGCTAACCTTTCGTTGGATCGCTCAACTCCCATTTGTGCTCACGGAAGCGACAAATCAGAAAATTGGCAAGCTGGCAGGTGAAGAGGCTTGCCTGACATAGGTCACATAAATAATCAAATAAACCGCTTCTGACTTACGGGACGACGAGGTAGTCTCCCGATGAGGTATTTTGCGAGGAAGTTGACAAGCTCCTTGACCTCAGTGTACATCAAGATGAAATGAACTCACTTTGAGCCTATCGGACGTTTAACTTGACCCGAACATGTCTGTTCATGTATCAACCAGCAACAATGCATCGAACATGTCTGACATGTCTTAACATGACGAGAGTCTCCAGTCCAAAGTTTAGTTCAGAACCTTCTTGCAGTTAGCTTTGATACGCATTTATGTTTTACATCAAGCTATACAGCCTTTTCCAATCGGACCAGCAGAACTTGAATGATGCGCGTCTCCGCTCGCCATGATTTTGCGTTCGCGGCTACGGCTTGCCCGTCTTCTGTCTCTTCATTCTGTTTGCTCTCTTCGACAGAGCGCATATGCAGCCAAACCCTCACGCTGTGAGCGCTCGTCATCCCAGTTGGGACAAACTGTACTTTTAATATTTAAATCTAGATTGCAAATGACATAAGCGCACCTTTACAAGGGAATGGTCAGAACAAGTGATCCAAGCAATTCAAGCAATCCAAACAAGCTGTGTACGAGCTGCTCCTATTGTGGCGAGGCGGAGATGCGCTAGCGCCTCTTACGTTGCGGTTGCCCTGTGCTGAGACATACCTGATCCATCAGTCTTTTTGACCATAACGAATCCGCCCCGCCACAGTTGGGGAGCTCACAATACCATGAGGTGCAGCATAAAAGCCTGACTCTGAAACTGTCTTTCTTATCTGCTGAACTTTTGTGCACGTAGCTAAAATGAGTTCGACGGGGCCAGCGCCGCGTAGTGCAGTCACACACCTGCGCGCGAGCGCTACCGCACCGTCGAACGCATTGTATAAGCCGTGTCATTATTTCGTTATAAAAATACTACTTGCAAACTGTTAATTTGGTCGTGTGGAGCCATTTGCGGCTTGCTGCTGTGCCAAAACATGAAGCTAGGTAACCTATGTATCTCACATGGCTACCTAAAGGTAAGCAATGATGTGCTCACTTCGCAATATTGTGTACGATTTTCTCGCAATAAAACTTTTCTAAACTTTGCTTGCAAAGGCGTTTGACGGAAACATATATGAAGTCCGCGTTCTATGCTACGAATGCTATGCTTGTTTGGATTGGGCCCTTCGACTTCTAACCATTCCAACGTACGGTGGCTAAGGACTGTACCCTTTGATTCAACTGGCTTGGCGACTAGGCGGAGCGTGACCTAGTTAAGGCTAGAGAAAGATCAGAGAGCACGCGGGCGAGAGAGACGCAGGTGCGTCGCGGGCGCGAGCGGCCTTGACTAGGCCATAAAGGCCCATATCTCGAGCGCCTTGTTCGTGCTCTCCTTGCTTCCATGAGGAGTACGTTCCGTTGACAATACTTTCTCGTCAATTTGGTATATCCTTTGATTCAACGGAACTGGCGGCTGGAAAGCACTTCCAGAGAGCACGCTCGCGACTGAAACGCAGACTTGCGGATGCGGTCGTCCTTCAGCCGCCAATTCCATTGAATTAAAGAATATATTGCACCACAAAGACGTCCATGAGAGTCCATCCGCGCACAGCCTACGAGTTTAGGGCTTGGCGTATACCAGGGCCCGGCACGAGTCGGTTTCTAGGGTTTCTGAAAACGAAGTCTCCCCTGACTTACGGAAGTTTTACGAACTCCCCTTTGACCTACCTGTTTAGAAGAAGATGAAAACAAGAAAAAATTACCAGTCTGAAAGAAAAGACGTAAAATAAGAGCGAAAATCCAAACTGGAGTTGAATACTACGCATGCACAAGACTTTGGCATTAGAGCGCGATATTTAACAAAGCGAGAAGAAATGAAGGCAAAAAACAAAGGAAAGGCAATGATATGAAAATGTTTTCATGCTCAGGGATAGATTTTTGGCCGGGGAATCCGTCCATGCTAAAAAGATCCGAAACTTATGTGAAGTGACGAAAATATATGCTCCAGACGATCTCAGATCGTCTGGTGGCCGTCTGGAGACGATCTAATTTTGGAAAAGGTATTACTTCACATAAGTTTTCAAATCTTTTTACATAATTCTTCCGCAAATAAGTTTCTATGTATACAGTTCAATTTTGGTGTCATATTCTTCTGTGTTCGTTGTAAACAAGCAATTTGTTTATTTTAGTGTTGTTTCAAATCGCGCGCACTTTCCGCCGTACACGATAGAGCATGTCAATCGTGCGATAATCTGTCCGAAAAGCTTGTGTTCGACTAAATGGCGCTCATTCTTGGTGCTTAGCCCCTATTCGTCAGAAACGATATCTCCTTTGCTGTTTGCTTCAAAGACGAAGTCCAGCCTGCTTCCAGACGATCTGTGCCGGGCCCTGGCGTATACTCGCTGACCCATGCGCGCCATGCTAAAGCTGGGTTCATACTGCTCCGGAAGTTCCGGAACAGTCTCAGCATATTCTCGCACTGTGCTGGAATTGTGCCGCATTGCGATGCATGCGTTGCAGCCGCCTGCGTGCGGTTTTGAGCGGTAGGAGTTAGAAATTTTTGACCCTTTTTAGCGGGTTTCCTCTCAGCTTTCACTCATTTCGGACCAATTCCTCTACCCCACTTTCCGTGATGAGAAAAGCTGCAAACTTGAAGCGGGGTTGGAGAAAGAACGCTATTCTGTTCTCCCGGAAGATGGGTCTTTGTGCGCTCGTCCATACTCTCTTCGTTATTTTTGTTCAGACCTACTTCATGTGTTCTAAAAAGCTATTTATGCCCCTTTTATACGGATGCGGTACACGCAAAGGCTTCCTTGAAAATCGCTGCTGAAGCTGTGCCCACATCGAGACATATCTAATCATCGTGCGCGAAGAGGATAAGTGTTCGACTGGCGCGTCGCTCCGCTTTGTGAAGTTACCATACGCATTCGTCTTGAATCTAGCTTACACCACATTGCAGATCCATCGGTTCGCTTCGAACGCCTTGCATGTTCAGATCGGCGCACATCTCTATCAATATAAAATAATCGATTCCAGCCAGGTATGCTTCAACTCTATATCATATCTCTTTCGTTGCACGGAATGTGTTCACTAGAAAACAGCAAAACTTTATTGCAGATCAACATTCTAGATTAAAAAAGGGAAGATTTATGTACACTTGCACATCAAACACGACCTTCAATAATGGATAGCAATAAACATAAGTAAGTTAAGTTTGGCGTCTTTCCACGTTCGAGCAATCTTAATTACTATAATCTCGTACTTATCTTAACTTTGTTATTGCACTACGAAGCCAAATGTCAAGGAGCTTTGATTTTTCATATTCAGCGCTGATTTGTTCATTCTTGCAGTTGGCTTTCTTGCCTAAAAAGGTTACAAGAACCATTTTCTTGTGGTAGACAATTTCATGAAACAGGGTTTTGTTCATAAAAACTGCTTTCTTTTCATAAAACCTGCTTATGGGCATTCCATATGTTAATGACAGTTTTCGTTTTTTTCTCATGGAAATGATTTGAATTGTGCACGTAGACATGTTCTCAAGTCACTTCTCGTTTTATTGTTGTACTTTCGATACTTCCAATATTCTGAACTTTCACTGTCTTTTTCTTTGTCTTGCGTTTAGTTTCTAGAAAAAATTGCACTTAGTTGCGGACTTTATGTCAAATAAGACATCTTCTACCGAACTTTAGTGGTTCTCTGGTTCATAGTATATCGCTCTAGATTTGTCTTCTACTTTTTCCGTCTATTTTCCAAAGTGCAATGTCAAAGGGATAAGGCTCTAAGATTGATGCTGAATCTGTCAAGTTCACTTAAGTACCAACAGAACTCTAAGAACATTTTCAAAATTTTACCAGATTTGGAAAAGTTCTTACCGCGCATCAAACAGTAGTTATGACTGGTGCTATTTCCGCTTTCTAACTTTTTGCATTGCTTGTTTCAGGAGCGATAATTCGCACAAAACGGTATAGTAGCGGACAGTCTTAGTTTACACTTTACCATTACTGTGCTCCAAAATAGTGCGCTTTTGTAGATCCACTGACAGATGAAGGAGGTTGCTCAAACTAGACAAGCGGGTGCGGTGCGGTGCGCAGGCGGCTGTCATCGTTGTGACTTCGCGCTTCTCACACCCTATTAAGAGATGGTGGGACCGCGTCCGCTCCCCTTTTGCTCATAAAGTCCGTTGTTTTGGTTCGGCAAGAGGATGCTAAGTTGCCGAAAGGGAAGGCATCGTGCAGTGTGCAACAAACCACTCGCTCTACATCTTATAAACTCGTGCCAGCTGTCCGCACATGTGAAAACTGTCGGCGGCATTCCTTTACTCAGTGAAGCAAAAAATTACTCATGCAATAATATCAGCAAGCTAGATGCACACACTATATCTTTCTCTAGCAAAAAAAGCAAACCAGTATCGTAGGCTTGATCATTTTAGTGCATCGCATCGAAATTTTTTGTTTGCTCTCCCGAAAATGGAAAGACGCCAACTCATTGAGCAGTAAAGATCAGATTTTGCAATAATCAAGAGTAACAAGAAGAAGCTGGACTCTAAAGTGTAAACTGTAATGAGCAAATTATGTTCTATACAAGGTTCAGAATTTTTCTAATTTAAACAGTTAACGATTTCAAAGCAGTTCTTTTGTGAAACCTAGGGCTGAATCTTAGAAACAAATGTAATTAAACGACTAGATGTTAGTTATGTTCGTGCCGCATGTGTCAAGCTATGGAATGCCTTCTGAACTATCTGCTAAGGTTTTTCTCCGAACACACAAAATCACTCGCTGAAAGGCGAAGCGGTACGAACCTACCCTTGGAAAAAACGAGGATATGGGTTATTTACAGTTGCACATTTATACGATCCTGGCTGAATTACCACCTGACATTATCGCATCGTAGAACTACTGATGAACGGCTTCCTTTTCGCAAACTACCAATTCGTAGCTATAATAGTGCGCTACCGCTTTGTGCAAGAAGGAAAATGGTGTCGTCTACAGAAGCTTTTGCCAGTTACGCCACGTTCCCATTGTCGCGTAGACGTTGACAATACCTAGAAATATGTGTACAGCATCACATAAACAGGAGGAAAAAAGAGACGCATCTTCCAATCTATAATCCGCGCTAGCCGAAGCTGCGATAGTGGACATGAATGAGGATCTCTAAAACATTGCTGTCCAGATCCGCAGACGAGAAGTGCGGTCCAGGACTGAGCTATATGGTTACTGTATGGTTCCTAGAAGGTGTTGTTGGAGGAGATTTTTGGTTCATACTTTACGGCTGGCCACCGCTTGCGTTGGCTAGTATATAAGACTGGAAAATGCATTGAAGAAGACTTCAGCCATACCTGACTTGCTGAACTGTCAATAAAATCACATACCTTTTTTCTATTTATAGTCCAAGATCTAGAAGAATACGACCAAAGTTTCTTACAAATTTGCCTAACAAAATTTAATTCTTAAAATATTCTCATCTCCCCCGAAGTTCGTTAACTATGGAATACACTTGTTGCAAATTTCTCTTCGAACATTGAACAATAGTGCAGACTTTTAGTAACTTGTTTAGATCTTGGATGCATAGCCAAGGTTTGACTTCTGCTCTTTGTTTTGCAAACTTTTGCAGCGTCAGACTCTGTTGTCATCACCCGCTGCAAACTTATTTTACCTCTTCAAAAGAACACTACCACTTCGTCACTTAGTTTTGCAAGTCTGTCAAACATGATGTTTGACTTGCTTGGATAAATAAAATTTAATCGGCTAAATAAAACTTCAAACGTTCGTGCTAATTGCACAATCATAAAAATTGGCCAGTTCTTGGGATTGCTTCAAAACTCTAATAAATATATTAAAAAAAAAGAAAGTGGATTGTTTTTGATATCATCTACATTTTGATATCTGGAAATGATAAAAGAACATAGTCACTACTTTTTTTGCTGAAAAATATGCATGTTACCTGAAAAAATACGTTAGATCATTTTTCGCAGCTAAAAAACAGAAATGGCAGTAGATGCTGAAAAGAGCTGGAGCATGTTCATATAGAGACAGTAATCAGCTGAACGTTAGAGAATTTTCCTTTCAATTTTTCTAATCAAAATCTTCCCTAATCGGGTGGACATACCTGCACAAGCGCTATATCATTTTAGCGTCATCTTTTTTGTAGAACTGAATGTAAGTCATATGGTTATGAGGAACATAACAAAAGTGCTTGTTTTTGTATTCTACTTGATTGTTTTTCAGGCACTGCATCAAAAACGATTCCACATCTCACAGTTAAGAATTGTCTTAGGTCTTCATACCCCATTTTTGGACAAGTGATGCCCTGCAAAAATCAAGTTCTCCCGTAATTCCGCACAAATTCATGTTTCCTTGTACTAGTTAGCTACAAGTCCTAGATATCTTCCTCTCTGTTTCTGAATGGTGGCAAACCCTGTTAAACCCCGAGTAACTTTTCAAAGAGTGCGAAATTTTTAGGGCAGAGATGTTGCGCTAGACGGCGACAAATGCGTCGGAAAGTTGTCGCCGTCATAATAAGTCGCGCAAACGCTCGCGCTGTGCTTACACCATCGTTAGCCTCATCATTCAGCACATGCAGCATGTCGTCGAATCGAGCGGAAGCAGCCGATATGAGCGGAACCTGTAAATTTAAGGTTCTGAAATTTCAAATATGCAGTCTAAACGATTTTGTGTTAGTGATGAAGATATCCGGAGTTGCTCATGCCGGTGCCATTTCAGCGCCATGCTAACGCCGTGCAGGAACTGGCTCAGGTAGATTGGTCAATACGCCCTACGTCCATGGTTCCAGCACGGCGCCAGAGAAAGCCACTCTGGACTTTTAAAGAGTCTAGTAAGTTAGACTTACTAGACTACTGCGTAGTCTAGTAAGTTTGATGGCCGACTTACAGTTTTTGCGTTAGGCCTAGGGCATAGTGTCCACATACCGTCGCGCTGCGATTTCTAAATTACGACAACTGTTACGCACTCATTGCATGTCTCTGTGTCTGCTACGTCGCTTGTGATACTCGTCCGGCGCGACGGATCTCGGACCCTTTGTAGCTAAGGCATAGTTCTGCAGCGATAATCGCCGCGATTTCGGCAAAACCCGGCGATGTTGCGTCGCGCATGCTGCACGGGCGACTGGGCGATATTGCTGAGGTGCGGGGGACATCTTGGGGATTTTTTTTATAGACAGGCGCTGATGTTTCAATTATTTTGGTTTGAAAAGAAATGGAACTTGTTTGAACTAGATGTACAAAGACACTTCTAACTTTGACGCCATTTCCTAACCTTAAATTGTCGGATGACTTGTTTTTCGGAAGTGTAAGCATTTTTGACGAAATGGTTTTTTGGATTGTTTTCTGGGTGGTTTTTGAGTTGGAGTCTTTGCTTCTCGCAGAGTTAATACATTATCACTCTGCTTGTTTGCATATTCTTACGTTTCGCTATCCGTATAAGAACAGAATTCTCCTCCTTACTGGTGCACCAATACCAAACGTTTACGCTTGTGTTTTCGCTATCTTCGTAGTGATGCTGTGCTCGACTTTTTGAAAAGGTGTTTTATGTGGGTCTTTGCTGAAGCACTGCAAAATCCACTACTAGGTTGTTTCACCTATAAATTTGGTGAAGAGTGTCTTAATAGTAGCTGTTGGCTTGCAGAGGCCGACACAGGTTAGATTCACTATGCTGAGAACTGGTAACCTCGTGAAAATTGGATTTGTTGAAAGGTGGGCAAAATGTGAGAATTCTTTGTACTCGATTTCATCACGATCTGCGTAAGGGATCTATGCTGAGAGTGAAGTGAGTGGAATAACGCATATCGTACAAGAACGGTCTGCTCAGTTTGCGTGCACCTGCCCTGTGTATGCAAAGATACGAAATCGCGCGCACTATGCCCATGCACGCGCGACGGACGATTTCATCGTAGCGATCTCGTCGCCCAAACCACCGATTTCCCCGGCGATGAAATCGCGGCGACGAAATCGTGGACACTATGCTGCCCGTTGCCTTACAGGCAACATCTGGCCTTAAAAATGGCCCTGGCGCAGAAATTGAATACATGCTCTGCAGTCAACTTTAAATTCAACTTTATGCGCAAATGTTGTTGTCAATAGAACAAAGCACTTTTTTTTTCGCGCATGTGTTATAACTGTCTGGTAAACGCAATCTTTTCCACCACCTCCAGTCATTAAGTGCTTATATTCTTAAACAGATATATAAAAATCACGAATAATCCCTCCCTCCTCTCCCTCTCGTGTCCCTCACCGAGCTTCTTTGATAATTTTTGATTATGTGTTCCTAATGAGGAAGCTTGCTCATCCGGTGAGCTCATAGACTGAAGATTGCAGTTGTTTTGCACATATGCGCGTACCCTACACGTATTCCAATGACGTACCTGCGAAGACTCGGACACGTTGTTTGGGTCAAAGATGAACATAGCGCTAAGCACAGCGAGAAAACGGTCATCAAGCTGTAGTGCTGCCAACGAACGAGCTATCACGAACAGAGAGACTATCAGCTCGCGGAGCTCATCTGAATGAGAAACTCCATTTTTTTTCTTCAGAAAGAGGCCAGAATCTATAGCCAGTTACCCATATCATCATTCTCCTCAATCTCCACAACTAATGTATCGAGTAAGTTTTGTTGAGTGAGTGAAGTGTGTGCATTGGGTCGAAAACAGTTCTCAGCTTCATCAAAGAATGAAATGAATCTGAGCAGTTGGACCTCCAACATGGTATGGTGCAGAAGTTGCATTTGGCAAACGAGTGGGAGCTGCAAAGGAATTTATTATTTTGTTTTGGAAATGTATATACGTCACTTTTTGCTATTTGCTATGACTAAGCTGCAACTAGTAACTAGTGATGCGCATTTCCGGATTAAATCAGATCAAGAGGAACTTGATGTTGGATAAGGAAATGTAATCAAATAGGTTTATATTAACTTAATTGCTGGGCTTGCAAGAATATCCGCTTGGCCAAATTTGGTGAGTGTGACCGAATATTTGAGAAACCTTTTGACAAATAGCTTACCGTATTCCAAACTGTTACAACATGAGCAAATTCGCTGCTTCTTCTGACAAGCGGACGAAGCAATTCGGCTAGTTGGCTGTCTTTGGTCGAATCTATGCCTTGTGGTGTGGGTTTCAGTGGCTGGTCAATATTTTGGCAGTACGATTTCGTGATCAAGTCAATCTGAAACATAGTTTTCTTATGGTGATGTATGATTAGGCATACATCTATTCAAATACGGAATTTTCCCGAAATTATGAAAGACAACAATTCATTCTCCTCATTCATGTCATTGGCCTTAAGTTTTGAAAATGCCTAAAGACAAAGAAAGTTGAATTTACTGTTGAAACTTGAATTTGCTTGCCAAATGATGCTTATCAAAGATGGCTGATGTAGACTGGACAGCTATAATCTGCACTACTTCACGTTTTCGTTTCAGCTGAGATCTTCTATTGTCACCATACCTTGGATTTACTTTGAACAGTTTGAGTTTTGATTATGTCTTCCTCTGCAGTCATGAAGGGAACTTGAAGCTTACCTCGAACCGCAACTCCTTGACATGACTTTCATCCATTGCTGGACCTTTGATCCGTGACAGAAGGTGCTCTAGATGGCGGCGCTCGCGATTTCCTTTGATCAACTCGCGTTTTTGTACGCGCTCGTCCTCGTTCAGCACCACTGAATTTTACCGTAATTTGGCGATTTGAGACCAATAAAAGGAACTTACAGTCAGCAGTCATTCCAGCTGCTCTGCACTTGAGATATCTGCATCGTTGGCAAATATTTCGCGTTTGTTTGTTGATTTCGCATTTTTCAACACCTTTGCAAGTGTAGGTCAGATGGCGCTAAAAGGTGAAGTCAAATCAAAAACGTTTTTTCTTGTAGTTTTTTTATCCGCCAAGATCCCAAGTATTAAAACTTGGATTCCGACATGAATAATCAGTTCCATGGACTTCATAAGGTGCCTCATAAATTTGCCTGCCTCAGTATTGTGGACTTAGATTTTTTTCTTTCCTAAGGAGCCCTGCTAAAGATTGTTCAGCAAAAGTGAAGATATGCAAGTCTAAGTTAAGATAGAGCTATACTCTATAGTTTAAGGTACAGCTCTGCTTTTTTGCGCAGCCTTTTAGCGGTTTGAGATCGGTTGCTAGTAAGTCGAGGCTTTGTGCATTCTTGCTCTGACTGAAATGTATATTAATCAAAGATTGGTCAGGCTTACCTGGGCTGTACGCCTAAAGAATCCTTTGCATCCTTCGCAAGTTATTGCTCTGAAAATACGAGGATTTGTTTTGATTTTTTTTGGAATGCTAGGTAAACTACGTAAACTTTTGAGGCTTTCTCATACACTTTTGTAAAGAAAAAACTTCGTTCATTAATTTGAAAGTGGGGAAGTAATGTCTTGTCAAAATATGAGATACGGTACATGGACCTTTTGCCAAACTTCTGTTGCACGATCTTCATAGGAATTCACGGAAGACCTTTCGTCGAACTTGATTTCCGCATTCTTCGCGAAAATTTCTGATGAGATCCCTTCTACTGGTCTTTTCTTGCACTATGATTGATTACTGTTTTTGGGTATAGCCAGGTTTACGAAAAGAAAATGCACTTTTAGCCACTCCTTCATTTCTTTCGTAGCACTAAAAAGTTTACGTCACATGCGTATCATAATACAAACTTGTCACTTTCTATGAATCAATTTCATTTGTCTTGCTGACCTTCTTTACAGTTTCTAATTGTTCAATGATCACAATACACTACGCCAGTTTTGCAAGACTACGTGACTAACTGCATCACCCACTTTTTATGCCTTAAAAACTATGTACCCTAACGAGGGCAAATTTGCAGAAAATTGCAGTTGTTTTCAATCGTTTGCAAGAGAGTTTGGTGTTTTGGGACGAGTATAGCAGAACAATGACCAACTGCAATTCAGCGAGCAGCTTGGTGCAATTTCGCTCATTTTTCGGGCTTACTTTTTGAAGCAATGCTCAAATTCTCTCAATAAAAGTGCTTTGATTCTTGCGATAAACCGGGAAGTAATATAGTGCAAATTTTACACTGTTCCGAAATCCCTACTTTTCTCTCAATTTTTTGGAGAAATACCCCAAATGTTTACGAATTCAATATCCATGCATAAGACTGAAGATGCTTAATTGAAGAAGCTGGTTGACGTGACTATTTTCTATCCTAGTGTTCAAATAGCCAAGCTTCAAATATGTAGAATCAAATATTAGGTTGGTGCAAAAGTAATGCGCGTTTTTCTAGCCCTTTGTTTAGGACAACTTTTCTCCGCCAAACTTTCTTTTTTGAAAAAACTTAGCACACTTTCAGGAAGCTCCTTTCATCCTCTATCCAATGATGGTTGAAACGAGCTTCTAGCTTCATTGGTTAAAAATAAGAGAGCATCACACAGCCGCACTCAAAACCAGAACTTCATTGCATTTACTTCTCTGGCCAGAAATCAAGCCCGAATAAAAGCTAACTTTCGAAACTTTAGCTAATATATTTAATGGAAATTGTCTACATTATGCACATTTTACTATTTTCTCAGAAATTCTAGGCTAAGATTTCGGCTCCTCAACGTGGGCAGTCGTTTTGATTATTCTGTGATCAATAAATTCCCTTTGAAGAGGGCAATTACCAAATCTTTGCTCATTTCTGTAAGCGTAAGGGTAGGCCTTCTATTGGCAGTTTTTACAGAATTGTGTATGTGTTCGTTACGCAGAAATCCAAAAAATTCCATATTTTGGGGTTTTTACGCTTGCGAAAAAATGTCCAAAAAAAGTGGGCAATTTTGGTTTTGAATTTTTTTCCTCTTCGCACATCCTCTCTGTTTGGCCCTTTTCCACTTTTTTTGTACTACAGGCTTTCGGCTACAACATAGGCTACTTATTATCTATATTGACATATTCTGAAGAAAGCTTGATCAGTTAAACTTGAAGTTTCAGAAAAGAACTTTTTCCGCTTATCAGTCCATATTATTCTGCCCGTCGGAGAGATGAGTACAGATGTGCGCTGTATTGTGAAAGGTTTGGTGCCTCTAATGTTTTTTACCGCATTGGAAAATGTAGATTTTTTAGAAAGTTATGACACGTCAAACTGAGAACTCGCAAAACGCGCATTACTTTTGCACCAACCTAATAATTTTTGATCAAGCTTTACAATAAGCAGAAATTTAGTTGTGTTTGAATTATCACAACAGATGTCTTGCTCTTGATTATTGCGATAAAACAGGAAGTGGAAAGATACAGCCACTTCCACACTGTTTCTGAATTTTCCATTTTCTCTCAATTTTGCAGCTTATTTTGAGAAAGACCCACGCGTTTCTATCGCCCAAACGGAAAACTCATATAAAACCTGATTTGTTTAGAAGATCAAATCTATCTGATCTGGTAAATCGAGAACTTCTAAACCTGTTATTAACATTTAGAGGCTAGTTTCTATGTACAGCTTAGTAATAACAAAAAAGCTTCCTCTATAGGGCCACTTAGGGGTATATCTTTTTTGCATAAATTCAATTAGTTAGAAAATATTTTTTCTACTAAACAGGAAGCACATCTATTCCTGTGAATGTATGTGTAGTTAGGTGGTACTACCTTTTGTCATTTCTTTACTTTGGTATCTTGATGAGGAAATGTCTGACATGGGATTTCCCATGAAATAAATAAATAAGAAATTAAATAACCTGTAGTGAAGCCCAGTGGCGGCATCTCCACAAACGACACAGGTTTGTCCTTCCTCCATATACGATGGCATGTAAGGAGCATCTGAAATGAGCGTGATATAATTATTGAATGTGATAGTGGACTTATCTAATTTATTCTTCGCACCAAAACATATCAAAAATAGATGCTCAGCCCTATAGTGCCACCTTTCTTTTTGTTAAAACAGAAACGCGCTGTGCGGCAAAAAGGCCGCGGCAAAAAAGGAGGAAGGCTTCGGAATGTGTTTTCAATTTTTGATTTGACTTTTTTGCTACACGTTAGCTTCAACCAGGACACAGAGATGGTATTTTCATGAATCAAACCGCATTTTTGTCCCCCTTCTTGTTAATTTGTATAAGAATTAGCGAATATTTTCCAGAGATCCCCAAGAGGTTTGAGACCTTCTTAGACACTACGCATCTGCCCATTTACAATCCTCGATGATTATCTCTGAGCAACAGACTTTCCGCTCTTACATCACAATGTGATTTACAACCACGTCGGTACCGTGGCGGAGGCGTAATAGGTTTATCGGATAGTTCAGAATTTTGAAAGGCGAAAGCTCATCTGGTCTAATCAATGAAGACGTAAATTTTTAGCGAAATTGTTGAGCCCCTCCGTTTGCGTCCCCATTACCGTAATCCCGCAGTATTTGTCCCTAAGCTTGGCAAGGGTTGTTTTTCTACTGTGCCACCTGTTGCGTAAGAGGCAGACGCTCTCGGAGACCGTCCTGAGGTGAGGTCATCGAGAGAGATAGAGGCAAAAGACGGTATGAGTAGTTTGAATGCTTTATAGGTTTCTTTGAAACTGATGTCAAACAGCTGATTAGTGGAAACGAGTGCATAAACGCTAAGGATTTATTGAAGAAGAATTAAACACTTGTTTCTTGGATCACTGAATATAATTTGAAAAAACCGTACCGAGAGAGGCCTATTAAGAAGTAAGGGGAAAATGACATAAATTGATTCAGTTGTTTCGAAAATTCGTTACACCTTTGTGGGCTTAAATTGATAATTTTCTCGAAGTATGACTTTCAAGATGGTCCAAGCTGAAAGCAAATTTTGAGCACACCACGTAACCACGCATATTTGAGAGATATTATCTTGTTGCCAAGTTCTAGCCACGAAAAAATTGCAGCAAATTTGTATATAAATGTTTACTGTCTAATAAATTCTTGAACTTCAGGATTTGAAGCGAAGATTGAATTTTTGGCGATTTCAAATGCTACTAGATCTTGCTCTCGACTTTACGTAGAAATTTATGCTTTGCGAGTTGATTTGCAAATGGTTCTAGTAAAAGAAATCAAAATAACAACATTTTTCAGGAGGGAACAATCTAGGAAACAACCTTACTTGTGAAATCTTTACTGCAGTGCGCTAAGTTCAACTTTGATGAATTTTGGAGAAGATCCCAGTACGAATATATTATGTAATCCGCCTACAAATCCCTCTGTATCAATTTAATTTATTTTGAATAGAACACTTTTGATATCTTTGCATTATAATTTATTGGAAGCAATATGAAGCAGGCCATATTTCTTCGAGAAATCATAATAGCGCGTATTGGCAAAGTGTATGCAAAAAATGCGAGTTCCTCAAGGACAAATGTTTATTTTTCTTTGCTTTGACCAAAATAGGAAGCTTCAGCGGGCTGACTGCTAGGTGATTAGGTGACATGAAGTAATTGCGCAGCCTCACAGCGTGGGATTAATCAGGTAAATTGCGTGATTTTCTGCCAGCTTAGAAAACTTTTTGCAGTAGGTGGTAGAGAGTTTTTTACTCCTATTGACGAGGATACATTTCCCGCTTGGTTCCCTAGGAGATCAATTGGATTTTTTATGTGACTGAATTTTTGCTGATGCAAAATGAAAACTCACTTCTGGAACGTTGGCGCTGTGGGGTTGCACTCTTTGGTGACATGGTTGAATTGAATTGAATAGCTGTTAGAAGATTTAACTATACAACAGTACCGTAGTCGGTAACGTTGAATAGTATGCAGAGATCAGGTGTCTACCGCCTGCTCCGCCTACTCGCCAAGAG